TCGGTATCCTTACCCCTGCTCATTTCGGTCTGGATGAGCATCGTACCAGCATGTGGTCGTGTATCACTACCGCGTGATGCACCTTGAAGACCCCAGGCTGGCAGCGATACTCTGCTGGCTGAATGTTTCATCTACAGCCGAGACACCAAACGCCCATTGAGACTGACTAACGTCTGGCTGTATAAACGTGCTCGCGACACAATTTTAATTTGGCGAAATCAATCAAGTGAAGATTTCCTGTCACTTTCACTGAACACCAGCAATGGTCAGAGTGCAGGCGAGCTGGTGTAAGTTGAACATGATCGTTCATTATGATGAGACGTGGCAGGTTTTGTGAATGAAAGAGCATGTTATTGATGATTTATGTTTAATAGAAGCTTCTTTGTGAGCTAAAAAAGCAGACATTTGTCGATGTGTACCCTGTACGAGAAGATTTTCGTGTCAACTAAGCATCAGGGGGGGACTATGCACGGCGTGCGGACTGTGCACCGAGTGCAAACTATCTTAGCCAAAAAAAAATTTTTTTTTTTCGGCCTAATTTGGTTTTTGCGGATTAAACGCAGAAAATATGACAAATTCCACCAAATTCCTGGCACACCCTCGAATTCAAAATTAGGGCACTGATTGAGCAGAGCCCTGTTATAGGCACTATATAATATTGAAGCCTTCCCCCAAAGAGGTCTTCAATGCCTACCTGCAATTAGAAACGAGCAACTTTCCCCTTCTTCCAGTAGCCCAAAGCAAATAAATAAAGCCAAGGACTTTGCACTGAATCTCTCCTTAACATCACTTTTCTGGTTTTCTTCTTTTTTTTTTATTTTTTTTTATTTTTTATTACCGTGTTTTCTTTCTTTTTGCCACCGTCAGATGGAAAGGAGAAGGTAAACTTGTAAATGTTGTTTGTAAGCCAGAGATGCAGCTACTACCATCCTCTGAGGACTTAGCAGGTATTGAGCATTAAAGGGGTGCTCTGGCATTTTCTTCATAGTCCCCGATTCGCCTGGAAATTTGCCAAGTGCACTAAGAAACATCGCTGAAATAAAAAAAAAAAAAAAAACTAAGCCAAAACTTTTTTTTTTTTTTTTTCATTTACAGTTTTGGTCTTCACCATGTTTTTCTAGGTGAAATTCTCTAGTGACAGCCAAGTGACATCAGGGGAAGGCAGGGGTTCACTCTTTGTAGGCTTTGTTCCCAAATGGTTACAGGTTGTTTCATGGTGTCAAATGAATGCTTTGGATGCTCACTCCAGCACCCGCCCAGCTGCTGCACGAAAAAAATGCTTAGCATAGTCCAATTTTTGGACTGCCCGCTCGACTTGCAAGCCTGCCTTCCCCCGACGTCACGCCACTGAAAAGCAGGGGTATATTTGAACGTTGGTTTCGGCATCATTTTCACTCACTGATTTCACAATAACTATCCTGAATTTCGCGATACTAAATAGCACACCGGAAGGAGTAAAGGCCAGCAATTCCAAAACAATGGTTAGTTGGGGTTGCTAAAAAAATTGCCGGGTACCCCTTGAAGGGGAGACACTACTCTGGAAGGCCAACAATTTAATGTTTGTCTCATTTATGTGAAATTTGCAGGGCGTATTTGAAGGGAATGAGGATGCTGTGAAAATTTTAAAGTGTTTCTTTGATAAGTTACATGAAAATACATGAAATAAACAACTGCCAAGGAAAGCAGTTGTTGAGAAACGGTAATGATAGTGGCCAGTTTATTTGGTGGAACATACAATATAACACCTGGATCGTGCGGCTTCAGAGAGAAATTGCAGAAATTATGAAATTTTTAATAGAAAAGGGAGATAAGAAAATTGTGTATTTTTTCTTGCATTCATTACGTCGACGGGAATCATACATTTTGTTAAGAAAAGGCATGAAAATGCAGAACGTTAGTTCACCGCCGAATTTCTTACCAAATTTTGGTGTGGCAACTCTAAAACTGATTTTGCACATCACCTCATTATGATACAATGGCTTTTCTCAACTGAGATTTGATATCAAAGAGTAAAACTGAGATAAACACGTTTGAGAGGTCAGAAAGTTCCTCTTTGCATAGTGCCAGCATGTGAAAAATATTTTATTATGGGAAAAAAAAAAACCTTGTTACAGAAATTAAATTTGTAAAAATTCTCGACACTTAATTTGTGTTTCTAAAGGGCAACTCCTGTCAATATTTTCGAATTTGGGATCACGACTATTTTCAGCTCGGTCATGGTCCCTGAATTACAAGGTATACTTTTTTATTCTGTGTAGTTTTATAAATATCACGGGCTCAAAGTTTGGTTTCGGGCGTCTTCGGCGAAACCGCAACTAATAGAGTGAGATGGCAGCACTGATATCAGCTGTACGACCGCAACGTGATATCACTGTGGTGCTGTGGTACATGTCGCCAAGTGTTGCTTGACTAAAAGTTAGCCCTCTTGCCACCTGCTAAATTGCAGCTGGTCGCATCTTTAAAATCAGTTTTAGTGGGGTACGCGGCTTCACCTTGACGTAATATTTCAGCTGTGATAATATTTCTTGCCACTAAAGTGATGCCAGTTATTTATTTTGGTTTATTTTCGACAGGAGTTGCCCTTTAATAAAGATCATTCTCTCTCTCTTTTTTAAATTTTATTTTTCTCTTGGTATTTTTTTCTTTTTTCTCTTCCTTTCTTTTTTTTTTTTTTTGTTTTTGAGGTTGTGGTTGCTTTTGTGCACTTTAAATAAACATTAATAAGAATGATAATAATATTATTATTATTATGTTAGAAAAGGAACTGAAGACTATTGGCGGCATGCACAAACTACAGGGGGTGGTTTTCTAGCTATCATCATAATCGTTTGTGACGTCACGGTTAGGACAGACTGGGACAGACAGCACAGATCTTGGATCCCTCGGCTCGTCAGCTGGCTTCATGCGCTGTTCGGGTAATGCGCGGCAAAGCCTGTTTCACGCATTATGTTTATTTGATGAAGTGATATTTGTAATAGGACATTTCACCAAAGCTTGAAACCGTGGCACGCGTGGTCGTGCTATCAAACACTTTTGGTGCTGAAGTGTCGAAGCGCTGGGGTGGTGGTGTGCTCTTCTCTGCTCCGGTCTGGAGGATAAAAATAGATTATCCAGCGCTTTACCCTACTGCAACATCTACCACAATGAATAGGGCATATCTTTTATTATGATTCAAACAAAATAAAACTGAGAAAGGAATGTCTCATCAGATTTAAAACAGGAAATCGAAATTCGAGTACCTTTAGCTTGTGTAGTAAACATTTCAGTGAAAGTTACTCTGTATCCTGTTGGTTCTAATGTGTTCTGTGAGTACTGGTCTCTTATTAGTTCCAAGTTAATTCCTTTATGATTTTGGTAGAACAGTAAACATTTCCTCCAAATAAATGGCAGGAAGAAGCGGTGGCTGGCTTCCAGAGTTCTTTTAATTAAATTCCTGCTTATTCTTTCGGTCGATGTAAGAGTGCGAGACCAGCTCGAGATCAAAGTCTTAACTCTAGTAAGTCGGTGACACATCAGCGCCCCCCCAAAAAATCAGGTATACACTTGCTATGGATTACTACCATTTGTATGTTTAATTTTGCGGACCCATAATGCATGATGCGCTTCTCAGCGAGGGATTGGTAGTTTGTAAACAATTCTTATTAAAAATTGAATAGAACAAATGAATCAATTGCCTGAATTCACTGGGCCATATCTGATAATTGAAGAATTTATGAAAATTTCCGCTTTTCTTTCGAGCAGAAGTCGTAACATGATAAACTTTTTTGCGAAGCATTTGATGAGGGAGGAGCTAAATGTCGGACAGCACGTCGTTGACTCTGGTGAATGCAAAACCTTTTTCTACAATAGCCTCCACAGATCCAAAAAAACAACAAGAATCAGAGAGGCTGTGAATAGCCCTCGCGCACGCCGCGCAAGCGTAATGTGAAGCACCAGGCTTGTTTTTGAACATTCTAAAGTTCCTTAATATAAAAAGCAACTTCGAGGCACTGTCATTCATTAGGAAGATCACTCACAAAAACATCACGCACGTTTCTTTAATAAATGAACCGTTTTAATCGGCATAGGTTCAAACTAACATGGCCACTTTGTGCTTCGACAAAGTGTGTCATCTGCTCGCATCTTACCAGCTCCGTCACAGGAGAGTGCCCGCAAGGTGGTGCCACCAAAACATCTCGTCGCCAATCTCTGCTTGGTTATAGGATGATAACTGAAACCGTTAAGACTGTTTCTCTATTGACTATATGCACGTGGTCCACAGTTTGTTAATTGTGTTTTCCTTGTCATGTTGGTAATATTTCTTATTATTTTGTTTTGCCATGTGTGTGCTTTTTATTGTGATTTTTTTTTTATTAGTCCTGCAAGTCTTTAGTGTTTTGATAGTCATGTCATGGTGTTTTGTGTAACTTGAAGCACTTGTGTAAAATTATTATTATTATTATTATTATTAATGTAATTATTATATATTATTAATCATATTACTCTTATTTTATTATAATAATATTATTATTATTTTTGCTAACTTATTGTTCATTTGTAGCGAAACATGTATCTTCTTTATGCATAGTCCTGTATCTGTCAATCTCTGTTGTCCTTTCCCCTCCCCGCCCTCCCCCTTGTGTGGCCTTATCATTCGTCCCAGTTTAAGGCGTGCCATTGACTAAAATTAGGGTCAAGTGCATGGTGGCAAATGAGTGTCGTAATTTGGGCCAAGTGAACTCATTGAGAAGAGGAGCGCGCAAGGGCATGCACTTGGGCAACACAGTGTGTCGTCGTCGTCCGCAGGCACGTCTGCTGTTGCCACACCTGCAGATGGGGGAAGGCAAAGGGCTGCGGGAGTGCGTTTCGTCAAAACGGCCTGAAAGAGTTTGAAACGTTGCCCACAAAAACTTTCATTTTTCTTTTTTTTTTTTCTTTTTGAAGGAAAAGGAGTGCTTGGAATTGTGTGTGCAAATGTGGGATATGTCCTAATTCGTTTTACCTCCTTTCTATCGTTGCAGTCATTCCAAGGAAGCCAAGGCAGGGCTTACCTCTTCAATTCAGTGTGAGTCATTTCTTCTGACACAAACGAACATGTTTCTGGAGTCTGCGGTACCGGGAGACGGAGCACAAACGTCTGTGATAACTCAGGTGCCCTTTGTCAGGAAGAGCCTGGGGTTACAAATTCATTACACAAGAATGTTGGAGTTTTTCAAGCGGGAAGATTTCTCAGCTAAATTTAGCGAGGAATCTCGGTGTTGTGTCATCGTGACGTTGCAGTGTTGCACGGACACCGTCTGCTAATTTTAGATAAATGTAGGTCCGCTAAATTGAAATGCGGCAGTGTAACCGCGTATAGCAGCATGCAGCTTCTTGGTTATCGTCGCAGATCGTTTTCGGGACGCGCCGAAGAACCGGGGATTTTTTAATGGAAACATTGCACGCCATTTTTGCTTCTCTTCTTGAATCTGCTATTTGTACTCTGGTTTCAAAAGAACTTTATTTGGTGGGGCTCAAAAGGCAATTTGGGTACCCCTACAAGTGGAGGTTGATCGTATCGTTTTTGGAAAACGAAATGTGGAATCATTGTCTGTGCAATTAGCAGTTGGAGCATTATCGAGATTGTTCGCGTGCTTCTCTAGCCTGGGAGAAAGCGGAGATGCGGCAAGATATAGGTCTTTTGCTTTATCAATTATGCGATACGGTGCCGATTTCTCTGTTGTTTGGCTGTTCGCGTACACCTCTTCTGAATGTGTCGCACCACGCAACCTGGTGTCGCTGGCAACTATTGATTCGTTGCTTGTCAGAGTTTCTGGAACTTTGCACTAGCATAAATGATCAGTGTATGTGTGTGTGCGTGCGTGCGTGTGTTTGTTTGTTTGTTTTCTTTTTCTTTTTTGTCTAGACTAGTCCTCCTCATAGCGCCATCCGGTTGGTGAAAGGGGCACAATATGTGTATGGGCACAACATGCCTTTCCCTCCTCACCTGCACACCGAACGGCACCCCAAACTTTTAAATGCAATAAAGTACTATTACAATCAGTGGGACGATCCTCGGTGTAAGGTCTTTTTTTTATTAGATCGTCCCACTGATCATGGGCTTTTGATGCATACACCACAGGGTTACTTCGGTGCTATTAGTCGGTGCTAGAAATAGTGCGGACTTTGCCGATCCAGTGCTGACTTTGCGTTATGTTAGTGACACAGCCTCGATACGGCGCTGCATCACTGCTAAGTTGCATTTAAGTCAGCAATGTGTCGGTGCTAGTTCTAGCGTTCATTTTGTGCCACGCTGTATGTGTAGATTGGCCTTGAAAACAAGCTTTCACGGGCTTAGAAACAGTGAAGTCCCCTAACAAAGAACTACCTCTGTTTTGTCAAGTCTGCTTTTGTATTGGTTGTCGTACCGTGAAATACCGCAGAAGCGCCCACTATTAACATTTCACAAACTCAAGAATTCCGCAATATACGATTTGACCGGTCAAGCGCCCACGTCTAGATTAACCTAGTTTTCAGTGAAAGCGGGGTGGGCGCTCCTCCAGTATTTTACAATACGTTTACCAACAGGCAGTTTCAAAACTGTGACAAAGTTGACCGAAATCTGACATTCCACTTAAATTATCTAAGTGGTGAATCTGGATTGTCATTTTACAAAAAAAACAACAACATAACCTTTTGTCTTTAGTACTTTAGTGTTGGTATCAAATGCCTATAGCAGGAAAACCCAGTTTTCTCTGTGCACCTTTTATATACGCAAAGGCACACTTACAACTTTGTCATCCTATAGGCAGCATTCAGATCGCTGTCTGTTTTCCGCCACTTTCTTTTTCGTTATTTAGAACCTTTTATATGTGTTATGTTGTTTGGACCCCTCCTCATTCGGTAGAAGCTTTGAAGAGTGAAAAAAAACTCAAAAGTAGTGTTTGCCCAGGTATACACGCTGCAGGTGACTACACACTCTGTGCTTTAGCTGCATATGCACGCTGGAGGCTAGGAAGTGCACTCTGGAGGTGGGACAACTGAAGGAATTCCTCTCTGCCCTTCTCAACTTGTCAGTGGCCATAAGCTGTCTTCAGTGCCACCAAAAGGGCATAGTCATAGCTGCAGCATGTATGCTACTGGCACACGCTACGGGCTGCGGAGACCTCGTGTTCAAAAGGGGCACAGGGTCGCAGAGACTCTCTTTGTTCCCTGCACGCAGCTCAGGGGCCCGAATTTGGCTGCCCTCAATCTAATTGCTTGCTTAATTTGCTGTTTTTATTTGTGTTTTAGGGTGAACGTGGGGTGTGGGCCTGCGGAGGAGCGGTACTTACTAACGGGACTACATGCAGTGGCGGACATTTACTGTGAATGCTGTAAGACGACGCTCGGCTGGAAATATGTGAGTACACGCCAAGTGTGCATTGCGAACGTGGGCAAAACGAAAACCAGAGACGACTGCCAGTGTGTGCGACCAGCCACGGCTTGTTCGGTGATAGGCGACGCGTAATTTCGTTGGCGGCCTTATCAGCTTGCCCAAAAAAGTCCGATAACGGCGATAAGAGATTGGCATGGTCGGCACTGGCGGGTTTGGCTGTTTATCGGAGCACGGTGGGTGAATCTTTGTTCTTGATTTGGATTGTGGGCAGCTTGCTTCTTGCCCCTGTACCCCAAGGTCCCCGAGATAATCCGATTGTTGAATGGGCCTTGAAGAAACGAGAACAGCCTCTCAATGCATTGTTTTGGCCGTCCGTGGCGTTTACGTTGTACGAGGGTCCCCTTCCGCAAACTAGCTTTGATGCGGTAGGAGTTCAACTCACCTTATTGCTCGATTGACCAGTAAAAGTGGTACAACTAAAACAGGAGAGCAACCGTTTTAAATAGGGACCCTGGTCTTGAAAAGCGAACTACAGAGAAATAATTTTTTTTAATGATAATAATGTACGTACTACTTCTAAATAATTGGAACACAAAATGTGCGCATTTTTTTCAGTTGAAAGTCACACCCAGGGTGTTTACAAGCACATTGTTAGAGGTATCTCTTATTTCCTCGGAATTGATGTTTTTATGACAACACAAGGTTTTGACCCAGATATTTTCTGATCTAATATAACTATTTTTTTCATGTTTGATACCTGCTAAATCATAGTGCAACAGGTGGCTGGAGTTGGTGTGCCAGGTAACATTTTCTGATTTGTAATAATGATAGTAACTTTAGTTTTAATTGTTGGTTAAATAATTTACAACATGTGATAACTTTCTTTAGGATGATGTTGTAATTATAAGTAGTGTCTTATTGTACTTCCTATTATTGTCAAACTACGTCAACATATTTTTTGGCTTAGTTTTTTATGGGGGCGTTGTAAAAAAGCTAGGCAGATATACTATCAAATGTCGTGGAAGTGCCCACTTCGTTCAAGCATTCACTGTTGATATTTCCCATACTTGGGAATTCTGCAAATCAAACGTTAAGCGCCCGATTAGACCGGACAAGCACCCATGCCTAGATTAACCCAGTTTTCAGTGGAAGGGGGGTGGGCACTTCTCCAGTATTTTACGGTATTTGCCATAAAGGCATAATTTTCCTTAAATCTAAAATTGATTGGGAAAATAAACATAAAAAAATTGCTGTATTGTGAGAATTTTGCCTTAAACATTTGCAAGACCAGGGTCACTGCCCCACCAGTTTGCTTAAAAGCCGGCTAGAAGCATTGTTTATCTTAAAAAGTCAAACTTTTAAAGAAAACATACAACAGTTTTTTTTTGTTTTTTTTCCACATTTTTTTTATTAAATATAAAATTATATTTTTAAGGTGAAACCAAACTGATAATATCTGAAGGTTCGTTCGCACACTTGCAACCGAGTTGGACCAATTGAGACAAGACTAGTTTTTAAGCCTCTTGCAACAGCGTAAGACCAGATGTGCTGCTGAGGAGCAAGTCCTAAGCCGTCGCAAGATTTGGCTTAAAAACCGGTCTTGTCTCAGCCGGTCCTACTCAGTTGCAAGTGTGTGAACAAGCCTTAAATGGTCTCCCGACAGTGGGATATTTGTCAAGAAAGTGCCCGATATGTACTGATTCAAAGAAATTTGTGAAACAGATGAAAAGTTTGTCGCAAGAATTGTTTTAAACTGTGTCACTTTTTGCTTTTACAGTGCAACCCACTTACGACGACACCACATACAACGATATACCGCTTATAACGATCAGTGTCTAGAGTTTCTATACTGGAAATGATCAGCTTCCAGTCCAGATACAACAATAATCAGTTATAACAATTGAAATTTTGAGTTCGTTATGAGTGGGTTGCACTGTACTTTTATCTTCTTTCCTCACGTACTGAATTATGATTTTTCATCTTCTTTTTGCATGGCTGTTTAGAATCCCTTCAAGCCTGTCAAGGCTCCCTTTTTGTATTGTCAGGAAAATATGGAGAGGAACAGTGATTTTGAGAAAGTACTAGTGGTAGGCACTTTACTGCTTATCAGAATACTTTATGGGCAATACTAGATTTTTACATTTTCTTCGGAGAATTGCGGTATAGGCACATTTTAACAGCCTACTCGAAAAAGGATGTAGCTTGCGATTAGTCGTCGTCCGCATGCCACAAATCACCAAGTCTACTCGTCCAAAGCTGCGCGAAATAGCTAGACTGCGTTCTGAAAACTGTCGCAAAATTCTCAGTGCTGCTTTCATCTCCACATTGTGGTCAGTTGCTCGGTTTTCCTGTCTGCGTACCACTGATTGAAGAGCGCATTTTTGTTTCCCAACTACGAATAGCAGTTGTTGTACTCTGGCTTTAGTCAGTTGTCAAAGCGATGCTGCCGTGACATGCTTGAGCACTGTCAGCCAGCCAGCCGGTCAGTTTACCTGAAGCCCCTCGATGTCTCTGCTTGTCCCACAAGTAGCAGCAGATGCGCCAACGCATGAGGCATGTGCGTTGTTCTGCCCTTGGAAGCGGACAGCGTCACGGTGCACGGCTAGCGACATTTGCCTCGTGCGTCTGCACAAGGATATTTGTCGGCACTTGTAAGAAACGCCAAGCCTGAATTTTATTGTGCGGCTTTTGGTTTACTGGCTTCGCTCAGCAACTGTGGGTCAAGGGTGTCCAAACTCTGCTTTCGGTTTGAGGAACTCTGCTCTAACAAACCAGCTCACTTTAGTCATTAAGAGCAGTCATCCCTGTTGACACACATTTCTTTTTTTGCTTCGCTTTTAGCTCAGCTGATGTACCCTGATTTTAACTGTTTGATAAAATTTCAATATCAATTTCGTGTATGTTACCGCGGCTCAGATATCGACAAGCTTCCGACATCATGAAAAGCTGAAGGGGGTGGGGGGGGGTATTTTATATCTTTGATAAGTCGCAGGGTAGCAGTGTTAGGGAAGCATCGAGGTAGAGCGTAATCTCGTACTGGGACGAAAAGGTGCCAGAGCCGTGATGGGTCCTTCTTCTCTGGGGCGTCGCTTTGCAGGAGCACGCGTTCGAGTCTAGCCAGAAGTACAAAGAGGGCAAGTACATCATCGAGCTGGCTCACATGATCAAGGAGAATGGGTGGGATTGACAACACGCCCCCGAGGGAGAGGAGAATACGTCGCCGCCCTCCTCTCCCGTCGCGCTGTTCCACAACGGCAGCCTGCCCCAGCAGCAACAACAGCTGCAGCAGCAGCAGAACCCTCTGCAGGAACAGCAAGAGTACTTCCCACCCTTCTGAAGACCTGAGAGCCCTTCTCAACGGGGCGTCCACCACCACATCTTCAACGGCGGCGACAACTACGACGAGCGTGTGCGAAGGAGGACGCGCGTGACAATGGTGCTGTGAACTCTTGTGCCGCAAAACTCTTCCCTCCGCGTCGCGGATGAACTACAGCGGGCCGAGTCACAGCGAGCGAGCAGGAACCACTCGTGGGACCCAGGATATCTTTTTTTTTTTTTTTAGATCTCTTCGTTGCAAGGATGTTCTGCCAGGAACGAAAAAAGAAGAAAGATACGACCGTCGTTGAGACGGGTCGGCTGAAGAACGCTTTCCGCGGGGAGAGGGAATCGCGTGCCTGCCGGCCTGCTTGCCTCCAAATAATTTAAGTGGACTACGTGGAGCGTGCTTTGAGACGAATGCAAGGATGAGCGAGCGAGTGAGTTGACTGAATGGGTCGGTTGAGTGAAGGAGTGACTGAGAGAAAGCGAGCGTGGTGGAGCGAGTGAGTGTATCATCCGGGTCACAAAACAATGTATCTTTTTTACGGACGCGTTCATCGATTAACTGCGTTCTTGAATGCCACCGCGGCTTTTTCGTGCGTGTGCACCTGTGACTGCCCCAGCATCTCTGCCCCCCCCCCCCTTTTTTTTTTTTTGCAATCTTCTAGTCTGCAGTCCGCATTGTCGTCTGTTGCGTGCTTCTTTTTCTTTTTTTTAACCATTGCTCGTTGCAGCATTGCAAGTGGTCCTTCTGACAACAAAGTTTATCTGTGATTTTTCGCTATTATACACACGTGTACTTTGGAAAACTGTCTGTGAGCGTTGACGGTGTGCGCGTCTCTGTTGCACGATTGTTGTGTGCCGACCCGACCCGTGGCGTCGCTTCGTCTGTTTACTTTTTAAACGAAAGTGGGGTGTCAGTCCGAGTTTTGTCTTTTTTCTTCTTTGTTTTCGTGCGATTTTTGGCTCCGTACGTGTACGAGTGGTCTGGTATTTTTATTTATGATCTTCGTCCTAGCGTGTTGTGTCGTTGACACAAGTGTATGCCGTGGTGATTTTTTTAACTTCGACTGTGTAATATATTGCCATGAGGAACGGGTGAGGAGAGGCAGATGGTGAGGCCTTAGCGCTCACAGCATGCACCAAACATGTCCGACACGCGTCACTCAAAGAAAATTGCACTGAGGATAGGGAATGTTGGTCTCCAAATTAAGCAGGGTGGTCCCAAATGCAGCCGTTCGGGCCATTATACTGACCGACAATCATTATCGATGCACAAGTACAGTAAAACCCTCTTTGCGCAAAAAAAAAAAAAAAAGTGCCTGCTCACCCTTGAGCAAGCACCCATGAAATCAAGTTACCACCCATACACTGAGGAAATGTGGAAGCTGTGTGGGATTGTGATGACTCGCATTGACAGTCTGGCCTCTTCGGAAAGTTACCTCTGCAGAGCACGGAGGGGCTGGATGCCGCAGATGTTGCGTCACATTGAAACCACCGGAAGTTCGCCCCCTTTCCCGAAACTTTTGTCGTTTTACGCAGCTTGGTTGCTACTTGGGATACACTTTGTCATCTTTCCTGAAGCAATTGATCAGGATGTAGTTGCTTGTTTCGTTAGCTTGTGAAAATTTTTGTTCTCTTTTTTGCGTATTTTTTTAAAAATGTTTAAAGCCCTATTTGTGAAGCCAACCTATACTATTAGGGATGTTAAAACTTAAAAAAGAAAAAAAAAAAAGAAATGCGAAAGAAAAACAATACAGAAAACAGAACTTCATTGCTTTCGAAACTTTCCCAACACTGGACTTCTGGTGGAAATATGTCTAAGCTACCGGACTTCATTTTCTTCACAAGCTTGCAATGTTCGAACGTGGCCGTGCGGTGTCCAGCCTCCTCGGACTTCAGCGTTGAGCTATTCGGGCTGAATGCCGAGTTTTGCTTGCTGTGTAATTACGAAGTTATGGAAACAAATCAAGTTGCTAAATTCTTTAGTAGAGAACAGTTCTACGTACTACAATGGTGACACCCATTGAGAGACTACCAGTCAGACATTTCAGGTGCTTGCTTAATGGTCAGGGTAGCTTTCTCTCTATATAGCTATCTTTGCTCGTCAACTTAATGTCTGAAAGAATTGTGAGTTGGTAAATAGGGCTTCTCTGATTTGCTGGAGCGTATTACCAAAATTCTGGGATCTTCTGTACAATCAGCAGTATCCTTCTGGCAGTGCAACTGCTGCCTTTCTTCCGTTCGGCTTCTGTAAAGGGTGTTCTGAATCACTTGTTACAAAAATGGTCTCTCGATGCAGTATGGAATTTTTTTGGTGTGAAATGTTGTGACAGAGCTTTCTTTTAGTTCTGTAGACATGCTGTACACTCTGATCTTGAATAGCTGTTCATTTTTATTAGTTTTAAAATTATATTTTGAGTCCTGGCATGGCCACAAACCTGTTACTGCAGAACTGAAAGTAAGTTGTGTGTTATAGCATTGAAGGTTCTGCATCTCTGGTTTTTAACCCATAGTATGCCAAATTTGTTTTTGAGCTTTTGGTTAGTCTGGTAAAGTCTGCCATGTGGAGAATTCAGCCTCCCCTTTTTGTGCCATCTATGTGCTGATGAATGAATTTTGGTCAAGAACTTTTCAACAAAATACTAAATGAAAATTACTTAACTGTCAGTAGTAATGTGTAATCTTAGATTGCAAGGATCTACCAAGTTTAAAGAACTCCGTCCGTGTTCCTCCGGTTCTAATTGGCGCAAAGATATGTGGCAAACTGTTTGCGACCTTGCCTTATTGTTGTTACGTGCAAAGTCACTTCACAAGCAAGCGAATACGAGTTATCCCTGTGGTGGCCAAGTATGATAAAAGGAAAACAAAAATTGCTAACAGTGCCAGTCATAGCTTGGGAACCTCCTGTATTGAGGATAGCAATAAACATAGTGCGACACATAAGTGGGAAGTGGGGAGATATGCCAGCTACATTTCCTAAAGAAAAGAATAGGAGGCAAAGTGGTGTTACCGAAAAAATACTGGTAAACTTGAACATTTTCATAAAGGAGACTGCAAAAGCCGTCCACATTCAAGTAAAACTTAAAAGAAAGAAAGCAGAGTTTCCAGTGAATGGGAACCAAAGATACAGAACCTTAGTTATGACGCACAAGGTACTGACATTTGGGGTTTTGTTCAATAAAACTGTATTTCTTATGGTGAGGGTTTTACTCTTGAACGTTGTAAAAAAATTTAGTTTGTGCCATTCAGCGGCTGGCCTGTGTGCAATGGTGTGCAGCACACTTGAAATCTGTCCAAAACTATGGAAATCCGCATAGGGTCTTTTTGTTATTGTCACTTGTTGATGGGATTTGCAGTTACCCCCTCAGATAACTATGGAACGTTACTGCCACTAATATATTGCCCAGAAGTCTACTCGAATGAATCTGAATGATGAACATCGTGTTAGATCTGCACGCCTCTCGCGGATTTTCAACTGTGAAGAGTGCATCGCACCTTAGTCACAAGATATCTTTTTTATTCTTTATTATTTATATTTCGTTATCATCCTTTTGACAACATTGCTGGTTTGTCTTTCTCTAAAAGAGATTTTTCGGTGAAATGCTTACTTAAAAGGGAATATAAATGACTTCTGGAGGCTTTTGAAGTTACCTTGGTACACTATAGACAAAAGTGGTGACACTTTCACCTTGTTCCAATAATTTTGAGGTTTCGATGTTCATACTTAACTGGAAGGATTGAATCTCTGGCTTGTGAACTCTGTCTAGTGGCTAGTGGAGATTGGTAGCAACTAGCAGTGTCTGCCTCAATATGTACCAGTGGCAATGCGAGCTCGTTCACCAGTACATTCCTATGGAAGGATAGTTAAAAGTGGGTTCTACTGTATGCAAAAATTCTAATTGGTTGTAAAGACCAGAACTGTTGATAGTTTGCTTGCTGTTTACTGTGGTCCACTCACAAATTCAGTAGTTATGCGGTTGTCGTGTGTTGTCTGTTGTGTCAGTGCTGATGCTATGAGCAAGCAAAACAAGTGCATAGTGGCTCCGAAACTGTATTCTAAGCTCTTTACTCTCTCCTCCCCCGTATAATTCGCATTCTGTTTTTAACCCTCAAAGCTCAGTGTATTGCTCTAACGTGCAAGGCGTGCATATTTTATATATAGACACATCTACGTACGGATCATTGCATCAGTGACATTGTTTACTCAATAGCAGTGGCATCTGCTCTACAAATATGTGTTGCCTTCAGCCATCATCACTTTTGTTAATGTACGAGGAAGGCAGACGAAGGAGCTGCCTTGGGGGTCTGGACCGATTAGCATTACGCGCTGTTGAAGTCGTGTGTTGAAGTTCTTTTGCATAAAGCAAAGCTGCTGTCCCCGTGCATCTTGCAGTTGTCTTCAGTGTCTCATGCCTTAACATATACACACAAATTTCAGAAGTTAGAGTTGCTTTAGACAGAACTGTGTGGAAGACCAAGGAATAAACGTTTGAGCCATTGTTCGAGGCCCAAAGAAGTATGATGTCGAGGTATCCTTTCTAAGTTGGCGATAAGTAAAAGTGAGATCGTTCATGTTAAACATTTCTAAAACCCAAGACGGAGGCTACAAAGAGGGGACAAGCACTCTTTAACCAGCTTGCCTGCTTTATTACATTGTCTCAATAGTTCAGGGTTCGCCCCTGAAAAGGTGCTCAGCTGAGTGCTGGTTGAGGGATTACTGGTTGCCATCATAGTTCTTGACTGATGTCGGACATGAGGACATGAGTGAACTAGAGCTCTGTTGGCTCTAATGTGAAGGCAGTGTGTTCTCTGCACATACCAGTAAGAATGACGTTAGCATATGGTGAGATGACATCATGTTTAGATCATGATAGTTTGCATATTATGTTATCTTGATTCCTTAGTTGATGCTGCAGCTGCGGAATGTACTTGTTTGCAGCAAAACCACCACAATGGCAGCTGTTGTGTTGTTGATGCAAGCCATGTATGCGTTACACTTGTTGCTCCAACTTGTTGCATTACGCATGTTTTGAGGTACAAATGTAACATAAATCAACCAAATCTTTTGAAAACAAACGACATAGCTAAATTAATTTTGCAAGAAAAGTAATCCGAAGCAACTAAAGTAGACACTTTTTCTTTGCTCATTGCTTCTATACAGTAATTAAGTTTGTTTACTTGCACAGTTAAGTCGCAGTGCCAAATTCTGATTGGAAGAATTGTACACAAGGGATAGCTGCCTTTGCCCTTACCTACTACTATAGTCTATTAATTGGAGCACAAGCAAGTGTGCACTTTTTGTTCCTTGAGCAGAGAAAGCAGCGACAGGCATTTGGTTGCTAAAATGTGTTGTTGTTGATTACGGGCTTTATGGCGCAAAGCTACTATGGCCATACTGCGCCAAGCTTGGCTAAAATGTGGTTACCTCTGTCAGTCCTAGCAATGGCTGTCTTACCCCCTCCATGGCTTTCAGAAATGGTACTTTATGAGCAAGGTCTTCGCCTTTGAGAAAGGGGGGTGGGGTTTGAAGGGTACATTATTTCTGTCGAATAATGACTACTAGAATCGTTACAACGAAGAAGGAACGCTCTTGACTAAAATGCTTGTTCCCCACTGAAGAGCAAACCACTGGGGCAGAGCTTCATTGCACAGGTTATCACTCCCTCTCTGTGCACCTTCTCTCTCAGGTGAGCTTCCCCTCCACCCTCTTAAACGCACGAAGACGCGGTTTGGTAGACTTGCCCGCCGTATAAAAGCAGTCTTTGGTAGTAACGCGTTACTGTCACTTCGTTACTTTTCTTGTAACTGTAACGAGTTACTTTTTAAAAATGTAACTTGTAACTGTAGTTCTATCGCTTTTTCCTGAAGTAACGATGAAAGTAACGACATTACTTTTGCCCTTACTTTCCAGTGTTTTATGAATAATATATCACTGAACGAGTGCAATTGAGCCATTCCTTGCACTTTCCAAATCATCTATTCCGACATTTCGAGTGTCAAGTCGGCCTTGCATAAAGTTGTGAATACGTTCTTTCTCGCGAGTCACGACCCGAATATAGCCACGTGTAGATTTTATGAAAAAAATAACTAGTTATCTTTAAGCACACGCTTGTACTTTGTGACTGAACACTTACATCTTAGTGTCTTGAAACACTATCTACGTTGTAGTTTGTCTTTTTTTCTGTGCAAACGCTTTTTAATTGTGTGAATCAACCATGAAACAACAATACATTTGGAGGGCACTGCACATGCCTCGTATTTTGATTAGCGCCACCACTCCGCACTGCGCATGTTTCGTATTTTGATTTGCGCCACTACCCTGGCGCGGAAACTTTCAAAGACTAACTTCGAGAAGCAACGGCTGCTAAGTTACGATATGAAATAAAAAGCATACTTTTTAAATTAATGCAATAAAACGCGAGGGGCGTTTTCTGTTTTTTTCTCATTTTTTGTGCTATAGAAAAGTAACTGAAAAGTAACGTTGTTACTTTTTAAAAGTAACTGTAACGAGTTACTCTTTTGTTGCGGTAACTGTAACGGTAACTTTGCTACTTTTTTTCTGAAAGTAACTAACTTTAACGGTAACTTTGCTACTTTTTTCTGAAAGTAACTAACTGTAACGAATTACTTCTTAAAAGTAACTTACCCAAGACTATAAAAGTAATTAATGCAAATAGCTTTAATTGGCGCTCAAGGTGCACAAGCGCACATGCGTAATGGTGCTCGTAGCCTTGGCGGGATAAAAACTGATGGAAGTTCAAATAGGAGGAACTATCGAAGTGTACAAAGCCTCTTGCGTACCCCTCGGCCGCAGTGTTGGTTTCGATTTGCCAACCTTTCTACTTTTTTATATATATATATATATATATATTTTTTTTTTTTTTTGAGTGTGTGGGGGGGGGGGGGGGGGGGGTCTTTCGTTTTTTTTGATTAGTCTAAATACAATGAAAGTACAGACACAAAAAAAAGTTAATTGCTTGTTTTAAGTTAATATTATTAGGGTTTAATTTGTATTCTAATTTTTTTAGTCACCTTTTTCAGAAAGTTTAAATTCTAATAGGCTACTAGCGCCACCCCAACCCTCACGGTTGAGGCATCTTTACGCGTAGCCAGAAAAGAGCAATAATCACAAGTGTTTCCTGCAGGGGCGTATATGCACTACTAGCGAAGAACATTTGTCAGCGATTTCGTGCACTGAAGGATACGCTTCTTTGCCGAAGCAGCCCTGCCGTCGAGCCAACGTGCCAGCGAACTGGATATGGTGCCAGCGATCCACTGAGAGATACGCTTCAACGGTGAACCGGTCAGAAGAGCCACCCGCACTACGCCTAACTCACGTTCTTTACGGTAACACGGCCCTTTAAACCGTCTCCACGAATGCTTCTCCCGTTGGACGCACGCTTTTGATTTATTGATTTTTATCTTTTCGGATGACAAAACCAGATCGCAACGAGCAACCTATCATTTTTGTGCACTTAATGCGCGTCTGTTTTCTTGCAGAATACTGTGCACCGCTACTTTAGCCAACCATGACTGACGCCAAATACTTCACGACGACTAAGAAAGGTGATTGAATTGTCCTTCTCGTTTTTACGCTTTCACAAAATAACTTGTTAATTCGTTTACCTGAAGTGGACGTGTAATTGAGAGAACGGGAAACGATTTGCACCTCGTTAGCTGTAGAGAATTGATCGCAAACACCGGTATGTTTGACTGCGGCTTTGGCGCGGGGGGGTGGAAGGGGCGGATGCATTGGTTGCTGTGGGTGCATTTACTACGACCTTTGAATGAAATAACCTTTGGGTGCTTCGCTTTTCAGGAGAGATATTCGAACTGAAGAGCGAACTGAACAGCGACAAGAAGGAAAAGAAGCGAGAAGCAGTCAAAAAGGTCATCGCTTCGATGACAGTTGGAAAAGATGTCAGGTGAGAACGTTAGGAGCGCGCCGGGCGAGGAGCAATTTTTTAGTGGTGATTCTTGCGTGGTGAATAGGCGGGTGTGATCACTTTTGACTACTCGCCTAAATAGTGATTGGCTTTCGTAATACAATCCGCCAGAAAAAACACAAAAAAAAAGGAAAAGCGGCAACATTGTTTTGTTTGGCAGCGAGATTGCTGACACGTGTCGTTACGAAGCAAGATTGTAATCACTTTGATGAGATTGGCGGTGTGTTTTCTGTTTTGGTGGTTTGAGGGTTTCATGTTTCTTCTTAATAAAAATTCAGTTGTAAGTCAGCGCTTGTCATGTACAGTCAGCACGGAATGAAACCCGAACGCTGGAACGCGTGGCCATCGACACAGGCTGCTCCACCTGGAGGGCCCCTGAGAACTAATAAAAATGCGCCGGGTTGCGAGAGTTCGGGTCCTACTAAGTAGTGCTCGACCCTCGCGCAGGGCGTCTGGGACTTCCGCGTTATGCCAGTGGCGTGCTGTAAGTGCCGTCACTCGGGGTGCTTTTGTGTCGCCGCGCTGTTGCCCAGTCGACACCGGGTGATTCCTTAACCTGGCTACAGCTTTTCGCGATAGGCCCTGTACAGACAGGGTGATGAATTTATTCCGCTCCTGAATTAATACGCCCGGCATATCGGTGGTTGCCAAAAAGAGCGTCGGCGAGCAATTTTTCGCTTTTTATAAGAATCTACTGATAATCTCGCACGAAAACATGTGCATTGCTTATAAAAACCAAGGCATCCGCGTCTGTCTCTTATAGCATTTTTTTTTTTTTCATAAAGAGTATGGTTGTGCCAATAAACAAATTTTATTTTGCGCCTATGAAGTTTCACTATTTCTCGGAAACCGCGTGTGCCACGTTGTTGACCAGAGCCTCCGTGTGGTTCCGGTGACACGTCATCAAGCACTACGGGTCTTCTGTGCACGAAATGTTTCAACTCCGAGTTCGCTGAGTTCAAATTGCAATACACAGTGACATTTGATGACAGAGCTCAAGAGATATCGCTGAGCATCCGATACACAAAGCGAGGGACGGCGCTTACAGTGCGCCACCGGCGAAACTCTGAAGTGTCAGACGCGCTGCACGAGGGTCGAGCTCATCTTAGGACCCGCACCCTCGCACCCCGGCACATTTTTATTAGTTCTCAGGGGTCCTCCAGGTGGAGCAGCCTGTGTTGATGGCCACGCTTTCCGGCGTTCGGGTTTAATTTTTTGCTGACTGTACATTCCTCTCACTTTCGTCTAATTTTTACGCTTTTTTTTTTGGTTGTAATGCATCACCAATTTGCCCAAGTAACCACTCTTATACTACAGTGGCAAGTTCTTTAAATATGAACACTAATAAAGAGAAGTGGCACGTTCTTTAAATATTAAGGTAAATTTCCGTCCTTGCGTCGCTGTGGTAGAATATCTGATGCCTAAAATGTTTTGGCGAAGTTTCTGAAAATCATTGTGGTTAAGTAAGCAGGTATGTTTTCAACTTAATATTGCAGTCTAAATTTTTGGTAGTATTAGCAGTTGTAACCCCACAAAAAGGTTAGTGGCTTGTATCTGCTGGCTTGCTGCACTGTTTCAAGTTCCAAAAGTGCAAATGCAGGATACATTTTCGCCATTGGAAACAAGTGTGCTGAATAGAGGCAGTCGAAGAGAAATTTAGGATTGCTGGTCAGGTGACCTACTTCTATTGCAGTTACACTATGAACGATGAACACTAAAGATGATGAACGAAACATAGACTTGGGCGAGGTACCCTAATCCTTTTACGCTGTTTGTCGTCCTCTCTGACTGCGATATCTCGAGCACTTTGGGACCTGGCAATATTTGCTCTTGTTGTGTAGCTTTTTGGTTGCTCCGCAGAATTTGGCTTGGAGAAGTTTCTTGCGCCATTCAACTCAAAACTGAATCTGAAATTGCATGCTATAAGGGACAACACTGGCACCTTGAGGTCAGTCACTGCAAAGGAAAAGGGTTGTGTTAGAGGGCATAGGAGTATGGATTTTCTTCGTAACATTGCCGTTTCACCAGCAAAAGAGGACTTAGTGATGGGGAAAGGAGTGACAAACAATGTGCAAAAAGAGAGGATGGTGCGAGAAACTTTAGAGGTAGGTAGGTAGCCAGATTTTTCTTTGCATGGGCATCCCGGGTCCTGCTGAACTCCTTCAATTTTGTTGTCAAGCGGCAAGTTACAATAGACTACTTCCGAAATTCCCGTACGTGACAGTGCGCACGTTGCATTATGGGACCTTTTGACCGTGGAGACCCAGTGGCATGGTTTCGGTTTTGATTGCCCTATTGACGAAGTAGTGCATCTCAGCACTGCTTGAAAATAAAGTCGGTGCTCGCTCGCATCGCACCCATTCATCTTCGTGAAGTCCCCCGTTGAAACACGGACCTCCAGTGGTCGTAAGGGCCTGCCTACACTTGGCGAGGAGTAGAAGAGCTGGCTGTATCCCATACCTTTCTGGCGGCCTGGACGCCCCTCCGGAGTGCAGCTTGACTTTCCCAGGTCACAGATCATTCAAAAAACCTAGGACATTGAGACGACGGAACAGGGTGATTGGCCCATTACACTTTTCTTCCTTTCTTTACCTGAGCACAAACTCCGGCACGTCGGGAGTCCCCCCAGAAAAACGTGCCCTAGCATTCCATTCGTATCGGTAGGGAACTCCTAGAACATTACAAATTTAAGGAAAGTCGCTTATTTGAAAATTCATGCACCGTATTTGGTCGGGACTGGATATCGCAAATTGAGGTTTGCAAATCCAAACCGAAACCGTGACCAATGGGTTCCCACGACGCCTTGTACGGCACTGCGCCGCTAGGATTGCTTCCATTTTGCGAGAGGTCTATTTGAATAACAAGTTTAATGAAGGTGCCACCGGGATTCTGTCGTCATATTTGAGTTAAGACTCGTTTGTAGACTGTTTGCAGCACTTGACGAGGATCTCGTTAGCACCGGCATTCAGGGTTGGAAAAGTCTCCTACAGCTAGCCGAATTACACACATTAGAAGCGGGACTGGCCCGGGTTATCACCTCTAGAGACAATCTAGATTCAGCAGTGCCTGTTTCTTTACAGCATTTGTGACCTTTTCGGAGGATACTCAAAAATGAGTTATCGACTTGTTACCTTAAAATACCGAGCAAGCACCCACCCGAAATTCGGCGATAATTTAGAAAACCTGGGGGATGGGCGCTCGTTAGGCCCAGGAGCAAGAATGCGGAAAGGGCACTAATACAGTGGGCTTTGCCACTTTACGCCTGGACGTCCGGAGAAGCGGTCGACGAAGAAGAGCTTCTCTGTTAGCCTGGTAGGCTCTTGAGTCAAAGGTGGGCGCTTGGTACGTACTTTGCTTAATTCTCAAACTTTCTGGAAGTAGCGGGTGCACGCTTATAGCGATCTGGGTTCACGCTCGATATCTGACGAGTCGGAATCCTTTGTTTATTTGGTGCCGAAAAATGCCCCGAGTCTCCCTTCAGAGTCTGGTGTCGTCTCTCTCTCTCGCAGCGCTCTCTTCCCCGACGTGGTGAACTGCATGCAGACGGACAACTTGGAGCTGAAGAAACTGGTGTACCTGTACCTGATGAACTACGCAAAGAGTCAACCTGATATGGCTATAATGGCTGTGAACACATTTGTAAAAGTGAGCACCCTCCTTCCCCCTAGCACAACGCTCAGAAGGCAGCTCCGGTCGGTGCGTGTACGTAGCGTTTCATTTGGCCCGTGCGTCGAAAGAGATACTGGAGGGCCAACAAAGGACGTAAAAGCCGGAGTGTCGTGCCGTCGGACGTCGCGATCCTAAAGGTCAATCCCGGAAGTTGGCGAAGAGCGCGAGCAGATGCGGGTGTCGCCGCCGTCTAGGGATCCCAACTTCCAGCTGCCAAAGCCTCCAGGAATTGTCGAACTAGGGAGTGACGTGCAGCAAAGAGGCGTCTGCAAAGTCCACTGGCGCCGCTACAACGCCGCCGGGATCGCGGCTGGCGACGACACTACGCTGTAATGGCGGCGTCAGATGGAAGTCAAGGGACTACCTTCTTGGACCCGGCAAAACACACCAGTCAAATAGTTGTTCCAGGCATCATAATTGGGGCAACAGAGTGAGCCGTGCTTAGAGCGCCCGCACTCGATTCCCTGACTTCCTTGCTGGCGCCGCCATCTTGGTGCAGAGGGTGCACAACTGGCGATCGTCACGATTTGATAATGCGACTTGCATACGGTGTTGGCGTGCTCTGTTGCAGAAAGTTTCTTTCCCCAATGAAGGACAGAAAAGCGTTTCCGTGATTTCAAATAGTTTTAGAAAACTGGCAACAATGATTTTAGACACCAAGATGCCTGAGGTCGCGGTACTCTGAAACATAGTCTATTTAATGCCTACTCCCGCCCCTCCCTTGGGTATTGCTAGAGCCAGCAAAGTAATACTATGCTTCAGCCTTCTGGTTGGTGCAAATTACCTTTGCCGTTCGTCCGAAGAAGCTTCATCCAAAATTGCGGAAAACTGTTTTACGTCCTTGGGGAAACATCGAAACTGCCCACGACGGGGCGGAACTGCGTCGCCCGAGCTCGCCGAGGCCATATCCAGAACTTGCAAAGTCGCATTTTCGAATGGCATCGATCGCCAATGGATCGATCTCGTCGGCCAGTTTCGTTGAGCCGCCACTGTCATTGTGCGTCGTGGGAACCGTATGCTTTCTGAATGCGCGACAATCCTGCTTTGGTCCGGAGCAGAGCACGAGGCAGCATGAGCGGTCTCGTGCGCCGGCGCCTGCCTCCCGTTAACTAAAGTTGGGGCGCTGTCACGCGTGTGGGATGCTTGGCAAAGCTGGTTGATTGCGTCAGCTTTGCACTAGGCGCCAAAATCGTCGCCCGCAAGAAAATTAGTGACAAGTCTGAGCATAGCTTGTTTATATTATAATTGCATGTGGGCACCCTTAACTGCGGTTAAGTCTAATTTCAGTTACGCTGTGTTAAGTGTGCTTGCGTAAATGGGGTATGAGTGGCTCTGGGTATCGCCGTGCGGAGAGTGGAGCGGCATTCTCACGGGAGGGTCGTCTCTGCCAGGATTGCGAGGACGGCAACCCCCTGATCCGGGCGCTGGCGGTGCGCACGATGGGCTGCATCCGCGTGGACAAGATCACGGAGTACCTGTGCGAACCCCTGAGGAAGTGCTTGAAGGACGAGGACCCCTACGTGCGAAAGACGGCTGCCGTGTGCGTCGCCAAGTTGCATGACATCAACGCGCCCCTCGTCGAGGACCAGGGATTTTTGGATCAGCTGCGAGACCTCCTCTCTGATTCAAACCCCATGGTGAGTGGCCCGGTGCGTCTTCTATTCACCCCCAAGCTGGTGTGCGATGGAACCTGCGTGTTCGTTGGTCCGATCGTGCGTCTTTCTCTGCAGGATCATATTCACACGCAGAGAGCGTGGTGAAAGGGGGCTGTTGATAGATTTGGTGAGCGCGTAGCTCCCGCTGTACCACCGGCTTAGGTGTGAACGGAGTATAGATGGGTGCCCCGTTGCCGCTGTTGGCACCACGCAACGCCATCTGCTTCATTCCGGGTTGAGAAGACATGCCGCCAACTGAGGAACGAAGTGGTCCGTTTCAACGGCATCGAGGTTGCGAAGGACGTTTGGCATCAATAAAGCTGTCGCTGTACGCCGACACATTCAGCAGCCCGGCCGGCAAGATTGAAGCAAAGGCTGCCCATACTCGTTAGTTTTTTCGGTTGGACCTCAACTTTCACCGACACTGGTACCGTGGAGCAAGGTCCCCAATCTTATTCTTTTCATGGATGATTTACTGGAAGCCATAATTTGTTGCTTAATTGAACTTTTGATTTTAAATTTAATATTTAGCTGAAGTATTGCTCATAAATGTTAGAACTGAGCTTAGGACTGCAAATTTATAGTCATTCATTTATTACTGTCAAGAAACTGTGACTTGTTCTTTACCACCTAACCGGGAGGGGTTGCGTTATGTTGGGGAACAGACCTGCAGCAGAACAGGCATTGCAGGAAGTTCACCATGGCTGTTCATCTATCAATCATGCAAATGCCTCATATTTCGGTGTGCCGTGACACTTGGTTCCTCAGTTCGCATCCCACGGAGGCTGCGTACGCCAGTGTTTACGTCTCTTCTTGTCCTTGTGTTTTTTTGGCGCCCGTCTTCGATCATGAACCAACTGGTCCAAATTGCCATCTTAACGTAGGCTATGTAAGTTCCAAAATTAAGGGGATGAATGATTTTTCTCGTTGTCCCGCGAAACAGTTTGTGCTACTGTACCCTGTTGCGTAAATTTTTCATGGTGGAAAGCAAGAAGAAATTTTTATTATAAGAGTAAAAGTAATTTTGATTCTTTCCCGTTTTGGTAAACGTCTTTGACCAAAATATTTCACTTCTAGAAAACTGGACACAGTCAAGCTGCTTAAGATTGCACGACTGTTAGCTGGTCAGTTGTTCAGTCAAAAAAACATTCACGTGCTTCCAGACCCAAGCAAGCATTTGGTATCTCGCAAACTAAAGTATCTTTTACGAGGGAGCATGGTTAGACATTCTCAACAGACGGTAAGAGGTGTCGAAATTCCTCGAGTCTTCATGAGGTTCTTCCATAATTTACACATTGGAAGTGCGCTCTCCTCCCCATAGTGGTGGAAGGAAAGTAGCTCTCAAATGTGACTTAGCGAGAACCGCTAGCTTGGGGGGGGGGCGACAAAACTTCCCAGACGCAAACAAAGCCGCGTGCTGCACACAGTGTCGAGACGACTACTTGCGTTTCTCTCACCAGCGGCCTAAAAACAAAAATCACCCAAAATGGGAACGAAGAAGTTGGGACGCCACAAAGTGCAACTTTCAATTTGCATCATGGAGGTAGGAAGCTTCTGGATGCAACATGACGCCACCAGAGGTGAAGCCAGAAGTGCGGAGGTACACACCCCCAACGATGACCAAAACCAATAGTGTCTCTTGGTCCTGGTCGTCGTTGGGGTCGTGTTTCTCTACACTTCCGGCTTCATGTCTCGTTGCCTCACGTCGCCTCCAGAAGCTTCTTACCACGTGACTTGCGCCAACCTCCTCGTTTCTCTGGTGCCTTTCGTTTCCAAGTCTGGTGACAGGCCCACGGCCGGGTTGGTTGTTTCACCGGCAACCGCGCACGTCCAGGTGGTGGCGAATGCGGTGGCTGCCCTGTCGGAGATGAACGAGGCCTCGAGCAGCGGGCAGCCCCTGTCGGAGATGAGCGCCCCGACGATCAACAAGCTGCTCACGGCCCTGAACGAGTGCACGGAGTGGGGCCAGGTGTTCATCCTGGACTCACTGTCCAACTACGCCCCCAAGGACGAGCGGGAGGCCCAGAGCATCTGCGAGCGGGTCACCCCCCGGTTGGCCCACGCCAACGCGGCCGTCGTGCTCTCTGCTGTCAAGGTCGGGTGCACACTCACCATTGGGGTGCCTGCAACGCGTCTTCGACCGGCGTGCACACTCTCCCTGCCCACCCGCTCGTCGAAGGTGGTCTCAAAGTGGCGAGAAATTGCGTCGCAGGATTTGGAGTGTAGTGCCGTCGGGTGTCACGATCTCGGTGGTCGGTCATAGAAACTCCAGCAAAAAAATTTGGGTGGAGCCATCTATGTTGCTGTCTAAGTGATTGGCTGCTGACATAATCAAAAGAGCCGTGGCAGGTCACGCATTAGTTTTTTTGGCGAGGAAACTGCGCTTGCGCGTAGGTCACATGATGCGAAGTCGGTGACGTCATCTTCCCTGCTAAATTTGGTCGGGAAAATAAACTGCCAGAAACATTCCTCAAAGTGTTTGAGGAATGTTTTGGTCGATATACTGGAGAGGTGGCCTAAGGCGGGACGAGCGTTTGCCATGTCCACTTCCACTCCCGTGCCACTGCCACAAGGTTGCAGTGGGCAACAGCGAGAGGGTCGTACAACATCGTTGGGTAAAATCGAGGAACCGCTTTTGACGCGGAAGTAGGAAGCTTCTGGGAGGAGACGCGAGGCCACCAGGGGCAAGGCCGGAAGTATGGAGGGACACCGCCCTCACTGACAACCAAAACCGAGAGCGGCCGTTTCGCTCACTCCGAGGGTTACCAGAACGGCTGAGTCGGCTCTCCTTTTCGTTCAATGGCATCTCGGTTTTGATTGTCGTCGGGGCCGCATCCCTCCGCTTCCCGCCTTGCCTCCGGTGGCCTCATGTCGCCTCCGGAAGCTTTCCACCTCCAAGGTGACAAGTCTTTAACCTGCCTCTTTGGCGTATCTGCAATGCGACGTGCTAGGTCTCGCGACTTGATCCGTTGCCACTTCGTAACCACTTTCGACGCTTGGACGCCGAGCGGACCAGTCGGAGGCGGGTTCTGGGCGACGTACTGCCACTTGGATCGCGGGTCTTCGTGACGTGTGTCTACCGAAACGGCAGGTGGTTGGGTCACGAGCGTTTGAATCCTGCGAGCCTCCTACTCTTAGGAATTATGAATGACGAAATCAAGGAAGTTTGCGAGTGCAACTGTAGTCGGTGGCGGGGGTTGCGCTCGGTACCTGCTGTCGTGTTTTAGTTTCGCGTGGCTGCGAGACACCGAAGTGTTATGGAACGTAGAAAGCCCGAGGTGGAGCTCTTGCCACATTTTTAACCCGTCTCAGGTTGTAGGTGCTTCCAGAGCAAGTGGGAAGTCAGGAAGTATGGGGATCTTAAGATGGGCCCGATTCTTGAGATATTGCTGCTTTGGTTGTTTGGTTAAGCAGCTTTCGGATGGAGCAGTTTTTTTTTTTATCCAAGTGCTTTAATGCGGCAACTATACTATTATGACGATTGCGAGTAGAATTTTATGGCTTTTAAAATTGCTTTATGCGGTTGCGGTATGGCTGTTCGCATCTCTGCCCGTATTTTGGTAGCCAAGCATTTGGTCTGGGTCGCTCTTGTATTAGTGCGACTGCCAGTCCGCTGGCAACTCTGGAATTAACGGGAAAAAAATTGGTTGGTCCAGAATAGGCTTAGTCTTTTTTCTTCTCGGTCGGAGTTGATCCTATCGAATCTTGTGCACTGTAGAACTCTGTTAATATGTTTCCCGGGGGACCGTGATAAAAAAAAAAAAAAAAAAAACTTATTTTCCAAGGAAATGTACCAACTAGTCTTGTGCGAATAGTGGATTTTGAGTTCGAAGCGAATTCGAATCGAATAGTCGTTTTGGCCGAATATTTTCGATTCGAATATCGAATAGTTTTTCCACGCCTTTCACTACCACTGACGTTGCAATTTGGGCCAGTTGGTTCATGATCGCCTAAAAAAGCGCCAGAAAAACGCAAGGACGAGCAAGTAGACAGAGCGCTATTGTCTGTCTACTTCCTCGTCCCTGTATTTTTCTGGCGCTTTTTTAGGTGATTTCACTACCATTGTATAATGCTTAGACGAAAACCCAGCAAAACCTGTGAAGGTTGTCCCACTTGTTCATTTATAAGCTAAGTTTAATATATCTATATTTATGAACTATGACCTTAGAAAGTCTGGTGTCTTGGGGTGGCAAGTAAACGACGGATCTGACATAAAATGAATACTATAAAGATGGCCAACTATACCAAATTAAGTGAATTTACAATTATTTCTCTATAAAATATTGTTTTTTTAAACTTGAGTTTAAAAAAAAATGAATCGCGCATCATGAACGCAGGTTGCAAGGGCTTCTCTGCCTAACATAGTGTACTCTTGCATAAGAGTTTAATTTTGAAACTTTTACTACATCGTAGATATACAGATACACAAAGTTTTCATTTATTTTCAAATACAGTCGGCACGGGTGCACCATCCCGCTTTGCATGTATGCTTTTGTGCCAAGCACGCAATTCGATATTCACTTTTTCAAATGTTTATTGCGGCGGGTTACCCTGTTGAGTGCGCTTCTTACCGACCACCGAAGTAATGCAGAGAAGCAATACCCGCGGAGCTTACTTCCTTGGGTATGGCTTCTCCGCAGCGACCCATTACTTGATAAGAAGCGCACTTAACGGGGCTAACCCGCTGCAATGAACACTCCGAAAAACGTGAATAGTGCAGTTCTTCTCGAAGCGAATATCGAATAGTGTATTATTCGGAACCTCTATTCGAAGTTTCGAATATTCGCACAACCCTAGTACCAACCAGTAACACTTTTGGGGAACCTGAGTGAAAGAAGGGAAGCACTCTTTTGCAACTTCTTTATTTCATTGAGGCTCTAAGGGCTCTGGATGACCACCGCAATTATTTGAGTATAGGTCAATGTTTTTTTTCGACATTGTTCTTCAAACTCGGGGTCGACCTATACAGTAGTGTCTCGTTAACAAGGACGCCTCCGTTGCCTCAAACAATCGTCCGTAATGCAAGTCATCCGTAATGAGACAAAAGTGCACGCATTTACCCAGTTAGTCTCCGGGAACTCTGTCCGTATAGCGGAGCGTCCGTATTACTGGGGTCCGCAGTAACGAGATGCAACTGTATTTGTAACCAATGAATGTCGGCCTTTAAGTGAGCAAACTTTTGTGTCGGCTACTGCTCGTAGAACGTTACTGCAGAGCAGTGAAGCTCAAAAGTGGTGCATGTTGAGCTTCCCCGCTTCGCACCTGTGTGTTAGGTGCGGTGTCTGACGCAGGAGTGTGGCTGACTGACATTCTTGGGCTACGATTAATATTGACCCTTAATTTTGAAGAACAAAAAAAAAAGTCTACCTGCATTTGAAGAAATGTGGTGGTTCTTCGTGGCCGTGAAAGTCCATTTGATTCATATTGGCATATGACATCTGATATAGGCTTCCAAAAGCGTTGTTTTCCTAGATTGTGCTTTTTTTTTTTAGTTCCCAAAAAATGCATTAATGATGTTCTACTTTGCTGTGTATGAGTATTCCGCCATACTGGTCATCGAGAAAAGCTTAAAAAATTGACAATCTGGTGTACTTCCTGCGCCATGCTCGACACCGATATAGTAATGCACAATTGAATCGAAAGCACTAGCAGTTGAGCATAGCACTCTTGGTGTGTTGTAGTCGGCTCTCGTGCATACTGAAAGTCTGATGTGTGTGGATGCCTGTTGCATGTTTCAGGTGCTGATGAAGTTCATGGAGATGATGAGTAGCGATTCAGACTTTGTCACCACTTTGACTAAAAAACTTGCTCCACCATTGGTGACCCTGCTGTCCAGCGAGCCCGAAGTGCAGTATGTGGCTCTGAGGAACATCAACCTCATTGTGCAGAAGAGGTGAGCCAACGCCATATTTGGGTGTCGTGGGGACGTAGGCCTTTGACGCACTCTGTACTCCCTCCAAAAAATATTGCCGATTTTTTTTTTTTTTTTTGTGGGTTTAATTTGATTTTTGTATTTACGAGAGAAAATTAAGAATCACTGGCCTCTGTTTCTGCATCTGTGCGGCTGTTTTGGAAAATGAAAATAGCTGCAATCTACATTTGATTCTGGGCCCGTGAAACTTTACTCCTAGTATGGCAGCCTGGGTAACATTTTGGTCCAAAGACCTTATTGTTGCCTTATCGTCTACCGGGACTTTGACAAAGGTGGCAGTGATTGGTTCTTCTCATGCTTTCCGCACAGTTGATGTGGTCTCCTTGCATCAACTAAATACAGCACTTGTGTGGGATATTGCTATTTCTAAATTTGATATTGTACCCATTTTACTTGGTGCCACTGAGCTGCTTCAGCTTGTGAAACAATATGCTCACGTGATGACACAGTATGTATCGGTGCCCTTCTGTTGCTGAAGCCTCTTCAGGCGTTTTCGGAGTAGCCACAAAACGGCCAACTTTTTCGTGGCTAAAACTTGGCCGTGCGTTTTACACAGAGTGTGTGCAACAGGTAGCCTTGTCGGTCTCGTTCGCATCTTTGGTGCAGCTTCTGACAGTTCTCTGTTGCGCATCCCCTTGCCTCACAGACCCGACATCCTGAAGCACGAAATGAAGGTGTTCTTTGTCAAGTACAACGACCCCATTTACGTGAAGCTGGAGAAGCTGGACATTATGATCCGCCTTGCGTCGCAAGCAAACATTGCTCAGGTCCTGGCCGAGCTGAAAGAGTGAGTGACCCGCATCTTTGGAGCCAGGGTTGCATTGGAGGTTGGAGGGGACTTGGCCATGTGGGAGGAGGTACCTGATCATTACACCTTTCCAGCGGTTATCACCCAGACAAAAAATGCAGAGTCGCTGAACTGTGGACGCATGTATGGTGTCCGATAATCTGCAGAAGAGAGCTACTGCGCATGCTTCGAGCATGTTTTACGATATGTTACTGTGTTTGAGTTCTTTTAACTGTGGAGCGTGCGGTGTGACACGGTGCACGGCAGAACGCCAAGATGACGAGTTGTGATCTTTGATCTTGTGATCTGGCGAAGAGGTGGAGCGTGGCAGCTAGAGACAGGTCCCAACGTGCTCGGGGTTGCAGGTACGCCACAGAGGTGGACGTGGACTTTGTGCGCAAGGCGGTGCGTGCCATCGGGCGGTGTGCCATCAAGGTGGAGCAGTCCGCAGAGCGCTGCGTCAGCACGCTGCTCGACCTCATCCAGACCAAGGTCAACTACGTCGTCCAGGAGGCCATTGTGGTCATCAAGGTCAGGCGATCTCTGTTTGCACTCTCGGGCATCGAAGTTGCCCAGCTGGAATGCACATTAACTTTCTGCCTGAGAAACTTAACGGTAATGCATCTCGTAGACTAACTGGAAGGAATACTTGTAAAAGTGTATTTAGATTTTGGCGGCTCATGTACCAGGCTACAAGCATAGTACAGCTTCGAATGCCTGCTGAGGCAGAGCAACTACAGTAAAACCTCGTTATAACAAAGTTGAAGGAGCGGTCATAATTGTTTTGTTATAACCATTAGTTTGTTATAGCCAATATCTATTTCTTCCCACTATAGCAAGCAAGGGGAATTATGATTACTTTGTTATATCCATTAGTTTGTTATACCCCATTTTGTTATAACGAGGTTTTACTGTAGAAGTCTCTCGAAGGCAAGAGACTGCTTGTGTTTGTAAACATACAAGGTGTTTATCATAAATCTAGAGGAAGATGTTTTCCACCTTCCAATGCTTTTTGGCTGCCTTGGTGGAGCAGGGGCAGACGGGCAGGCATCTGTGGTACTGGTGGGCCCAGATTGCTTGTGGGGCTTTAACAAATGAGCATAAAACTGCAACACTTGACCAGTTGAGAGGTCGGCACTTGGTAGTTTTTTTGTTTTATTTTGCGAGAAAACAGACATTGGGGGCGATTGTGTAAATAAAAGTTAGTTGGCAAGCACATAACTTCAGTGCACCACTGTAGAACAAAGAAGCATAACTTGCTTCCCTTCTGTTGCTCCCTTCCTCGCTTTCCCTTGGAACCACTGATGTCAGCGGTCCTGATTTGCCACATTTCGCCCCCCTCCTTAACCCGCTGGCCACAAAAGGCTACATCACCCAGACAGCTAAGGGAGAACTTTTGTAAATTGGTGGTGACTTGCACCTAATATCCCTTGTATTGGGTTGTAACTCCAATTGAGCAGCGGACCTGGGGAGTGCATGCATCCACATAGTTTTTAAGAAAAGTGGATAAGCCATAGAAGTGTTTGCATAAAATAAACCTTTCATTGTCAAGCTTGGAGGCACCTGTTCTTTTGGCTGTTATTTCTGCAGTGTGTTGTCAAAGTGTAAAAAATATCGCAGTTAAAATTTGTATCGTGTCATTGTAATCTAGCTCCTATCTCTCAAAACAATTTTTTTTCTGCAGGATATTTTCAGAAAATACCCAAACAAGTATGAGAGCATAATTTCCACGCTATGCGAAAACCTGGACACGTTAGACGAACCAGAAGCTAGGTAAGTGGACGTCTCTCTTCATTTTTGTAACAAGTGGGGCTTGACTTCTTATTCTCGGCCGAGCTGGAAGCAAATTTATCTGCATCCTTTTTTTTGTTTTAATCCTCAGGGCATCCATGATATGGATCATTGGAGAGTATGCAGAACGAATTGACAATGCAGACGAGCTGCTGGAAAGCTTCTTGGAAGGATTCCACGACGAAAACACGCAGGTGAGCCTAGTCGAGCAGTTTTTTTTTTTCGAGCACAGTCTCGGGCTCTTGCAAAGAAACAAAGCTGTTGTAAATCAATGTATTTACAATATTTGAGTTATAATGCATGTAAATATTGGCCACCCTCAACGAGCTAAGGCCTTAAAAAAAATCACTCTCTAAAACCATTTTTTTTTTAAGGTTCGTTTGAGTCGTTAATCTTGTACAAAATGTGTTTGAATTGCAAAAAGCATTAATTGTTTATATGCTTTGTTGGCCAGTGAACTAAATTCTTGTTTATATACTTTTTTTTATGGTCTCATTCTCTGATAAACCTTTTGGTCCAACATTGTGTGTAGGTTCAGCTCCAGCTGCTGACAGCCATAGTGAAGCTGTTCCTGAAGCGCCCAACAGAAACACAAGAACTGGTGCAACAGGTAGGAAGGCTCTTTTTCTCGTCAATTTATTCAAGAAGGTCCTACCGATTGAGAGATGGGCTCTTTGCAAAGTTAGGATGCCGACAAAAAGAGGACCCCGGTGTTTGCAGTGACGTTCTGGTGTTAGTAGAGCTTGGCCGAGCACTCTTTTCTTGGCAAAATTAAGATGGCAGCAAAACACCACGTCATTCAAGAGCACCTTAAACTGCATTTGCAACATTGTTTCGTTGTTGTTTGGAGCCTAGCCAGTTCTGGGATTCTCCCTGCAGATTTGACAACAATTTGGTTTTGAACGCACCTAAGAGTGTTTGGTGCATGCATAATGCCGCCATAATTTTCGTTCGCAGGCAACGGTGCACGAGACGGCTCGTATCAACTCGTGCACTGCGCACGCGGAGCAGCAGCGAGGTTGTTGCACGCCCAGAAAAAGTTCCCTCCATTTTCTCTCCAGTTAACTAAGCTGCCGCTGCACATCGGAGCAGCGGCAGCTTAGCCAAACTGGCTGGGAAGATCAATCTATATTGTCTTTGGAAGTTTGCGCATCGAGTTTCTATAACTGTACACCTGCAGCCGGCTGGAAAATTGGGATTTGTAACACGAAGCAAATGCGCACTTGTGGGAGGGTAAAAAATAGATAACTTTAAAAGATAAAAAAAAAAAATTTTAAGTGTCCTTTAAGCGAATTTGAAGCCATGACTCCAAGACTGCGAGTCTGACGCTCGACCACTGTGCAATAGAGGGACCCGTGATGCTGTGGTTATTAAATGCTACATTTCTTTCACCAACCAAACCGTCGAACGTGCAAGTAGCGTGAGAGGGTATTTTGGACCTTTGCTCCCTGCAATAGAGGTACAGTGGAATGCCAGAAGCTCGCGCTTGCCTCCACCATTGAACAGGGATTCCACAGCTTCTGTCAGAGAGAACCCCAGGGGAAGAGACTTGTGATAGGAGACCTGTGCTTGCTGCAAGTGCTCCAGTCGTCTTCATGCTACCTCGCAAGAAAAAGAAGCGAACTGAAGAGGACATTGCTCCTCCGAGGCTTGGCGTTTTCATTGTACCAATGAGATGCCGTAAAACAGAGAGCGGCGTTTGGCTGGGAAAAGAATAGAGGTGGGCTCGTTGTGCTACAACTAAGGGCCAAGTGAGGGCATGAGGTTAATCTCATTCAGTAGAATGTGTGGAAGAAAGGTTGAAATACAACGGCGTTTCGACGTTGTCTGCAGCGAAGCACCGCAGAAACTCACTCCCATTTTTCCACGTGTTGACGTTTGTTCATTCATCTGCTGATCTTGTCCACCCGACTACCGAGCGAGTCCTCTCTCGGACAGGCGTTGACGCTTCCTTCCAAATGGCATGTGCAGGTGCTGAGCCTGGCAACGCAGGACAGCGACAACCCAGACCTGCGCGATCGGGGCTTCATCTACTGGCGGCTGCTGTCGACGGACCCCGGGGCGGCCAAGGAGGTGGTGCTGGCCGAGAAGCCCCTCATCTCAGAGGAGACGGACCTGCTGGAGCCCAGCCTGCTGGACGAGCTCATCTGCCACATCGGCAGCCTGGCCTCCGTCTACCACAAGCCGCCCTCGGCCTTCGTTGAGGGACAGCGGGTGGCCCTGCGCCGGGCCCTGCCGCCCAGGCACAACTCGTGAGTCTGCCCGTTCGGTTGCGTTGCGATTATGACAGAACTTTGTCGTCTTCTACCAGAAGTGCCAAGTGGCACGCCCTCGGCTCGGGCCACGATCTACACACCGTTCCCGATCGCGCTAGCGACGTGCTTGCCGAGCTCGAAACTCTCATTCCACCCTTCCCGACCTTACAGGTCTCGTAATTAAGGTTTAGAAAGACCACCACAAAACGGTGGCTACGAGAATGGGATACTGCACGGGCATTTATCTTTTTTATACAAAACTCCATCCAATCCATTTAGAAGACAAGGTCCGCAGCTTCCCTTCTCTAACGTTGTCACTAGGACAGTCCAGATTGTAGATAGGGTACATCTTTAACCATGGGAAGCATTTGCAATTTAATGACTGACGGCTTCCGTGGAGATTGGTTGCAAGTGCGAATGCACAGAGTTTTCGTGTGGCGAGAAGAAAGGTGGGCAGAAAAACTGAGTGTGTTGCAGACGATAAAAGATTTTGGCACCTCGCTGTAGCTGTAGCTTGTATTGCAAATGCGGCCCATAAACCACGTGACCCTAGCCGAGCAGTTGCAAACTCTCGGTATGCTGTACTAGAACTGGGAGGTGTGCCAAGCGCCGCTCGTTTCTGGGCGCCTCCATTCGAAACTGGTGTGCCGTGGCACTGCTAGTCAAGATGCCGGTAGCTGATCGGGGGCGGTGTACAGGCCGCGCAGCATTTTGACTTGGATCTGTGGCGTTTATTCGCGTGCTTGTGCTCAAAAGATTTGTTCCTTATTTTTAACACAAATTCATGTTGCAATTCGAGTGCTCTATTTATTTTTACAGCAGAGCTCTTAAGGGCTAGGTTTCCCAGGATCATGTCTGGTATGTCGACACAAACCTACCTGGACAGCTACTGCCATCTATAAGCGACGGCGGCAAGCACACAACCAGTATGGTTTCCGCCGTCGCTCGTAGAGGGCGGTAGCTGTCCAGGTATAATAGAAGAATGGATAGTTGGTCGTGTTGGTGGGAATTCATCGTAGGAAAACAGCGCAAAAAATGAACGACGACGAAGAAGCACACAGTGTATCGAGTGCAGCTTCGCTGGTCTTCCTTCTTCACGATAGGAGAAAGGCTGGTGGAAAGCTTTATGAAGCAAAAATAATCATTGCAGAGTGTTTTTTTATGTGAGAGCGTTTGGCCTGCGTATCACTCCCAGCCGAGAAATTTCATTCTTGCGAATCTTTGCCACAACCCACTTTTTGCAATATATAAAGCCAACGAAAGTAAAGTCGTTTGCAGTATTTTCAAAGCTTTTTTTTTTTATGTGTGGGTGTGTGTGTTTTTGTAGTGCTTTTAAAGCCGGGGTCACACTGCTCATACATACGTCATACAAGACAGTCTGCAAACACGAGATTCCGCAATAGCCGTGGTTCAAATGCCACTTGCCAAGTTTCCTCCTTTAACTCAATGCCATGCGGCATTCGAAGCACGGATCTCGCGGTGACTCGCGTTCGAATTTGTACGCAGACTGTCTTTTGCATGATGTATCAGCAGTACGACCCCAACTTTAAGGTTTTCTTAAACACCTAGTGTATTAGAATTGAGCAGTATAAACCCAAAATTAAATTAATATTGCCATAATCTTGCTTATTCCTACATTTCGACTTTGTCTTTTCTGTCTTGTTTTTGCCCTTCACGAAGTCCATCTGCATGATGCAGTAGAATTTCACTACTGACCGGGTGAGACTCTTGCAGAGTCTAGGAACGGTTGCAGTAAGACAAATAAAGCCAAATAGTCTATATAACAATTAAATGTATAGACCCTATTTCATTACTCAAAGGAGCTGAATAGAGAAACCAACTGCATGATGTCGTGAATGCAAAAATATGTATTTTTACTGTTAAAGTTTGGTGGTGGAGACAGTAGTGTTACCTAAATAACGAGAAAGACTGGCTCAGCAATCTTTGTGTAGCAGTGGAGTAGCTGTGTAAAATCTCAACATGGCAGCAGTGTACTGTACAAAATGTTATTCCAGTATCAATTATAAAAAGAAAAAGGGAAAAATAATTGATGCATACTCTCACAAACAATATGGCCTGAAACACTCGATCCATACTTACTCTTTGCCTGCGGCCCCAACAAGCTCTATATCCTCTATAATCTCTCAGTTTGCCAAATAGTCCAAAGTACAAGATTTCAGCTTTTCATTTCATTTCCAGTTCGTACCAGAGCTCTTTAAAAAAAAAATGGACAGGTATGCCAAACAGGCATGAAGGGCTGTTCCAGATCAAACTGTCCGCCACAACACATCCTTCTATGTCGTTTGCTGAAAGCTATTTAACGCAAGTGCCACTTGTTGCATAAACGCAAACATGGGTGCACCCAATCAAAAACCTATAGGGTAGTTTGTTTACAGTCGCGATCCCACTTCTCAAAGTATGTGGTGTCCCTGGTGATCTCGAAACAAGGGAACTTCTTTGTTGGAACGCTGGTAGCCGGTATCAAACCCTGGGACAAAGCACAAGCGATTGTAGCTTTTCTCCCAGCTCCTTCCATCGTTGCATCACAAGTGTCCGAGCAGTAGGGGTGTAGTAGGAGCACGACGGAGCACTCGAAGTTGTCACAGGTGCAAGTGGCCAGCACATCCGCATCTTGCACAGCAGCGCCGCTCGCCATACTGGAGGTAGTTTTCAACGGAGGATCCCCTCTCCCCAACGTAGCGGCGGCTTGCTTGGCACACCTCTCGGTTCTAGTACGCCAGTCTCAGTAATGCAGGAGCTGAAGTTTCTAATGTATCACAGCGCTGCCTGTCTCGAATCCATGTTGCCGTGAGCGCGTCTTCAGTCTTTTCGTGACGAGAGCAACACTTGTGTCCGGCGATCCTACGATGCCTGGAACGCTTCTCCGACCAGCGCGTTTACCGCATCTAGAGAGTGTTTCCTTGATTCCCACCCGGCAACGTCGTGAAAGTATCACGCCGTCGCCGGCCGCAATCTGGGCAGTGTCGCGGTGGTGGTAGATGTCGCAGATGCCCTTTCAACTGCAGGTCGCTCTTCGTCCTGACAGTTCACGGATGCTTTCGCAGCCAGAAAGTAAAAAGCTGTGATGGCACGGTCTTTTTTTTTTTTTTTTTCTCTAGAAATTCTACATTCAATTGCCGGGATCGGGGTGTCCCACGGCACTACACTTGCCACTTCGGAACCACCACTTTGGTATGCGTGGAAAGAACAGGGCACCAAATGCACCGGTCAAAGACTCGTTCTAGGCACTGTAGTGATGCCAAGATGCTGGCGTCAGCCACTTGAATTCGTAATCTTGCAGAACTTCAGAGTGTGTGCCGTGGGGAGCCGAGGATCCACTAATGATGGCGTAATGTGCGGGCCATTATCTCCCCTTGGTTTGTCTTTCTCAAAATGCCATTCTTCGCCTACCTTGACATTGCAAAAGTTTATGTGGCAGTTCAAAGGCACAAAATCTAAGATGGAGACGGCCTTGTCTCCTGGGCACATTGGTTCCCGGATTCCCTTGTGCGTCGTTCTCCTCACTCTTGTCGGCTGTTTCGCGAAACGTCAGCCAAACGTTTGGAGTAGAAACTATGTGTTGCACGGAAATAAGAATGACGCGAAACACTCCCCTTGGCAGGGACCGGTACTGCATCGCCACTTTTGTGCAACGCTGTTTCTGCAGAAACTTACTGGCTGGCGTTCTGCAAGGAACTTAGTATAGCAAGTACCACGTGAGGCCCTAAAGTGATGCCTCGTGGTTTGATCCGCACCTTTGCTGACAAGATCAACCGAAACACCCGACCTGGCCTTTTTCTGCAACTGCAGTCTCTGCAAGCTCTGTTATGTTCCGTTTGTGAAATAGCCGAAAGAATAGGGCCTCAACTTCGCATTCCATTCCTAGTTTCGGCCACAGCTCTCTCTAAATGTGGTAGGTATCTCGAAGAAGCACGAAGGACCGTTTCGGTTCGTATTATTTGGAATACAGTAAAACCTGGATATAACGAAATTCATAAAAGTTTGATATAATTCGTTATATGGAGGATTTCGTTACATGCAGTTTTCGCGGAAAAACTCGTAAAGGACACGTGGAAAGAAAGCGAAAATTAAAAATCCACGTGGGCAAACTCGCCACGTCATTTATTTAGTATAAAAGAAGTCTGTAAGCTTGCGTTGTGCCTTTCGCGCGAGCGAAGGCAGCACGCAGCGCTCAACGGACACCAAAGCGTTTAAAGCACTGTTGTCGTCCTGGGAGCCGGACATACATCGTTGGCATCCAAGACCTCCCTCGTGGTAGACACCAAAGGCTGCTCACCTTTGGTGGCAATTCAACAAGAATATATCTGCATTTTAGGTACAGTCACTGACCGTTTCTTCGGACTTCGCAGGGACCGAAAAAACGTCCGAAAAATGAGCAGAAAAACTTGCCTTTATTACTTCCAAGCGGGCTCAAAAAAGCTGTAAATAGCGCCTTGTTCAGGTTACGCCTCGGTTTCCGTTCGGCAACTTTAGCTTGAGAATCGCTGCCTTCTTTTTGAGCGTTATGGTAGAGTACTTTCTGCGCTTCTTAATGACACATCGCGGCGGCAGAAGAACAGATAGGGCTATGACGTCCAAGCCAGTGTTGTGCGAGCGAGATAAGAGGCGCAAACCACGAGCGCAAAATGGCGACTGGAGACGCGAAGGAAAGAAAAACAAAGCAAAATGATGATGATGATGACGTGCAGCTAAATGGGGAAAAAAACGGCTAGCACAGCGTCACCTAGCGGTAGGACTCGGGAAAGCCCAAGTAGCGCTGCCAAACCAAGCGAATCCATTAGGGGAGGAAGTGGCCGAGTGGGCTAACGCTTCTCAGCTCGGAGCGTGCAGCGAAAGCTTGCGCTGGGAACCTCCTGGGTTCGATTCCCCACCACCCCCCCCCTTTTCGATCTGGATGAGTTTCGTACCGGCACGCGTTCGTGTAATCACTACTGCGTGATGCACGTTAAAAATCCCAGGGTAGCAGTTGTACTGCACTGGCTAAATTTCTCATCTACAGCTAAGAGACCGATTACCCGTCGTGGCGTATCTCCATCAAGGCTGTATAAACATACAGAGCAAACCAATTTTCTTTTTAAGCCAATCCATTGGCAGCCAACATAGAATTCGAAATGGCCGCTTCTTGATGGTGTTTTCCGCTGATGCTCGCAACGATTTAGTCCAAACTTTCGGACTTCAAGCTGTCCGAAACATTGGTCGTGAATATACACTATTTTAATGGGGTAGGTCACGGTTCCGCCTTTAGGTCCGAAATATCGAACAAATTCAAATTATCGGAGTCCGAAAAAAAAAAAAAAAATGGAGATTGCGGCAGAGCGGGTTCGTTAAATCAAGGTTATCCAGTGCGAGTGTTTCGTTACATGGAGTTCACAAATACAAGCGCTTCTATGAAGGTCGCGTTGGGGTATTGAAAAAGTTTGTTAAATAGAGGATTTCGTTGTATACAGATTCGTTACATCCAGGTTTAAACTGTAGTACGTCGAGCGCATCACTTGCACTGTTGCCCAAGCTGTCTCCCCCCTGTTCCCTTATCAGGGTGGGTTCTGCCGAAGAGGCCGGTGTGGCGGGGGCGGGAGACCAGTCGACGGTGATTCCCAGTGCGGACAGCCTGATTGGAGACCTGCTCAGCATGGACATTGGGGCCCCTGCTCCACCGGCTGCTGTTCCACCGGCTGCCGCCGCCGCCGTCACATCTGCTGCTGCCATGGACATCTTTGCCGGTGGCCTAGACAGCTTTGTGAGGAAGCCCCGCTTTCTGGTCTTCTTGATCTGTCCTTGCTTCGGTTATTCTTGCACGTTTCATGACACTGTGGATTTCTAGATCATCGGTCCTCAAACTAGGTTCCCAGAGTTCTCAAATTTCGTTGTTCGTCCATCCTAATGCCTTAAAAGATCTGAGCCATCCGTTCATGCTTGACCGTGCCAGACATTTTCTCGTACAGTCACCGACTGATTTTCAGACTGCGCAGGGACCGAGCAAATGTCAGAATTATAAAGCCGTCTGAAAAATCAGTAGATTAAAAAACTTGCCTTTATTACGTCTAAGCGGGCTTAATAAAGCCGTAAATAGTGCCTTGCTTCCGGTTATGCCTGTGCACCTTATTTCAGGTTATGCCTCCGTTTGCATTCGGCAACTTTCTATTAGCTTCATAATCACTGCCTTTTTTCTAGTGTTATGGTTGAGCATTTTCTGCGCTTCTAAGCAGCACATTGCAGCGGCGAAAAAATAGATGGGGTAATGACGTCCAAGCCGGCGTAGTTTAAAAAAACAATTCATCGAGAAGAGATGAGAGGTGCAAGAGTCCTTAACAGCAATGGCGAATGAACAAAGCAAAATGGTAACAACAATGATGATGTGCAGCTAGAGAAAGAAAGCTGTACAGTGTCGCTTTGCGGTAGGACTTAGCAGTACTCAAATAGCGCTGCCAAACCAAGCCAATCCATGTGCAGCCAACATAGAATCCAAAATGGCTGCTTCTCAGTGGTGTTTCCCGCTAATCGCTCGCATTGATTTTGTATGAAAAATTGAACTTTCTGGCTTCAAGCTGTCCGAAACATTGGTCGTGAATATGCACTTTTTCTCTTGGGTAGGTCACGGTTCCTCCTTAAAGGCCGCCGTACAGTTCGCGCTTTCCACTTTTTCTGCGTTTCCTCCTCTCCTGCCCTCCTTTCCTTCCTTCACCGCCCTCCCCCCCCCCCCCCCTGTTTACCGCCCTCCCCCCCCCCCCCCCCCCCCCGGGAGGACAACACGGAGAACGGATTAGGAGATGCCTCCGTTAATCCGGCCTAACCCGCTGAAAAGGGAGCCTGCTGCTTGACCAAAAATTATTTCGCTGCCCGAAAAAAAAAACAAAAAAAAAAAAACGCCGCGGGCAGCGACCGGTTGCGCTAAGCTGGTATGCATTGGACTAACATTTTTCGAAGCGCGGCACGTTTAGTGTAGGTCCTATCATATGGTCCTGCAAGACTTCCCTGTCCGCCACAAGCTAGCCAATAATTCAAGAACATTACGACGGCAGCGTATTCAAACAGTGTAAAATAAAATGTAGATAATATTCATAAGAACACCGTTCTCTTCACTGCTTGGCTTTCAAATTTTTAGCGTTGCGAATAATCGTAATCAAACTATTTTTATGATTGAAGACCCCTCGTCGTGCATCGAACCCAAAAAATTACGCTTACGTGAAACATGATTCTGCGTGGGAGCAACTCGAGTCACCGTAAACTTTTTTTTTTTTTTCAACGTGGATTTTGCTTTTTAATTTAGCTGAAGTACCACTGGCAGAACACGAATCGCATACTTGGAAGGTATATACCGTCTGAAAACTCATATAGCTGGTTGAGTGAATGCAATACTATCGCATTCGTTGAAGCTTGATTTGTTGATTCGAACTTCAACAAATCACACGCACCCATTCTCCCTATTCCTGTTTACCCAGTCATAGTCGTTCCCTCACGATGCAATACGAGTACAAGTAACTGCAGTTTATGCATTGTTGACGTTGCACAGCCGTGATCGCACGGTTTTTAGAAGCGCTATAGAACGAGCACAAGCGTCGAATTCCGGTACACTGATTGATTTCTGTCTCACCGCCGTGACGCCACACGAGAAAAGCGATTTCGTTCTGTCTGTGAAATTAGGAACACAGAAATCAAGCTGTAATCCCGGTGATAAAACAAAGCGAAATGGATCTCTGCAGCCAATACCCAACCGTTTGCGAGGTGACTAGGCGAAAGCGTATATTACCTCCGTGCCTTTGCCCTCTGCACACCGCCAGAGAGAGTCATACAAACTCCTTGTAGCTATTGTCAACACGATTGCGTTTGCAAGCCGGTAGTTTGACTCGGCTGGGATTCGTCCCTTTCGTAGCTCTCTATGAAACCAGAAAGGTAGATACGTTTCTACATAGGGTGGTTTTGCCCGGGGCCTCTAGTTATTTACGGCCAAAATCACACTGGAGGCGCTTCAGCAATGTTCACTCTGGTCGACTCACGTGCACTCTAAAAATGCCAGTCGTCTGCCTTCCCAAAAGATACTTGAAGAGCCAATCATAGAAACCGACGGATAACGAGGCCGAAATTATGCTTGTACCTCAAAACAATTATAACACGAATTTGGCCTCGTCATTCCCAAACTGGTTGCCGGACAAAATTCTCTATGCGTATTGCAAGCCAGGATTGGTAATAGTAACATAAGATACGTACGGCAGAATTCCCTGCCATAAATAAAATTATTTGGCTGACGCCAAAGTAACGCGAAATAGGTGCAAAGAGTTTTGCAAAAGAGAGCGTAAACCGAAAAAGGGGAAAAAAAAAAAACAGACGAAAAGGAGAAATAAGAAAAAAAAATCTCTGGTGACGTCGCCAAAAAAAATTCTGTTTATATGATTTTTATTGTCACGTGACCGAACAAAAAAAAAATAAACGAAATAAAAAAAGAACACGAGAGAAAAACCATCCTTTGCCCGGTTTCGAAGCTAGGCCTGCTTGATCGTGAAACTAGCGCGCTATTCGTTGCGCCTAGTTGCGCCAACATAACTTTTTTTTTCTTTCTTTATTGCAAGTTGCGCCAACATAACTCTGCCTGTAATGCTCACGCATTCTCACATCATAGGAGAAAGCTTAGGTGCCTTCGTAGTTTTTCATGTATTTGTTATTTTTATTTGTGGCAAGAGTTCACGTTTCAGAATGCTTTCAGAGTTTTGGAGCAAAACGAGTTTTCTTCATCCGAGTCACCTTCTAGAGCCAGTAGACCGCACTGGGTCCTCCGGCTAATCAAGCAGCTATTTTCAAATTCTCTGACGTGCCCGTCCTCGCATCCGAGGTCGCCGTCTGACAAGCTTATCTTCCACCTGGTAGCCGGAACCCCCAGCAAAGCGCACATGAAGGCTCCCTACCCACGGCAGCTTTGTTCCGTCCCCACTCCCTCTCAAGAGGATGGCCTCGCCCCGAGGCTAATCCCATTCCACCCAGCGCTGGCCCTTTCCCTCCCCGTCTCCAGCTTCGGGAGAGAAGGTTCTTCCCTGCAGAACGTCCCGTTTGTACAGCGGCCTTTAAAGGGGCACTGACACCCCAAAGGTCGTATTCTTTTTTATTGTCTAAAATGATGGTAGTTGTAGTCATAAACACGCAAAAAAAAACGCATCGCAAAAAAAAAATTTTTCCCGCGCGCGCTTTTTTATTTTTGGCGTTTATATTTCCCGCGCTAACCTCCTTGCTTCTTTTGATCGGTGACGTCAAAAATCAGGAAATTTAGAAGCTTTGTAGGCGACATTTCTATAACATTTAATAACGGCATTCGTAAAACATGTTTTTTAACGCAATGACGAACGCACTATGGCCTTTCTTTTTGAAATACCAAAAATCCGATTTCGGTGTGATGTCGCTTCCTGAATTTGTGTTCTCCCTCGGAAACCTTGGCGGCGCTCGAGCAGAGGCTTATCGCCGAGTCGGGGAAGAAACCGGTTTTTCCCCGCGCCAGCTCCCTTCTATTTCGCCTGCTCACCTCCTCCTCTCTTCGGGTCGCGGTAGCAACGGCGCTTTGCTTCACAGCGTGGTGCGGAGGTCCGAAAGAAAGTCGAGTCGCAGGAGACCGCAAAATTTGACTCACTGCGCTGGCGCGGATCGCGCGGGAACTTCAAATCCGGCATTTGGAAATTGTTTTTTTAATTCACAAATACTGAATTCCCAAGTTTCGAATTTTGAGGGTAATGTCCCGGCATCATTTTCAATCGTTTCGGATAATAAAATAAATTATGATTTTGATGTGTCAGTGCCCCTTTAAAGGAGTTATGACACGCCAAAAATAAAATATGAGATAACAATAGTGCTAAAACCGATTGTTTATTCTTATAATCCTGCTAAATTTGTATTGAAAATGGCGCGGTAGTTTCGTGGATAAATCGATTTATGTGCGGATCCCTCAGAGGGGCCGACCAAGCGGAGGTGAAGGCTGGCTACGTAGTCAGCCTTCCGCGCGGCGTCCCCTTGCATGCACTCACAGACTTGACTCTCTTGGCGACTCGAGCTTCAGCTTCCTCGTTTACCTTCCGCGTTTTGAGCATGCGATCCGTGACGATTACATCTACGGCACCGCTCACCTTGTCAAAGTTGATTGATTGATCGCAGCAGCGATGAGAGTGATTGTTATCAAGAGATGTTGGGAGCTGTTCATTTTGACTGCGACCCGCTGGCGACCAGCTCCAGCGATTGCAAGTTACGGACGAACTCGCCGTGGTCACTGCCGTCTGGAAACATCTCGCAGGTGCATGCAGGGTGGAAGGTTAACAGGTTGGGGGCGAGATCAAGAATAGCTTTTGGGTTACCGAGTTGCGTGAGCGGTTTTGATTGTACCACGGCGAGGAGAGCTGGGGCGATCATGGGGGCGCCTAGAATGAGAGTGCGTTCATGGTCACGTGGTTTACTGACACTATGGCGTGACTAGCTCGGGCAGTGTCGCCTGGTAGCCAAATGAGAATGATAAAAATTCGTAAATTGATTACTGCAATTACTATAGCTCTAAAAATCGAGTAACTTGGTGTATACACTAAGTAGCCTATGAGCATTCCATTTCCAGAATAATCTATCCGTTTAATTTTCGTGTCATAACCCCTTTAGGTCCGAAATAGCAAACGAGTCCGAATTATCGGCATCCGAAAGATCGGTCGGCGACTGTATGTACAGTCAAATCTTGCTAATTCAAACTCGAGGGGGACCAAAAATTTGGTTGAATAAAGCAAAGTTTGAATTACCGGGAGTTTCTTCTCATAGGGACGCATAGGATGGGACCTGCATGTTAGTTTGAATTATCCGAAAGTTTGAATTAAGAGGGTTTGAATTAACGAGATTTGAGTGTACTTTATTGCTTTGAAGCTCCGCGGACTTCTGCACTTCTTTATCGCAGCAGTGCCGAGACTAGAAGGGGTTCTTTGGCTATCCATCGAGAAAGATAGGTGTTCGAGATTCAAAAGTTAGAGAACACTTGTTCTAGCTAGATCATCAACACCGGTGATCTAGCTTCCCTGACCTTGGTTATCATCTTTCGGTTCCATGCCATAGTTCAATTGATTTTTTGTGGAGCTGGTTATTTACACGGGCTATATCTTTTCTGATGTACCTTTAGATGCTTAGTCTCCATCAGATCCGCTGTGATAACTCTTGTTCTGTGCACTATGGCCTTAGTTGCCTTTGTGTCGGCAAACCTTAAAACGTCTACTCGCTGCGTGGTATGCATCCCTTTGCCCCAGAAGCACAAACTTGGTTCCCACTTGCGTGCCAGACTACAATTTATGGTGTTGCTGTAATCTACACTTTTCCGCTATGGGCCGAGACTACATTTGTTGTCATCTAGTGTTGCCCACATCAGCATCAAAAAAGAGAGGCCTGCCTACGACATACCCTCTTACCTTTTGTTCAGGCCAAAAGCGTAGAAATGTCACGGCTTGGATAGAGCCCCGTGGCAGTCAGTGATCCAGGTGTGTGCTTAACAGCAGGTGTGTTCGGTTTCAGCTGGGAGATGGGCTGGGAGGGGCGGGGGCAGCTCCTGTGCCGCAGTCTGTGGCCGCTCCCCTCACCAACACGACGGGCCTGCTGGGCGACATCTTCGGCATCGGCACCGCCAGCCCCTTCTGCACACCTCCCAAAAGGGTGAGTCTCCTTGTCCTCATCTGCTCCCCTTGTCCTGCTGTCGGTTCTCTCTCCTAAAGGCCGACCTGCAGTTGGGGAAGAAAATTTACTTTCCCTTTCCCAACAGAGGCATGCACTTAAAATATAAATTTGTTCCTTTGTTCAAACTTTGTGCAAACATTCTTCTTTTCTAAGCCCGCCCCCCCTTTCCCCTCCCTGACAAAACACTGAGGAAAAGGATGATTTTTAGCACCACTGAAAGTACTGCAGGCTGGCCTTTAACCTGCATTCTGCTGTTCTGTTTTTTTTTCTATTCTATACTTGCATTTGGCCTTGTGTGTTTCATATTTCTTATGCTGCTGGGCTGACTGTGGTTTGCGCATGTTTTGTCGCCTTTCCACCTGCAAAGATATTTCGTCTGTAGCAAGAGGTGCCCGACAAAAGCGCTTTTGTCAAACATAGAAAGGCCATGATCTCCGTTCCCTTTAGGGGTGCTTATTGATGGTATTTTCCATAGACACGGGTGATGTGCATGCTGACGTTTACAATTGGGAGCCTGGTGCTTCTTGAAAGTGTGTGTAGTGTTCATTGTTACAGTTGCTGTGGTTGTGCTTCAGTTTTACTCTAGCTAGTCCCTAATGGCATCCCTATTCCAATTCTGACTCGTTTGTATGGTTAGAGCTGCACACACATATTCAAAGCTTCCAAATGCCAAAGCACTGTGAAGACAGCGAGCCTGCATTGCAAGCTGCACAACTGACTCTAGTGTTGTAAACCTGCCAGGGATTATGGTTCCTCTTGGTTAGTGTCTTAGTGGGTGGGCGATTGACAACATCGCTGGCCATGGTATCTTCATAACTATAGTCAAGCCCATTTGAAATGAACCCGGATAAAGCTAATTATTATCTATATTTAATGATAAGAGATTTTGAACAAAAATGCTCGTAATATGTAGTACTTTTATAACAAACAACAGATTGACTGTATCAAACTTCATTTGAATGTGTGGCCCTTCACAACTCGCAAAACACGCAGAGAAAGGGAGAACAGAGACATAGCAAGTAAAGAGAGTGACGCACCACAAACATTAAGGCAAGTTGCTCCCCGTCCATTTATTATCCCGCTTAGAGCGCTGTCAGTTCTCGAGTTTTTCTGGATCGCACCTTTCTTTGCATTGATTTCGTTGAAGGGTGTATCAACGAGTGTCTCCGAACAATAAAATGGTGACATACTGGTTGAAGTCCATGACAGTCTCGCCTCTGCGATTACCTGGACCGGGGATCGCTTACGCTTCGTGCACGTTCTGCCCCGTACGACAGGTGTGGCTAGCTGCCGCCCGAGGCAAAGGCCTGGAGATCACCGGCACCTTCACACGGCGAAACGGGCAGATCTTCATGGAGATGACCTTCAGCAATAAGGCGATGCAGGCGATGACGGGCTTTGCGGTGCAGTTCAACAAAAACAGGTGGGACGTCTGCCCGTCACTGGAGCAGTGACTTGTGGCTTTTGACAAACTGATGTTTCGTGTATATTGCTTATACCTCACTTCAGCTATGCTTCCAGTCAACATAGTGTCTTGCATAGTGTTCTTCCGTATATATATATATATATATACACACACATCTCGCGGTTTTGCGGAAAATATTTGTATAATCCGAAATTCGTATGAACGAAAAACAAGTCACATAAGTACATGAAAGCAAAGGGAGGGGGGCTACTTGCCATTTATTGGTCACAATCCCAGCCAAAGAAGTCAGTAATGCTCTTCAGAGTCTTTTTTTTTTTTTTAATACAGTTGAACCTCGATGTAACGAAGTCGGTAAAATTCGCAATTTACTTCGTTACATTGAAATTTCGCTAAATCAAAATTTGGCTTTAGCATGCGAAAAAAAAAAAAATTCCGAAACATTTTACGGGTATGAAAACTCACCGAAAATGACATTTATTTAGGGGCAAAGTAGTCCGCGAGTTTTGCTTGCGCCTTGTCCGACAGTAGCAGCGGCGTCGGCGGCCTCATACGGCGTTCGAGCGCCCAGAGCGCTTGCACGGCATCTTGCTGCCCATGCGACGCCGTGTACCTCCTCAGTACGTCCATTGCGTCGAGCACTTCCCGAGTGCTCGTGATCTCGGCAGTTTCTTCAGGATGGCGTCCAAAACGTTTGCTTTCTCATCCAAAAAAGAACTTTACGTTTCCTTATGGCAGCAAGCACGTAATTGAACCGCCCGGTTAAAAAATAAAGCTGTTTAGTTTAGGCGGTGCCAATGTTTCCAACCTACACAGCACTCTTGACCGCACAGTTTACTTGCCCGCTTGCCCCCTTGCGCCCACAGTGTGCGTGCGCCTTTGCTTTACATCACGCTCGCAAGACGATAATCGGTCTTTTCGGTCTTCTCCTAGATGGCACTGCCCGTGCGGTCGCGCGGTCACGCCATCACGTCGCTCCCCCGCTGAAGTTGGCTCCCGCGCTACCCGCGGTACAGTGGACTATGATGATCAGTGAATGTCAGTGGTGATGCTGTTATGCCGTGTTTACTTTTTGCTCGGCATTTTCTGGCCAGCCTCGTGAAATCCGCTTTGCCGCATGCCTCGCCGGCGCTACCGGCGCCGCATCCTCGGGCAGCCTAGGAACGTTGGAAGGCCTGTCCCCGCGAAGTAACCTATCAAGCGCTCGCGTTTGCGCATAATTTTTTTTTTAAACCACAATTTTTTTGCGAAGTTGTTTTTTAGAGTTGATTTATTTCTTGCCTTCTATGGCAATGGCGCTTCGTTATATTGAAATAGCAGCAAAATAGACTTCGTTATATAGGGACTAAAAATACATGGGGTCTATGGGCAAGAAATTATGAAAAATAAAATACTTCGTTAAATCGAGGATTTCGTTACATTGAAGTTCGTTATATCGAGGTTCGACTGTATCACCCAGGAGACAGTATTGGAACGCGTAAAAACGTTCGAAAACTCCTTTGCCAAATCCTTGCGTTTTCTTTTGGGGTCCTCGTCCACTTTCCTCAGAGCTTCCAGCTTCTCTTTGAAGGACAGCGATTTTCTCTTACGAGACATGTTAAATCAGGTCGCAACTCACGGTGGACAGATGAGGCAGGAAAGTTGATGAAAATCGCACGGAGTTCAACAGACGTGCACATGCGCGTGCAAACAAAGGATGCTTTCTCTTTGACGTTCACGTCATCAACGCTGATTCCGAATATTTTCTCGTGTTCACTCGAGTGACTGAGTTGTTAAAACCCGTTTATCACTTGACAATAAAAATAAAGCAGCAACCCTGGAGTAGGTGAATGCGAGTTACTCCAGCAATCCGAATTTATATCTTTTGACAACACAGATAGTGCAGCAACAGTAGACGTGGGTATGTTTTTGAGTTTTGGAATGCAGCCGTGGTTATTATGATTTCGGCGCGCATGTAGAAAAAACGGCAAGAAAAATGCTGCAAAAGCGGTGGCTACGTTTGTCGGAGCCAAGTGATATTGCCTTAAAAGATGAGTGAACATTGTCGACCATTGTTCGTACGATCCACCGCGGCCCGACGAAGCATTCGGACTATCCCGAAATGTAATACGTTAGTCTTAAGGGACTTTGGCTGGGGATTTTGAAAACTTCTTATCTTCCCGAAATTCGGATGAACCGTGATCACATCATCGAGATTCTACTGTATAATTTTTTTTTACTGTCACGCGTTTATTTTTTTGTATGAATTCCTTCTCTCCATCCCTACTTAATGTCCGAACTTGGGGTAAATGAGAAGGGACTGACTAAAGAGGACACGGCTGAGCAGATCCGCATTCCACATAAGCTGGGCATGTTAGTCGTGCCATTGAGTCTACTGCAAAGAGAGAAGAGCATTTGGAGTTGTGCCATCGGGATGCTGGTAAAGAGAGAACAGCGTTTGGCTAAGGCGCATGCTATGACCGAGAGCAGAGTGAGGGAACGAGATTCATTTTTGTAATCTAATTAGTAGGATGTGGCCTTCATAGAAGGGACATAAAAAATGTCATTGCATTTCGACATAGTCTGCAGCAAAGCACCACAAGCCTGTTTTTTTTCTAAATTTCCGTCTCTCCTCCCAAATATAATAGGTCGTTGGCAGGTAGCAGAATACAACTTTTTTTTTTCTCTCGTAATTATGTAGAATAAATAACATTGTTTTTACCTTGCAATTGTAAAAAGTTGACTCGCTGTTTTCATGGAGTTGTGGTTTCGTGAGCGTTGGTAGTGCCTTTGTGTCTGGGAGAAAACGCTGGCATTACACATTTGGTCAACATTTTGTTTTTTGCAGTTTCGGGCTGACTCCAGCTCAGCCGCTGCAGTTGCAGATTCCCCTGCAGCCCAACTTCCCAGCTGATGCGAGCTTGCAGCTGGGAACCAACGGTCCCGTGCAGAAGATGGACCCCCTCACCAACCTTCAGGTGGGTTCGCAGTGGGAGTTCCTGGGCTTTTGGAGGCAGCCGTTTCTCTGGCTCGATGCTAGAATATGTAGTGGCATTGAATGAGCGGGAAGGTCCGAGACATAGACGCAGTTTGTATGCAGGTGAAGTCGTTGGAAAGGTCTCCAGAATCAATCTCGCTTCGGAACACCAGCCAGTGTTTCACCGATAGGCATCTTTGAGGCTTAGAAGAAACAACTGTATACAGTGCTGTCCCAGTAATGTGGACACCTCCATTCACGCAAAAAATCGTCGACGATGCGAGTTGTTCGTAATAACGAGACAAGAATGCACATATCTTCCAAATCTGTCCCCAAAACCTTTGTCTATAAACACTCAGATCTCGTTATTGCAAAAGACAGAATAACAAATTTTTCAAATCAACGAAAATATACAAAATCCTCTTCTGATTTTCTATGGTTTCAATGTAAACATATTTCAGTAATATGAATAGCGATTTGCAGCCCGACGTCTTTCTTTGGTGCCACAAAGACTAGACTAAAGAGAGTGCAAGCAGCCGGACTAAATATGACCTGTTGCCGACGGTCGCCCGCGGTTGCATGAAAAACGTCTTATGAGAGCATACTCATGACACACTCCACTTCTGAATAAGTTTAAAGTTGTCTCGATCATGATGATAAACCCGGAGAACACAAGTGTGTTGTGTGTGCCGTGCATCCGAGACCTCCCAAAGCTCCCCGTAACTGGGCATAGCAGATCGTAAAGCACGCGCAGTGCTGGCACGACACGTTCAGTGCTCTCCGGGTTCATCGGGACCAGGGGTGTGACATCTGCGCCAATTGTGCCATTTTGATACAAACCCAATTTTCTGTGCCTAGTTGCGCCAGAAACGTTAGATCGGTCGGAATTGCGCCACACTGCGCCAAAACAACTCAAAAACTAAAAAAAAAAAAAAAAAAAGTTTGCGGCGACGCTAGATTTAGCAGGAAACGAGACCTTGGTTGGCAACATTCAATCTCGTCGTAGTAAAGTACACGGCACGGGTACTGGGTACCGCAAGCAACCGCTGGATACGAAGGTTTCAGCTGTAGTACCTTTCTATACATATGATATGTGTATTTTCCCGATTTTCCTACTACTTTCCGCTGTGATTTGTGGCTGCATGCTACCGGTGCACTGTCACGCGGTCTCGCTGTCTGGCCGCGAGAGGTACGACGCACAAGCTATCAAGTTTAGAAAACCTAGGTATCTGTTTCGTTTTGAGAATAAACCTTTTCTTAAAAGTGTTATTGAGCGCCTCCATTGTGTAATTGTTCATTCGTGTCTGTTGTCTCCTCAAAATGAATGGCGCCGTCGCCGTGACTACTTTCGGTTATCACACACGTGCTTCCAGTGCGTGAGCAATCGAATGAATCGGTCACACACCCGTATTTAGCGTTCATGTGGTGCTCATAGTTTTTCTACCAATTCACTATTTACCTTGTGACTCACTTTTGGGGGGAGTTTCTTTTTTTTTTTTTCTATCTGGACGTCAGGGGTGGAAGCGCTGCGCCAATTGCGCCACCCTGCGCCAATTCACTTCCCTGCGCCAGCCTGCTCCAAAACGCCAATTTCAACTTTTTTTTTCTTTAAATTTAGCGGAAAACGGTTGGCCACGGGCCACCATGTGGTGTGTACTTTTGCTTAGGTGTCTCTGCGGGTGACTCGTACCAACTCGACTGGGGCTCCGAACCATGTGTAACCTCAGGGCGAGGCGTCGATTTTAGTTCATCGAGAGTGCGATGTCGTTTTTTACTACAAAGAGCTTGATATACGAACACATCGGTTTGGTTTCGGGCATAGTTGGTTGGCGCGGTTGGAGCGCGCATGCAGTTGCCCGTGGTCCCGATTTGTCGTGATCGTGGGAGTTGGTGCCTCGGCACCGGTGGGCTACCTTGGCCATTAACATGAGCAGAAGTAAGTGGTCTTTACTAGCTTTACCTGTTATTTGGTAGCCTACCATATTTGGACGCTTAGCCGTGAAGAATCGCGAGCACAGGCACATCCGTTCTCGAGCTCAATTTGTCTTGTCAAAACGAAACCAAAACCATCATTGTGTGCGCGAATGTGCACGCTGTCGTGTGTTGTCTCCCGCCGTCAGACCACTAGCGAAAACAATACCCGCGATCTTAAGCGAGTTGGTTAATTGGCAGTGCTACACACTTTTTTGTTTCTTTCCTTTAGCGTGGAGGAGTGGGGGTACCTTAACTTGCTATAGCCACTCTACTCGTATAAGTTTCGGGTATAGGTGTATCTGGTTGGGGGGGGGGGGGGGGGGGGGGGGGTTGGGTAGGGTAGGGTAGAGAGAAGTTGGTGGGCTTTTTGTCACGTAAGAAGGCAGCCTGCCCCGCAGGGATCAGCGCCTGATCAGCTACATCTCATTTTCAGTCTCGTTCAAACTGTCTTCTCTTAAAGCACTTCTACTGAGTGCACAAGAACTCATAAGCAAGGATGAGGCAGTTAAAGGACACATGCAAAGGAAAAAAAAAATTTTTTTAGACAGCTTAGATGGAAAAAGGATGTCATAAAACGATTTTACAACGAAGAAACAAAATTTTTAGAGCTATATTTAAGGCGCTATACGAATTTGTAGTTGGCGCTCGCGGGAGCCGCCGCTGGTCACGTGGTACGCCCGCGCGCCGCCGCGCTGCGTCGCCGCCGCACGCTAAGCGTTGTGCGAACGCCGCTTCAGCGCGTTTCTCCACGCCGCCGTCGCCGCCGCCGCACAAGTTCGTCTGCTTCGGGGCGCCGCCGCCGTCGTCTGACCGGAGCACAGGTCTATCACGTCTGCTTGCGCTTTTTCAGGAGTTTCCTTTGGGCTCTAAAAGTTACTTATTCGTCTTGGTTTTTTGTTATACTTCAAACAAAGATGAATAAGTTACTTTTAGAAGCCATAGGAAGCTTCCGAAAGAGCGCAAGCACCACGTGATAAATAAAGACCAGTCACGTGATAAATACAGACCACTTTTCCGCGGTGCCCGCGGGCGCCAACTACAAATTCGTTTTGCGCCGTAAATATAGCTCTAAATTTTTTTTTTCTTCGTTGTAAAATCGTTTTATGGCGTCCTTTTTCCATCTAAGCCGTTTAAAAAAAATGTTTTTTTCCTTTGCATGTGTCCTTTAAGGACATGGACAAGGTGGGGAGTGGACACCTCCTGCTAAGTGATGTGTACTCTAAACTGCCCAAAGTACTTGAGCGCATAAAAGAAATTGACTCTGCTCTTCAAACTGTGAAAAAAAGGTGAACTTCAGTTGTTTCTAAATTACACAGATTCAGCTTAGTCACAACCCTTTTTTTTTTTAACATGGAGCCTGTGGGCTCTTCTAGTAAGTGTTTATGCTGCATATGTATTAGTGGCTGTGATATTTTTAAGACAATATATTTTCTCATCTAAAGTAATATAGATATAGCTTTGTATGTTAACTTGGGTGTAGGGATTACTGTATTTTATGAACAGGGATTAAGAACATTTGTATTTAATGAAAACAAGTCAGCAAGGACTGCTTTATTCTGAAACATGTTGTGGTACCTTAATGTTTTTTATGGAGACACGCAATGCACAGCATTTTATGGAGTACATAAGGTTGCGTTGCTCTTCTAGTCGATGCTTAAAGCAGCATATGTATGAGTGACTGTGGTATTCTAAAAATATAAAATACACATTTTATTTTGCATCTGAATTTTGTTGTATTGTATTTTGTTACTAAACTTGATATAGGGCTTTTTAAGCACTGATTGAACATGTGTATTCTTTATTAAACAAAAACTGTAGTCAGCGAAGGTAGTTTATCTGACACCTTGCAGTGGTTTAGTTTTCTGGATACATGTTTACAATTGGTCTATTAAGTAGATGGTTTTGTACTGGCGTGGCTCAAGTTAGGCTTTTATTGTTGGGGCCTCCCATATAAAGTCTATCATGACTCTGCCTACTGCCGGAATGGTTCTCAAAGCCTTTCCTTTGCATAAATTGCCAATATTCCATATTTCAATGCAATAGAAATAGAAATGTGTGTATGTATGTTGCTTGAAAATTATTCTGGGATGTGCATGCATATATTTTTGCTACATTTTCACATTTAGAAACAACAAATCACTTTTAGACACCTGTTTGACCTCCGTGACCTGCTCCAAAACCTACTTCTACGGCTACAAAACTTATTTTTGCTGCTCCCGAGCTGCTCTAAAGCGAGCCTTTTACTGCTCCAAAACTGCTCCAAAGTGGGACTTTTGCTGCTCCGAGCCCTGATACAAAAGGCTCTAGCCCGCTTCCACCCCTGGGACGTGTTTTCTACGAGCGTGCATCGTTGTCTGGTTGTAGTAAGCCACGTCTTACTACGTTTGCATACACACTCATAATATCCGGTGTTTCGGGAGCCAAGAAAAATGTCCTGGCCTTCGTTTTGTATCGCTCGAGAATGAGTGTATGTACATTCGTAAAAAAGTCAGGTAATCGAAAACGCAAGCAGCGCGTTCGGTCGCGGCGTGATAGCAAGAGATGAATCTGCTCAGTCGAAACCGAAACTGAGTGGCCAACTAGTTCCCAGAGTGCACTGCGTGGTATTTCGCCGCAATGGGGCGCGTCGGTTTTGGAAGAAGTCCATTGCGCTTTGGCACCAGTTTGTATAAGCTTGAGGTACCAGGTGCCCACCTAACTTTGCAGCAAGCCGGTGTTTCCTGTCCTCATCTATGGCACGAAACTCGATTTGCCTTTTCCGCTTTTTTTTCTTTATATATATTTCATCTTGGTGCGCATCGGCACTGATGACTTATTAGAACCAGGGTGGACAAAAATAACGATTAAAAAAGAAAAATCTGATTTATGCGATGCGATGCGATGCGACGTGACCACCCCCAGGTCACTCCACCCCCCCCCCCCCCCAGTACCCTCCCCTCCTCCTCCTCAAGAGCTGCGCTCTAATTCGGTGTTACAGGGAGTTGTAAACGGCTTTCACTTTTTTTTAGCTTTGTTATGATTTAAATTGCTGCTAAGCTGCTTTAACATTTTCTGCTCCAAACTGTAGACTTTTGTGCTTCGAAGTTGCTCCAAAATGCATACACTGCTGTTCCAAAACAAGAATTTTGTGCTCCTAAGCTGCTCCGAAATCCAGATTTTTCTGCTCCAAAAATTGCTCCAAAACCTGTTTCACCTGTCTCACCCCTGACCGGGACGATTGAGACAACTTTCATTTTTCGCGAAACACTTTCTTCTGTCACCTGGCTTGCGGGAGCCAAGAAAAATGTCCTGGTATTAATATTTCACTTCTGTTTGCCGTAATATATTCCTAAATAACAAATACGGAGGCGAGATTAGTATATTAGATTATCAATATGACCCATAGCTTTTGCTGGTGTGACATAAAAGTTTTGTGGAAATTAAGAGCCAAGTTCCACAAAACCGTTTTATATTAAAAAGGTATCTTTTTACGCGACTAAAAATAAGCCAACAATTTTTTTCTTGGGGCCTTATACATCAAATTTTATCGCAATACAGCATGTTACTAGATCTAAGGAGCTTGCACAGACCAGCACGATGCAAAATCTTCTAACTCGCAAACTAAATTATCAGAAAGGCTTCAAGCTTTGTAAAGTTTTCTTTCTTAAAGTAGAAAGCTGGTGTAACTTTCATTAGCCTAGATCTCATACTTACTGTGATATCCAAAGAGATAGCCCACCTAAAATCGAAAGCACTTTGGGTGCAAATAAGGAGTAGACTAAGCTTTGACGTGCGATCGAAAAAAATTGAAAAAAAATGCTAGTTTTAGATTTTGTGACCTGCGAAACTCTCGATTGAAGGGAGGGCCAATGAAGCAAAGACTACCGTCCATCCCAGTCGGCAATGTTCGCTCCAATCCCGCCTTGGCTAAGCAACGCCATTTCTGCCGAAATCACAGTTGGCCAGGGCCTTGCAATTACTAGATGGGGGGCTAGCTTGGTTTTGTTGAGAACAAAAAAACAGCAAATTGAGCCAAAAATAAGGGGCAAGTTATCTTTCAGGGGAGAGCATCTGCCGGGATGTTATGGTAAAAGGCTAGTATCCAGACCCAAGTTTTGCCGAGAAAATTTGGGAACTTTGGGAACCTCTGGGTTAACCCAGTTTGCGAACTCGCGATGCAACTTATGGTGCCTGTTGCCTACGAGTGGGATCCGGTCCTAATCCCTCCCCCTGTGCTTCGTCCTTGCAGGTGGCCATCAAGAACAATGTGGACGTGTTCTACTTCAGCTGCCTGGTGCCCATGCACGTGCTGAGCACGGAGGACGGCCTGATGGACAAGCGGGTGTTCCTGGCCACCTGGAAAGACATCCCCGCCCAAAACGAGGTCCAGTACACCCTCGACAACGTCAACCTCACTGCAGGTGAGGACACGCCCACCCCTCCTTCCTCTCTGGGCCCCGAGTCCCTTTCTGCAAAGCTCGCATTTTGACGATTTCCTGCCCCCCATTTTGCTACGAGTTAGCGGCGTAGTCGAGGCTGAATATAATAAGCGAAGAGTCAACGAAATTCTCGATGTAACAAAAGAGTCTGCAGCCCGTTTCGGTAATCCTCGTAGAAATTCTTGCGCATAGAATGCATTGTAAGGTTGTCATGTTTCACTTCAATGTTCCTTTTTTTGGGATTCTTTCTTGGGTGGGTTGGGCCTGGGTCACCCTTGATAGTGGGCCTGGGTCTCATTTGCAGGTGGGCCTGGGTTTTATTTGCTAGTCCACACTCACTCTAGAATGTTAATTCTAATGAAGTTCATGGTTCAAGCGGCATGAAATCTTGTGATAGCGCTCTCTCTTCGTTAGCAACGACCACAGGGACGGTTTTGTTAGATGTTGGCTTCCGATCCCCAATGACTCGGAGAGCGACTGATGGCAACGGCGCAAACAGTATCTGCTATCCCAACAATTTCTGTGTTTTTCTGGCAGACCAAGTTTCCCAGAAGCTGCAGAACAACAACATCTTCACGATAGCCAAGAGGAACGTGGACGGCCAGGACATGCTGTACCAGTCCCTGAAGCTCACCAACGGCATTTGGGTGTTGGCGGAGCTCAAGATACAGCCCGGCAATCCAAGGATCACGGTGAGCACCCCAGCCCCATTTCCTCTTGTGAGGAGGACTACACCATTCAGCGTTTAGAATATTCGGCGTTCATCGATCGTTGCATGAAGGGGCCAGTGAACGAGCTGCCTTAGTGTTAATTTTATTAAAGCATAGAATGCTTTATAGTGGAGGCCCCTACTCCGAGAATCTGTGCATCCTCGCTTACCCCATGGCATGTAATGTCAGTGTCCCATGATCTCACGTGGTGTTACCAGGGTTTGACACCACAACTTCGCACGACTTTTAATGTCTTCTAAATGCAATTGCTACTGCATCCCATGCATTATGACTTTCAAGATAAGGGTTGCTGCCACTGTTTGAGGAATGTGGAGTAGAGCCAATGTGCCCCTTGTAAGAGCATCCCAAATGTGACCGGCAACGGAGCAAGTACAGTCGCCAACCGTTTTTTAGACTTTGCAGGGACTGAAAAACATCCGAATGATAGAGCAGCCTGAAAAGTCGGCAGATTAAAAGCTTGCCTTCGTTACAACTAAGCGGACTTTAAAAAAGCAGTCAATAGTGCTTTGCTTCAAGTTACACCGCCACTTGTGTTCGGTCACATTCTATTAGCTGGAGAATCGCTGCCGTGTTCTCTAGTGTTATGGTCGAGTACTCTCCGGACTTCTTAGTGATGCTTCGCAGCGGCGGAAGAACAGACAGGGCCATGGCGTCCAAGCCAGCGTAGTCCGAAAACATGATTCTCCAACACGAGATGAGAGGTGCAAGTCCACGACTGCAGAATGGCGAATAAACAAAGCATAATTGTAACAATGATGATAATTGACATGCAGCTATAGAAGAAAAACGCCGTAGCATAGCGTCACCTAGCGATAGGACTTAGCAGTACTCAAGTAGCGCTGCCAAACCAAGTCAATCTATGTGCAGCCAACATGGAATCTAAAATGGCGGCTTCTCGATGGCGTTTCCTGGTGATCGCTCGCGACGGTTTTGTCCGAAAAATTCAACTTTTGGATTTCAAGCTGCTCAAAACATTGGTTATGAATATGCACTATTTCTATCTGGTAGGTCACGGTTTCTCGTTGATGTCCGAAAGATCTAACGAGTCCGAATTATCGGTGTCCGAAAAATGGGTCAGCAACTGTAACCGCAGAACTGTGGTGGCGTAAATCGTGAGAGACGAGGGGTTAGGTATTTTGTGTGACTGCCTGTCAATTACATAGCCACGTTTTAGTATGCGTCTCGCTCGCCTTTACGCAAGGTCCCTCTTTATATTTTGGTAGGTAGTGTAGCGGTACAGCGTAGTGTGAAATTTTTTTTATCTTTTTAAGAAACCAAGATTAGAAACTCCATATTTTTTTTTCAAACTTTTTATTTGGTGATTGGACCAACTCGTATGTTACTTTTTCCTTTCTGAATAATAATTGTGTTATGTGTATGTTTATACAGCCTGGAGTTAGTCACCCTCAATGGGCGACTTGTCTCCCAACTGTAGATGAGAAATTTAGCCAGTGCAGTACAACCGCTAGCCTGGGGTCTTTAACGTGCACCACGCAGTAGTGATACACGACCGCAAGCCGGTACGATGCTCATCCTGATCAAAACGGGCAGGGTAGGGATCGAACCCAGGATCCCCGGGTCGTGCAGCGCGAGCTTTCGCTCCATGCGCTCGGAGCTGGTCTGCGCTAGTCCGCTCGGCCACAGACGCCCCAGATATCTCCCATATATCCCTCGTATATGTCCGTATACTGCCAGTAGCTGTATATGCCCTCTCCTATTGTACTTCCATATTTTAAATCAAATAAGCTGGTGGGAAATGTCAGATTTCTAGAACATTTACTTTGCTTTTGGATAAAACCTACTGTGGGCATGAGCGTTACCATACTTTCTAAAACAGGCATTCTTTCTGTAATGAGGCAATTTTCTCATTTCTTTCCTCAGAATTTGGAATTTCGGGGGTCATGCTACATCAGTAACCAAATTGCTGTACATCGGAATGGAACCTATTTTATGGTAGTTGCAGGTCCTTTAACATATTTTTCGGTTCTAGTTCTCGGGGTTTTTTTTTTTCACGTAATATACCGCTCTACACCAAATTCACTTTGTGTCCACCTTATAAAGCTTCTGCTTCCAGAATTCTGCAACCAGAAACTTTTTCTCGTAAGAATAATTTGTCTCTCTCTCTCTTTGTTTTGCAGTTGTCTTTGAAGACAAGAGCACTGGAAGTGGCAGCAGGTGTACAACAAACTTACGAACTCATTCTACACAGCTGAGGCTGCTGTGAATGAAACTCTTCTCCCACCCCCTTCTTTCGATGGCAGTCAATGTCTCGTTTCATTTTTTTCTTTTCTTTTGCGGCGTGCTACGGAACAAGGTCCTACATTCCTAAGTTATATGGTGTTGTCGCGTAGGGGGCAGAGTGCCGCCGAGCCCGCGACAGCCTTGTATCTGAGAAGAGCCGAACGCACCACTTCGAAAAAGAAAAAGTGAAGATGGAAAAATGAAAAATTTTCCAGTTGCTTCAAATTAACATTCCTCGTAGTCAGTCTGTGGCCGTTGAGTTTGGTGTAAAGAAGAAAAAAGTTTCACTTTTAGTGAAAATGGTTGCTTTTTATTGGTATCCCCTATCACACCGAGCACGAACGTAAGAAATCGTGACAAGGATTCTCCTTTAGTTGTATTATGGTGGCTGGAGCACACGAGGCACCTGTTGCCAATTTGACCCAGCAAATGCCCAATTCTCAAGATTTGAGTTCATTGAGGTTGTTTTGCTCCTCCTCCCCCCCCCCACCCCCCCCCCCAACTTTGTCGTTGGATTGTCTAACAGTGTAAATGGGCGACGACTCGTTATTCTTTTTTCTTCATTCTTTCTTTTTGTTGTCACGCGCCCCTGGGGACGCGACACAACTTATGTGCATAATTGATTTTCACAGGCTGCGACACAGTCTGTAAAAGAAGGGGAAGTGGAACTCTGCTCCGCCGCTGCTAGTGTCATCACGGGACGACCAATCGCGTTTTCTCTGACTATTTAAACAAAACGGCATAGCTTAGGGGGCAGTCTGTGTGAAGTGGAACAACCAAACTGAGCCCTGCCCTTTCGGTGTGTGTACAAGCATCTCTGTGTAACATGAACTACTTTGCATGAACGGGAGAAGTTTAGTTTTTTTTTTTTTTTTTTTTTTCAGGTAACTATGTCAACAGATTAGAACCATTTTTTGGAACGGCTGGAAAGATAACCGCTCATTTTGTTTGTACTAAAAGACTACGAAAAGTGTTGACTTTTTGCATCGGTTTGGCAACGTTTGTTTGGCATGCATGTAGTTGAGCCTAATGGTATCGCCCCTCGTAAACAATAACAGTGCAATGGAGCAGTACTGTAGTGTCCATTAAAGAGCGAGAGTTTGGTTAAAGGTTGTTAATTTGAGGTCCGTGTTATCCTTTGAGTAGGAGAGCGGCAGTTTTTGCAAATAGCGCTGCTGGGGGCGTCATATCTGCCCTCCAAAACATGCACATTTTAAGTGTGAATTGTTGCGGCGGCTTGTACGAGTATGTGTGTTATGTGTACAAAAAGAACTCTTAATTAAAATATTTGTGGCCAAAACGTTAAGTGAGTGTGCTGCGACTCAACTTCTTTCTGGCGGGTCTGCGGTCAAACGTCCGAAATTTGGAGAATTTCTCATGAAAGAGAATGTATTCGTGCTAGTCTAGGTTGGGTTGGGCACCTTCGTGTAGTGTGGAACGGTAAAGATTAACATTGGACGTGACTCCCAATGTTGAGCGTCCCGCCAAACTGTGACAAAGTGCTGTCGGTCAATCCTTGGACCACCAGTTGTGCTGACTGGCAGTAGACTGGCAACTCTCACTCACTTGTATGCACTTGGTGAAACGGTTCTTATTGCCTGTTTATGTGATGTAGTTACCGAGTTTGAGAATGGCAGGGAGGTTTTTCAGCTTTCCCAGCTCCAGTGTCAACTTCCTGTTTTTGATAACACCTGGCCATCTCGCAAGTTTCGAGCATGCATGCACGGCCGAGGCACGACTGAAGGCAACAAGCGTGTGACGTAGGCTGGACGTCCGAAAGACTCGTTGCCATTCTCGTTCTGTCAGCGACTATAGTTGCACGATCTCAGGTTGGCTTTTTATTTGCCAGATCAACAAAGGGCTGCTGCAGCAGAAAGGTTCAACCTAAATAAAGAAACCCTGCAATTTTTTTTTTTTTAATTTGTAGAATTTGTTTTTTAACTAGTGTGCGAAACTAGCAACTGTAGGATTACGAAAAAAATTTGGCAGACACACTCAAGACTGCTTACATGTAGGAATGTGAAGCATAACTACAAGCAGCACGCCACGTCTTCCTGTCGCACACGGTGGTGCGGCGGTGACATCACGCTCCACTGTGCAGGCATGGCGAACCTTGCCGGTTTCTTGATGGCTTCCACGATGAAGCATTGCATTGCCATGCTTTTCTTCAAGTTTTATTTCTGAAGTGCGTCAGCTTTGACCGCGAGTGCACCCACCGGCTTCCGTGACGAGACATCTGCGTTGCTGTGCTTTTCTTAGTGTTTTATTTCCAAGGCACGTCCGCTTTGACCTTGAGTGGCCATGCCAGCTCCCGGGACAAAGCATCCGATACGTCGCGTTGCAGTCAATTTAGGTGCAGTTTTTCGTGGTTACAGATGCTGCCTGCTCTGCTCCATGGAGCAAATAATAATAATCTTTATTGGCTCAGGAGAGCCATATCACCGCAGAAAGGCGACAGCCTGTACCATGGAGGCCTGCGGTGCCACGTCTGGTTATGATTATGAGATGTTACGTACAAGGGGAGGACGACTCTGTCTTCTTAACATCGCAAGCACCATTCCTCAAAAGTTTAGGGTTTACCAAGACACTTCTACCAGCTGGTAGAAGTGTCTTGGCAAAGAGTGGTGTCCAATGGCTTCACCGTGGTTGGGGCTGGGAAAGCCCTGGCGATTTAGTGGCGATTAGGACGACGTGCTTTTCTGATCTGCAGCATGAATCTTGGTGGTTCGGCGGAAGTTCAGGTCAGTAGGCCAGCGAGCCAAGGCGACCTTTGGCAGGCTGTTCAATGCACGTTCTGGGTGGTAAAGCCCTGGCGGTTGATGGTGCAGTCGCTCGCTTCGTTGAAGGCAGGGGCTGCAGGTGGTGGCCCAGTCAAAGTAGATGGCTACCACCCCTGATGCATCGACGTCCAGGGCTAGAACGTAGCGCTGCGGTAACTCGGTGTAGCTTCCTGTCGTCCATTAATATAATATTAATTGATTAATATTACGCAAAAAGCTTGCTCGCGTAGACCAAGACCGGGTAGCACAGAACATCTTGGGTGCAGAAAGTTTTGCAAGGCGCACTTGCTCTACGTAGATTTTACTGCTAACTTTAGTGGGGAAACTGATGTGATGGTCCTTCGCGTTTGTTCGTCACCACTGTCTTCTTGTGCGATTCGGCTAATGAAACATATTTTGCGTTAAATTTAAAACTTAAAACAAGTTCATCATTCTGAGTGCCAGTTCCATTTGTTGGTGACAATAGGAATCTGAAACGACGAGGGTATGTGGTTGCCAAGAGCAATTCTGCATCGTGTTACAAAGGTGCGAATGACCGGCAGATGTAATGGTGTTTTGGGTAAAGATGCAAGTAATAATCGTGCAACCTATAGCATCGCGAGTCTGCACTTGTCAGCCAGTCCTGCATTTATATGCCTAGGTCGTTACTAAAAGCTCCCAATTGGCACCAATCTGCCTTTCATCAGAAACTGCCTTTAGTTTTCTTCTTGCAGGGCCCTCTTAATTTTGCCTTGTACTGGACATTCACGAGTGTAAACTTACTGAATTTTCTAATATATGTTCTTACTAAAATCGTTCTCAGAAGAAATCCCAGAAATTTACACTTGTGTTATCAGAGGGCAGGATTTGCCAGAACAGCATAGACCTAGACTGACAGCCTGGTGCCTGGCAGGTACTACTGGTTACTTTAAGTGAGGAAATACAATAGAAAAAGATTGTGCTACACCTAAGCATTCCTTATGAGTTGTGAATGCGAAAGTATGCAAGCTGCTCGTCCGGTCCCTTTTTTGTCTGCTGCATACTTTTCCTTGCCGGTCGGTGCGTGTGCTCCCCTGGTGACCTTGGACGCTCCGCACTGATGGACACACAGCGCCACTGGGTGAGCAATCGTGGAAACTGACGAGCGCAGCGGCCAATGGGAGCCCCAACGACGCACGCCAGCCAATGGAACCGAAGGAAACTATCTGCTGTTTTTGCGCTTCAGAGTGATGACATCGGCTCGCTTCATGAGACCAGCTAATGTCGCATTAAAAACCAAGAGTAAGTGCACAGGCAAACTGGTGATGCAGTTAACAGTCCGAGACAAAGTAAGGCAGAGAAATCACAAGAGCGAATGACATTTTAGCGAACGGCGACATTTAAGCGAATGGTCGTTTTAGCGAATAACGGGGGCGCGCGTTAACCCATCCATCGCGCTGCGCTTTACGCCGCTTCGCGGCGACAGTCTGCGGCAACTCATTACAAAAATATGAACTCACTTGGCCCACCCGAAAACGCCGCTTCGCGGCGTCCGGCTATTCGCTAAAGTGTCGTTCGATGAAACGTGGGCATTCGCTAAAACGTCATTCGATCAAGTGAGTGCCTCCCGAGAAACTGCTCCAACTGCAGGCCTCGATGGATGAACCATGTTTCTCTTTGTTTTTATTGGCCTCCAGTCAGTTTTTATATCCTATGCATATATATATATATACAGGGACTTCACATTTCTTTCAAATGCAAAGCCTGTTAGAAAGGAGGATGCGTGCTACATGCGCTGTGGGAAAGCGGCACAGTTGCCTTGGTTGCATCGAAACAGTGCACGCAAGCCGAGGGGTAAGCATACTTGGCAGGACAGTTGGCATGCCCTCTTTTACAGCGGAGCTGCTAAGGGCTAGTTTCCCGAGGATCGTTTCCGCCGGATCAGAAATGACATCGAGCTCCGGACAGCTGTCGCCATCTATGAGCGACGGCGGCAACCAAACAACTGGTTGCCGGCGTCGCTGATACGTGGCGGCAATTTTTCTTCAGAGGAAAAAGAGCAGAACAAGCGGCGACTTGCGCAGCAGTGCGAATGGTTCTGCAGCCACTGCGAAGTTGCTATCGCCTAAAGTTCCACTGCATCGAGCGCTTCAGATTCCCTTGCGAAAGTAGGGCAGATCGCTCTCCTGGAAAGCCACCGCTGAGTACGGAAGCTAAGGCTCCGCTGCTCTTTCTTCTTCATCAGAGTAGAAAGGCTGAAAGTTTTTAATGTGGTGATTTTTTAGTGCAAACTGTTCAAATAATATGCCGTCTTTTTTAATTGGTATACATCTTTTTATTGGGCTGGAAATTCAGTGTCACATTAGTAATACTATATAATCTTCATGGCCTAGTCCACTTTATCCACCTTTGCAGTCTTGGTATGCCTGTAGTGTGTCAAAATATACCGAAGTGACAAAAGAACTGGAATGCTGATTGGCAGGAACAGGGGAATGTAGATGGCGTATCTGAAAAGGCCCAAAAACTGTGTCAAGCAAAAAAAGGCACTGCTATAACGAGTGTTACTTCGTTTTAAGAATTTTAACTGATGGCATTTCAAATCAACAAAAGTTAACACTTTAAAATCAGTTGCACAGGAATCGCTAAAAAGATGAACATGCAGATGCCACTACCTGCCCGAGATATATCGTCTACTGTTCTTTGTGCGGCTACATAGAGCACGGGCTCCTAATCTGGGTTCCCCAAAGTATTTTTGGGGGGTTTACCCAAGTACCCTCAAGGGTTTGAACGAGCCCTCGCCTCTCTTCAACCATCCCTGCCCCTAAGTAATGTACTCTTAAAGTTGAAGCACAATTTTGGACGATTTGAGCCATCCATTGATGCACACCGAGGTGCCATCAAAAAGTTCAGAAACTAGTTTTGTAGCTTGAAAAGAGGGGGCAGCACAGTGATGCATGCGCAGTTGTCGAAGGTGGGGACGTTCGTGTGTCATCGCACGAGTTACTGTAATCCTGGCCTGCCCACAGGATGGCTCCCAGTGGGAGGGGCTGTCACCGATGAAGTGGCTCGCTTCGTCGTTGGAGGCGCTTGACTAAGGCTTTTCTGCGACTTAAATGCGTTTCGCAGTGTGTCGCTGCGAAATGCTGCAGCTGTGGCCTTTTGCGGTAGGCCATGCTGCGCAAGTTTTTGTGACCACGTAAACGAATAGATGTTGGCGATTTCAGTGTGAACTGCAACCAGAGCAAGGAGCGAACATCAATTCTGTGTCAGACTGCAAATCAGAACCAGAGACCTTGAAATGAGTCGGCAGCCTTATGCCGAAGAAGCAATGAGTTGTGCAAGGTGTTTTGAATGGTGTTCGTGCTTCAAGAATGGCGAAGCAGCATTGGAAAACAAAGCAAGGTTGGGCGACCTTCCCCTACCTCTCTTCGTCTTCCAGTGATGATCTACTACTCTAAGTGCAAATGCCACTCGAAATGCCTATTACGATTCATTGCTTGTTTGCCGTAAGCCTAAAGAAGTTTTTCAAAGTTTACGTTCCAGATGCTCAGTTTGACGCGGAATTGATATTTGCCCTTTGCTCTGGTTGCAGCCGATACTGAAGTAGCTAATATGCTCATATGCATGGTCACAAAAACCCGTGTATAGTGCAAATTCAAATGCTCGCAGAACAACGCCCTTTGGCAAAACGACACGGGAGGACCCCCATCTTCGGCAGCAGCGCACCTATCACCTTGCTGCCTTCTTCTTTTTTTATGTTACAAAACTAGTCTCTGAACTTTTAGATTGCACCTTGTATGTGCAAAACACTTGCTAGTGTGTGAATTATTGTTTAAAAGGTCTGTGGGCTTCTACACTGCATTGTGCCAACGCGGACACCAGCAGGGGTTCCTTGGCTATAAATCAAGAGAAGTGCCCCTGGAGATCAAAACGTTTAAGAGCCTCTGATAGGAAGCATAGGGTGTCTTTAGAAACTCTTTGCATACTCGAGTTTTGAGCTGTGAAGAGGAAGACCTGCTACAAAAAGCCTGGCAATTGTAGCATAGTTTTTAAATATTTTATGGTGCTTAAACAATTACCTTTACCGTTTACTTCGTAAGCCATAAGATCTGAGCCTGCTATTTTGGAAGGAGCAAGTGAACACACTAAATGTTCCAACAGCTATAAAATTGATTCGAGATCATGACATTGGGCCTGTTCTTTTTTTAAGCCGTCGGAAAGTCTGAAGGGGACTTTCCAAACATAAAGTGCTTCCATAGTTTGGTAAATATGTGGTGAAATTGACATAACTTCTGAAACTTCTTCTTTGGACAGCATAATCGGGGCAGAGCAAAGAAACCATGAACAAAAGCAATTGGCGCATCAGGAATTTGACCTCTCGCCCTTACCGAGACAGGAAAATTGTGAGCATGTTATCTCGGCCCTGAACATAAAAAGTTGCAAACCTGGCATTATTTATATATTAAAACTTCTAAATAGAACCACAAAGCATACATTCTGCTGAGTAATAACCCCTTCTACCAACATGGTGCTAGGATTTTTACTTGTCGAACACCTTTCCTCGAACACCATGTTGCAATGTGCGGAAGACACGGCAACCAACTCCAACTCACTTTTGATCATCTGGGAAGTACAAGAGGGCAAGCAAGGAGGGATCAAAAAATGCCTTTTCTGCAAGAGAACATTCCCTCTGTTAGAACCCAAAGCCAGCTGTTTTTGGGCAAGCTAAAACAAAAAGGTAGGAAAAAGTTCACTCGCCAGAGGCCAAAAATGCAGCTTCAGCCTCTTTAAAAGCGGTCTCCAGGTCACCTTTCGAGAGCAGTTCCAAGCTCCTCTCTGCAGAATGCACTGAAGAGTAGATCTGCAAAGACGGGATTCTCAAACTTGCAGGCAGTCTTTCTGCGAGTTGTTGGGGGCTGCGGTTCGGATGCTGAAGAATGGTGCTTTTCAGCGCCCCTGACTAGCCCCTTCATTGTGTGGGTCACAGGCACATTTTAGTCCTCAGTGTAGTCTCGTGCCACAAATTTGTTAGAATTAAATTGGCATTTATTTGTACCTATTTCAACAACTATTTCCTGAAAACTGGTGGTAAAGGGCAAATACTATATGGAAACACTATATGCGATACAGTGTGCATGCATGACATGGACTTTAATTAAAGCAAAAAAAAGTCAACCAGGAGAAAATTGAGGGCATAAATGAGGCCGTTGAAGAACTAATGTGTCGAGGATGAAAACAAAAAGGAACGCATTCAGAATTTTGTTTTCTCTCTGACGAACAAAAAGATATGGCATCTTTTTTATGGCCACAGTATCCGTTGCAGAGAAGTCTCTTGTTGATTGGCTGCGGCAAATTATGGAAACAAGTTAATTGTTTGTGGATAGGTGTCTGTTAAACAGTATGTTGTAAATAATTATAGTCAGTGACAGGTCAAGAACCCTGGGGAGAGAGGCTGGGGAGGAGAAAGCAGGCGGAATGCTGGAGAGAGGGGGATGTTTCCTCCTCTCCAGCATTCCATCTGCTACCTCCTCCTTAGCCTTCCTTTCCCTCGCTTTAGGTTCTTGACCTGTCACTGACTATAGTGCTCTTATAAGGCAATCGCCCGAAACCAGACAGCTTAGCCGGTAGGTATACAAATTGGACCTTCATGAATGCCTGCTGCTGTAGCTTTTTTTCTGAAAAAAAGGTTTTGATGCATGTGCTCTTACAGAGTGGGGGACCCTTCAAGTGTGCAAGCACTCATTCACAACTTTGGGGAAGTGCGAGCGGATTAACCCGACTTGCCCGTGGTGCCGAAAAGGTTGAACGGCCTCACACTCACCAGATCTCCAATCTCGTCTTTGATCACAATGTTAGAGATGGTGCTGAGCAGCTGAGACAGTGAAAACAAGGAGGAAACAGACATGGACAAGTAATCCTGAGTTCTTCTCCTGAGCAGAAAGTCCACTTCCTGTCCAAAAAGAAAGGAACCTTTGTCAATTGAATCTATGAGCGAGCATTATAAACATCATTTTAAGGATGAACTCGAGAGCTCATGGGTCATCAAGGTGGGTTCCTAAGGACCCAGGGTTTCCCTGCAGCACCTCAACATTGAGCGACGGAACTAGTGCTCGACTAGTATTGACTCCAAGTAAAATGTTACCACACTTGTTTTGTTCCGCCAACATCACCAATGATCTTGCGTACTGATTTACTGCAAAAACACATATAGGAACTTGGGGTTCCCCCCCCATTTTTTAAAGTGGTTCCTCAAGACCTGAAGCTTGAGCTCTGTGCAATACCTCATCCACCCCCACACCAACTGCTATTGGAAAGAGAACGGCGCTGTGTCTGTTAAGAGCTGCCACACTGAACTGGGGCTCTAATCTGGACTCTTGGCGAAGAAGTCGGCGAGGGATTCGAGTGCAGTGATTGGCTGGTGCCAAGGTTAAGCACGGCGCCAGTCAATCGTGATCGCTTATTCCTTGCTGACTTTTTCGCCGAGTGTCCAGATTGGTACCCCCGAAGCCTCCTTCTTTTTTAACCTTCGAGCTATGCTAATTCTGAATTAGGTAACTACAATACAACTTCCACGACAAAGTCAATACATTAGCGTTTTTACTATACCAGCACCTAGAATATCTACACCAGCATTACGAGCTCAGTACATCTTCTGTTAAAGTTAGGTAAAGTGCCAGTAAGTTTGCAATGCGAGTGCAGGTACTTTTGGTACTCATATGCGCTATCCTAAAAAAACTAATACAGAGTAACAATTTTTTTTTATCTATCCAATTTAGATTTACTATAGCAGGTGGTGGGTTAAGAATTCAATAGAAGCTCCACCACCTTCAAGCGTTCGGTGCCTTCAGCTCGGGTTGGGCTGTGCGTGTGATGAGGTGTTATCAAAGGCAGAAAGCCTGGAGGTGGAGCTTCCACTCTAGTCTTCATCTGTTCTAGCCTATCGCAAACTACTTTAAGCGCATAAATACCTTTTCAGTGCAAGGAGACTCGCTAATAACAAGTGAATAGGTAGGCTCGTGACCATTCAAATTCTGATATTTCGTACTTCCGGTTATTTCAAACAAATTAAAAAAATTTGGTTGCCCCGCTATGTTTTCAATGTATTTATAAGCCGCTCAATTCGAACGGCATTTTCGTGTAATTCATACATTTTTGTTTTTGCTGTCCCGTTGAGCGCGCTTCTTGCCGAGCGCCGGTGCACAGCGGAGAAGCAACACCCGCAAAGCTTGCTTCTGCGAATGTTGCTTCTCTGCAGTGCACAGTTGCCTGGTAAGAAGTGCGCTCAATGGGGCTAATAGGTCACAATAGGCAAAGATTTTTTGCTGGATGAGCAAACTTCACCCCTTAAGTTCCTTGGACGAGCTGAGCTCGTCGGCCACTTTCTGGCTAAAAATGCCATGGACGAGCTCGGCCCGTCCAGTGGTTTTTTCGGTAGCCCTCGACGAGCTAGGCTCGTCTAAGTAGTTTTGCGGCGCTGATCATAGATGGCAACACTCGCTTTAGTTGGCAAATATTTTTTTCGCCTCCGCTGATTTTTGCATAATAAACTTTTCAAATTTTATGTGTAATACTAGAGGAATCACAATTCAAAATAAAAAGAAAAAAATATATGGCACTTCTAGGTTACTTTTGGAAAAAAAATTTGGCACTTAATAAGGGGTTAATTTTGTTTTGAGGTGTCATGTGCTGTCTAAACAGTCAACGACCGACAACATTTTGGAGAGATGATTGAACTTATCTCGTACATTTTACCCATGTTTCACGTGTGGCATACCTGCTTATGATTGTTAGGTCTGTGTACAGGAAATTGCCAAATATCTGCCTTGTATGTGTACCCATCTATACTATAACAAATCATAATTTCATCTTGCATCGTATTTAGATGAATTTTTGATAATTCAAACTTCCAATAATTCAAACAAAATGTGTGGCTTCCTGGAGATTGAAGAGATTGAAATAATGAGTCTACTAGTAATTTTATTGGCAGCTTGATCCAAATTAACTTACCTTGCGGATTCATATCTTAGGCACCTACTATAACTATAAACTGTTGCAAGTAAACACCTTAACCGTTTTAGTTTTGGAGGATTTCTAACCCTCAACTGCCTAATTGTTTTCTTCGAAATTACATTTGTTGCCTTCAAAATCAAGTTTCTGGCCACAAACAAAATTAAAAAAAATTAAAAAAAATCAAATCAGGGTTGTTATTTGTTGGCAGTCTCAAATTAAGACATGAGCGAGCCTGGTTCGTCCAAAACAGTTGAGTGCGTGAACCGGGGAAAGCAGACGCACTGTACTCGCCCTAAACGGCTTGGGGACGGTTCCACGAGCCCCTCTCCAGTCTAGCAGAACAAACACCGGGGAGGAGACGAGTGGACTTGCCTCCTCTCCAGCATTTGCTTTGCTAAAGTGGAAAGAGTGGAGGGCTTGGCAGGAGAGCTACTCCTGCTTTTCTTAACCTGCGACAGAGTATAGCTCATCTTGCTCACACCATACTACCCCCAACAACAACGTTGGCCTAAACTTACTAGTGCTCTTATAATAGGAACAATAATGCTTTCATGCTCCAAGGTCTCGCAATTTATTAGCCAATTACGACGAAACATCGATACTTACGAGATCTGAGCAGACTGAGTCTTCCATGACATGCAGCCCTTCCTTAGGCCTCGTGTCGGGCAGTCCCATCAGTAACCTCAGCTGTCCGAGAAAAACTTGGAAGATAGAACGCATGTCCAAGTCCACACGTGCTGGCAGGGCGGCACCGCTCTCGGGAAACTTGGGCACGTTGTAGAAGAGGAACCCGCCCCACTTGGGCGAAAGGAAAGCATTTGTCTCCAGCGGCTGGCCTGACGGAAAGGATGCAGCAAGTATTGTTACTAAATCTCGAACTTGGCTCATAAAAGTGCCACGTGAAACTAAAACACTGTACCTCTTTCGTCGTACACATAGAGTGGATGATGTGCTCGAGGTACCACATAGACCATGAAATTTAGCGCAGGATTTACTGATGCGTGCAACCCTTAAAAAAGAGAGGAAACAAAATTGGTAACATAAACACAGATGAGCCCTTGGAGAAACACAGCACTCTTAAAAAATATTTGTGACGTGAAACACCTTTTGTTTTGGTCAATAGGGGGTCGCTTGCTAAACCAGATGTAACGAAAACATGTAACACTAATATTGCTTATATCTTTGCAACCGTACTACCCCTGCATCATACTTCAATGTCGCTGTGTAGAGGAAAGAAGCCACTACTCGACCACGCATATCTCGTGTGCGCAAACGGTGCCGCTGTCGCGCCACGCACGATGCGATCGAAGCTAAATTTAGCCTTGCGCATGGCATTCACAGAGGCGTAGCTTGGCAGTATGTTTGTCAATCCGACAAACATAGTGCTGCGCATGAATAAATGTAAGGGGTGTATTTGGTTACATCATTTCTGTACCCTAGTGCCTGTGCACCCACTGCAGCACGCACAAGGCGTTTCCCGTACCCTACTGTGGCTGCATCCCCGACACAGCCTACCCAATTTTTTAAAAGTGCCTGGACAGGACGCGCGTGCAAGAAAAAAAAGCTTTTTCCTAAAAAAAGTTTATACATATTTACGTTGCAAGACGACATGTTGAGTTGGGAGCGGTTTCTATTTCAAGATGTTGACCCCGAAATAGCAGTGAGTTTCGGGATCGTTCTGCAGCGGCGCGGTCGATGGCCGTAGCGGCGGCTGCATTCCTCTCGTTCTAAGGGCTGTACAGACGAGACTTGTTTTCTGCAGTCGCGGCACTTGCTGTAACAAAAGTGGAAGTTTTCCTCCAATTCCGGTTGCCCTTGGTACTTTTTTTTTTTGGTTGGGGAGAAAGCTACCCTCCGCCTCTGTCCTTAGACAGAGACTGGGAGTGTGTTCATAGTGTGGGTCCAGACAACCACTCACACGCTCTGCTGGCTTTCGTCAAGGCCTTCGCTGTTGTCGATCCCCAAACTCCCAAGAACAAGGGGAGGAGACAAAAGCGAGGAGGAAAGTGATGCTATTTGCGTGGTTGATGTCCTTGCTGAAAAAGTATGAACGCGCTGCAACTTTCACACTTTTTGAGAAGCGCAAACATTTTTTTGCCGCGCATTGTGTTGTGCGTGTGGCATGTCTTGTTTGCACAGCCATCCAGACGTCATTTGGACCCCAAGCAGAGGAATGTGGCACGAGAGGAATGACGGGAGAAGAGGACACCACAAGTACGGGGACGACAACGCTTCGAGACGAATTGGAACCAGCGGTAACATCACCTCCTCAGTTACAGTCAAATTGGCAACGTAATCAATTACTTAAATAAAATATATTTATAGCAGAAACGACATCTGTTCCTACAACTCATAAGAAATAGTCAACTCCCCCCCAAAAAAACAGTCCTTCCAAGTGCTAGAATAAAATACATACCTATGTTGCAAAATTAATTTCCCCCCAAAAAAGGAAAATGTTTAGCACCATGTTATTTACGTTGCGAGACTCGTTTCGAGGTTCGAGATGTCGACCCCAAAATTTAGAAGCACCTTTCCGAAACGCTCAAATGTGTATCGGAACGAAAATATAACACTATCTTCTTTTTTTTTTTCTTTTTTTTTTTTGCAAGAGAATTTTTTTGGCATATAGAAAAAAAAAAGTGTTTTTGGCTGTTTAGTGTTTTTTTAGACACAATGCTGCCAAATTCACTTTGAAGTCAGAAACAAGGAGGCACGCACAACAGACCATCTTGGAACGTTAACTGCATCGAGTGATTGAACTAGGAGGAGGAGACGGGGCCAAAACCAAAACTCACCGCTGCTTCCTTCCACTGGGTTTATAATCAGGGGCAGCTTGTCTGCAGTCAACGAGTACACACCCTTCTCCTTGTCGAAGTGCGGCTGCACTTTCAGGTCAGTTAAGTACAGCACCTGTCAAGCGGGAAAGAATTCCGAAGTCTCGATAAACTCACCGTCAAGAGGCTTCTTCGGAGTTTCAAGAAAACAGAAGTACTAATGTCGAGAATTGGGCTAGTTGGCATTCTTTGACCATAATGTAGGAACGGCGCAAAAAACAGGGACAAAGCAGAAGAAAAATGCAAACAGGACAAACACCGACTCTCCCCCCCCCCCCCCCCCCCAACTGAAGATTTTATTACTTCAAACAGAAAGGACAAAAAAAAAAAAGGAAGGAACCAAACAGGTACTATCAGTCAGACAGGTGTCAAACCCCTTGCCCTACCACCCCCATAGCCGTCGCGCCGCCAAGGGGCCACCTCTCAATTTCACGTGCAAAAATTCTATTTCAATTTTTGAAAGTGCTACAGTCGAACCCGACTATACCGAACCCGTTTACATCGAATTATCCCTTATATCAAACAATTTTTGTGCACAGTAATGTTACAGTGATAATATATATAGCAAAAACTACAGTTACATCGAAGAAAAATAGCAGCCGCTACCGATTTATCGAACTGCTAAGAGAGCCGTTTTGCTCTGCAAGCTGGCTTTACCCCAACGCGAGCGGCCGCATTGGGGGAAAGCCAGCTTTCCCACAAGCAAAACACGCTGGCTTTTTTTTTTTTTTTTTTTAAAGAAAAAAAAAAAGAATATATCTTTTGCAGAGGGAGCGGGGAAAGGATACTCCGTGCTCTCTCTCCCCACCGTGCTCTCGGCATAATTCGGCGCTAGTACGCCGAATTATGCCGAATAAACAATGCTGAGGCAGCGGCGCCTCAGCATTTTGGAGTCTGTGGATAGCATAGATAAATATTGTTATCACGGATGCAATGAAGAAAAAGCAGCAGAAGATGCAAGACTATTTCATTGTGTAATATGTCAGCAGAAAGTAGATTTTTGAGAGTCAAGTTCATTCAAACTTTTATATCGAATTACCCACTATATCGAACTGGTAGACATTTTTGAGTTCAATATAAACGGGTTTGACTGTATTGAGCGCGTCCCTCGTCATTCTATCTTTGTTTCTTCCTAAAATTGGAGCGTCACCAAAGGACAACTAACACCTGACGCTTGGCAGCGTAACGGGAGGTGCCCTCCGATCGTTGCAGTAGGGCTAAGCAGTATCGCGACATAAATGTATCTCGATAGTATCTGGGAGATAATCCCGAGCTGACTCTGTGTATCGAGATACATTTGAAAATTATTGTACCTCAGTAGCGAGATACATTTACAACGAATCGCTCGTGTTGTGATAATTTGCCAGGCTTAGGTATCTTGATTCATTTGTAGCCGTTTTTACGATAAATTTAAAAGATAAAAATATCTGCAAGGTGCTTCAGAATTTATAATATGAACCTGTCCTATACTAACACGATCCATCACAGTCACCAACATTAAAAGAAACACAAAAAAACTGTTGTTTAAAGATGGTTACTTGCAAGAATAACAGAATAAGCTCCTCTCACAAAGCACTGTCTTCTTTCCCAATTACAGTGCAATCCACTTATAATGATACCACATAACGATATACCGCTTATAACGATCAGTTTATAGAGCTTCTAGACTTGAAACGACCAGTTTCTAGTCCAGATGCAACGATACTCGGCTATAGACGCTTTACAGCAACTGTGCATGGGCGCCGCCATAACTGACCTTCAGTTTTTGTTCCCCCTTATTACGTTCACTTCACTTCATTATTGCCATAGCAGCCCAGGTCATTGACATCTTAGATTTTATTCTGTCTTGCTCCCCAGCATTGGCCTTTGTGGAAGCTTGTCCACACCAATTTCAGTGGCTCGGTATCTCGGTAAAACAAGAGAGGTCAGCAATGGTGGCTGTATTCTGGCGCGTGTGTAAAGCGTCTATAGCGATTGCATTTTCGGGTTTTCTCATGATCGTTATAAGTGGATTGCACTGTAGTAAAGCGAACGCTGCAAAGGAGTAGAGTTGGAGAAAAGGTATGGCTCTGTTGTCCAATCTCCCCACACTATGGGTGACTCAGAAGCAAAACAAGATGTGCCCCGACGGCAAAACAGGGCTCGTTTTGCACAGATGCCTTTCGTCGAGAATGGCGCACAGTCTTTACCGTTCGGTAACTATGCGGTTCACTAGGAGTGACATGTTTTTTTATTGCGGCAATAATGATAAATAAAGATTTAGAGGTAAGGGGAAGTGCATAAAATGGCACAAAAAAAAAGAAGAGCACAAGCATAGTTCACCATTTGGGAACAAATATATTTCCATCACTATATCAGTATCTATATTCTGGTAAACTTTTGTGCCGTTTTTGCAGAAGTTTCTTGGGGATATCCCGTTGCATAAAAGACAAATGCATCTCAGTATCTGTATTTTGGGCCTTAATGAGACACGCATTTCAGTATTTGTATTCTCTAATACTTTTTGGAGGATCTCTGCCCAGCACTGCGTTGCAGTAAGAGAGTAGTTACGCTCTCTGAGCCTGTTGTTGAAACATCTACCAGTCTGCCCGACACAACATTTTTTTACAAGAGAGAGGAATTTTGTGCACGACACCCCTCGCAGCATCTTACGAACAGCTTCACGCATTTCTTTTTGCACTTTCTTTTTGAGAACTCTTCCGCTTTCTTACGTTCACCCTAGAACGTATTTGTTTCAATCTTTCGGGGGCTGAAAACACCACCAATATGCTATACCGGCTTCCGACATTCTTTAAACTGTGGGACTTTGCGTAGATAAGGTATGATACGATAAGATACGATAGGCTCGGAAAGTGTAATTACTCTCTTACTGCCCCGGTTGCAGGGCACCTCCCGTTACACCACCTGGTGTGCGAGCGTAAAGCGTCCTTCGGCGATGCCACAATTTTATGAAGAAACAAAGATAAAACGACGAGGGAAATGCTCGGGGCTTATCAGATTGCCACTGAGGAGGACCAGTGCGAGAATGAAGCATCAATAGCGCTTTCGGAAAAAAAGAAATAGAATTTTTGCGCGCGAGAGCGAGAGGCGGCTACGTGACGGCTGGGGGGGTAACGGGGCAAGGGGCTCGACACGTGTCTGACTGATGGTGCCTGGTCGCTTTCTTCCTCTTGCCTTCAAGTAATAAAAACTTTGGTTGCGAGTCGGCGTTCGTCCCATTTGCGCGTTTCTTCCGCTCTTTCCATGTTTTCTTCTGTCGTTCTTACATTACGTCCGAGAGAAGGATTTGAAGAACCGGGCCGACGACGGCCGTCCCACCTGACTTTTCACGTTCACCGTGGCAAGCGTGGAAACCCTGTCCAGGAATGGTCCCATGTAAGCTGCACAATTTAAGGCGGGCTTAGTTACTTGCACTTAATTACTCGGTAATGTTGCTGACAGAATGAGAACAGCGGGGCGCGTCTTTCGAATGTCCGGCCACCAGCACTTGCTCCGTGCTATCCGCTTGCTTCGGCTGCGAGCGTGCGCTGGAGGTGCATTAGGCGCGCGAGCGTTGTCGAAGGTGGGGAGCTTGTGCCGGGGGCGGGACGACTAAACTTTTCCCCCTCGCCGTTCTAACCTTGTCGCTGACCGTAGCATGCCACGCTCAAGAACTAGAATTTTCGAGACATGTCATTTGCCAATGAAAGTGCACGATATGAAATTCAGGTCATTTACAAATATTCAGACTTTACACAGTTCAATGTATAAGGTGATTAGTTTTAAGTTTTAGTCAAATGCATAAACCAGTTATCTGACTTTGTAAGTTTCAAGTTTGTGAAAAGCTGTGTGCAATACCAGCAGGTGATGGACATATGTTTCTAAGGTATTATTGCCAAAAATTACACATTTAGGAAAGAACTAGAAACCACTTTTTTGTGGCCAAACACCCTGTGAAGACTTTTTTTTTCCTGAAGAGGGGAACTTTGCACTGCTGAGACACTCATAGGAAGAAAACCGAGAAAGTTTAAAAACTAACTGCCTTGTCGTTCCTCCTCCAACATCATCATTTAATCAAAATAAACATCACATTAACCATCAGCTGTGTTTTTGGTTTTGACTGATATGACCTCCATTTACAGCAAATAATGATTTTTCATCTTTCGCTCCTCGCCCAGATAACTGCGGGCAACATAAACGAAAAAAATCACACGTCCCACCACACAGCTGCATCCACGCATTTGAAAAAAAAAAAAAAAGATTTATGCGGCATTATAGAATTTACATAGCACCCGACATACATTAAGACACTGCAATAATATTTAAAAAAAATCTTTTCACCTTAGCAAGAAAAAGGAGAAAAAAACACGAGCAAAAAATAGCTAAGCCGCACGGACCATGAATTGCTTCTTGGATTTTCCAGCTGACGTCCAGAATCTGGGGCTCGGGTACAATCAGCGTGAACGTCACATCAAACTTCGTGGTTGCGCTCAGTGGCCTCATGCGCTCTTTGTCTGGCTGAAGGAACAAAAATGGGACACCAAACACCTTCATTTAATTTCCAAACAATGCTAACAAAACTATGGTGCAAGGAGTGCACCCCCAAATGGTGTTTACCTCGTCCTCAAACAAATGTGGTCCCGCGATTTCTACCCGACGACGTCACTTTGATTTACCGGTATTTTTGCGTGGTACTACTGTGTTTTATGTTATTGTCGCACTCGTTACATTTTGTGTCACACAACAGCGCATGATTGCAGTTGCCTCGGCCTCTGCATAAGTGGCTGGCGAGTAGGAGACAAATAAAAATCAAAGTGTAATGCTGTCGTTGCTCGTCGCGATTCCGGCAGCGGCAGAGCAGTGGAGGCAGAATCGGCAGACGCCCGTTCTGCCGTGGCTCGCTGTCGGCTCGATGGTTCACGGAAGGCTCTCCAACGATAGGTTAGGATGTTGCGGTGATGGTGACACAGGCGTTTGACCGCTTCATTGCCGAAACTTGCACGACCAACCCCCGGGACTGCGACGTCCGACGGCACGAAATTTAGTGACGTCGTCTGCTACCACTCCAGGACCACTTTCGATGCAAGGGCTACATAGGACACTAAGCACATCGGCCAAAGGTGCGTTCCGGGCGCCGTAAAAAGATGCCGACACAACTCCATCAGACCGCTTACCCTGCTTCTTTCCTGGCTCTTGGGGGACGTAAAGAGTCTTTTCAACAGGTCTTCTCTGATGGCGTCTTCTCTGACCACATTATCAATGCTTCTAGCAAGGTCTTGCAACCCTGAAATTAAGAAAAAAAGTTCCATCGAAGAAGCCCTGGTCGACCATTTCTTCTTTTGTGTGAAGGCGCTGTGCCATTGAGGACTGCCATGTGAAGCACGTGGCACTCCTCAACGAAAATATGGTAAGCACGAAGAACAAATCCAACCGCCTATGTTAGTATACCCCGTGAGCACATTCAACCACAGTTTCAGTTCTGATGGCAACATTTCAGATTTAAAAGGAATAAAAAGACCACTGCCCATGGCTTATTTAAGTTAACGGTAATCGACATTAAAATGCAGACCCTTAATCATATCCCGATTTCCTGTCTTCTCAATCCAACCTCCAACATGCACTCATATTGCCTCCTGTGGTGCTTTGGCTGCGCAAGGACGCTTGAAGCTTGGAGATGTTGAAGGTAAAAAGCTAGCATTGAAGGCACTGAAAGACCTCCCTGGCATTTTCACCATGTCAGTACCCATAGTAGACATCAACATCTTCTTCACTGGAAAGTGCTGCTAATATCTTTGACTTTTTAAAGCTTGTGACATGGTCTTCATGCCAATAGTAAATCATTGGACTTACCCTCACCCCCTTCAAAGTAGATGGTTTTGTGCAAACCGATGGTCACCTTTCCTTTGAAAGTTCCATTTGGGACGACCACAACGTTCAACCGATTGTCAGCACGGAGGTGTTCCATATGGTGAAGAGCAGTGTCAATCTCTGCAGGTAACATACATATGTACACAACATCTCAATAAAAATTTGCTGTAGGACGCACAGATCTATGTTCCTCTTGTGGCGGAGCATGTTGCAAGCAAAAACTAATAGAAATCACCAGAAAAAAAAGGACAAAACCAAGCAATCAGGCTGACTGAAAAGGAGACAATAATTGAAGGTTCAAACAAGTTCTGTAGCTATTCCAATGGAAAGGAAGTAGTACATTGGTCTACTACCATGGGTGCCAAATAAAAAAATATAAATTGGAGATTGCATGTTTGAGTCAATTGCATGCTCTGTAGGTGATATAATAGGTATCAACCCCATTTGTTTGCATGAATTTTTAGCATTGGACAGGCCCCAACTTGTTACATATTCCCGAGGTGTACTAACAAGGTATACAGCAAAGAGTACCATATGTCACCTTGGCTGCTCTCACAGTAGAAGCAGTAGATCCAGCATAATTTTCATCAACATACACTTTTAAAACAAATTACTTATATAATATTAAACAAAAAAATTGATAATATGCTTTTTTAAATAAGTGCTCAAAAAGCAACACTAACGTTTGTCTCAAGTACTCAAACACTAACATTTGTCTCATCATGTAACACGACTGACCCAGTCCCTAAACACATAGAACAGTTGTTCTCTGAACAGAAAAACCTTCAGCCTTTCCACTCTGGTGAAGACGGAAGGCTAGCGAAGCTGTACTATGATGGGACGATCTCAAGCACGACTTCTTGGACGACCTCAAGGCCGACGCCTAGAGGACAATGTCTAGGACGACCTCAAGGACAACGTCTAGGACGACCTCAAGGACGACTTCTACGAAGACCTTGAGGACGACCTCAGGGACAACGTCTAGGACAACCTCAAGGACGACGCCTAGGACGACCTCAGAAACGAAGTCTAGGATGACCTCAAGGACGACTTCTAGGATGACCTTGAGGACAATGTCTACGATGGCCTCAAGGACGACTTCTAGGAGGACCTCAAGGATGACTTCTAGGACGACCTCAAGGACAACCTCAAGGACGACCTCAAGGACGATATCTAGGATGACGCCTAGAGAAATTCAGCCTTTCCACTCTGGTGAAAACCAGAGTGGAAAGGCTGGAAAGGTTGCCGCCATCTATGAGCGAGGCCGGCAAGCCGGTTGTCTGGTTGCCACCGTCGCTCATAGATGGCGGTAGATATCCAGAGCTTTGTGTCAATATTTCTTTGCGGGGGACATGATCCTCGAGAAACTAGCCCTTAACAGCTCTGCTGTAAAAATTAGGCTGCACACGAGCTCGTGAAGATTAGACATAATACAACCCTGAGAGTGCAGGTAAGCAAAAGACACACACACAAAAAGTTTCTAATAGATTTTTTTTTTTTTGTGTGTGTGCCAACTTTTGCTTATCTGCAGCACATAGGTGTACATATCCATGTTACCCATATCATGTTGACACGAGCTACTCAGAAAATGGATGAAAAATAGAAGGAACAGCTGGTAATTTTTTCTGCCGATACTTGGTGGTTGAAAAAAGTTTGCCAACATGAAATAAAATTAAGCAAGAGCAAGAAACAAGCATGAAATGAGCAGACTTGGTTTGAAGCAGTAATTTCTAGGCAGTGCAGAAATATCTTTTCATACCTCCGACACCAGTATGCGCGCATGGCTTGTGCATTGCCTCGGTAACAAAAATTAAAAGAGGCCATGCAACGATATTCACTCGGAATGGGTTTCATATCACACGAGCTTACTGGCACTAGTTAAACCAAAGTATACTCGCAGGCAATACCACTGACCAAGAAACTCCTTTGTTGCAGTGTAATTTCAAGGACAGAAGCGAGTGTTTTCTTTCAATCTCTCTTTCGCAAAACTTGATGACGCAGCTGCAGGGTTCAAGTGTCGGCATACTCCCCGCCAAGGGCAATGTTTGAATGCGGCTCATAGATTGGTCACGAGCATTGCGTGAGCACTCGATTTGGGCTCACGATAATCAATAGATTGACAAGCATTCAGGTAGAGGCCCGTGTCCAGTCGCTGTAATGATGACAATAGCTGAATTATAACAATGTCTGGAACTCAGCATGTGTCCCATGCATTGACAACGCAAGCGCGTGGCTATCATCAGGTACTATATACTCGGCTCCAGATCACGTGGCCCCTTGTTCTAGCTGCGTGCGAGTCGAGGGGGTGAACGCATCACGTTTTTCTTTCATTTTTTTCTGCAACTTTTTTTTCATAGGTCATTAACGTAAGGGCTTTGTTCTAAGCGGTATTTTTACAAAGTACAAAAATCATTGCATCACCCCTTTAAGTGAGCATGATTGAAGTGACCAAAAAAGCTAATGAAATGCAAGCACTTTGCATAGCCCCTAAAGCTGCACATGAAACTAAGTGTGTGGCGATCATATCACGCTACGCGCAAGCGCCCGATGGACCTGACCGATCCTCCCGCGAGGCTGCCTTCGGTGCCACCTCCGCCAGCTAGCATCAGCGTGAGAACCACACGCAGCAGCCGGCGTATCAGGGCCCCAATACGGCTCGACCTGTGATTGCTTGTTCCGTTCGTGCACTCACTGAGGAGGGAGTATTGTGGGGATCATATCACGCCATGCGCAAGCGCCCGATGGACCTGGCCTATCCTGCCGACCGGATGTTTTCCCCCTTTGTCCACGCGGAAGGATTCCCCTCGCCCGCGGACCGCGGTGACGGAGGAATGTGGAGAGCGGATCAGCGGAGGGGAAGACAGGAAAGGAGGTTCCCGGGAACGGGCACTTGGAAATAAAACACCAGTTGAGTTTGGGACGCCTATGTGGTTACTTCGCCCCCGCTGCGCCCCAACAAGTGAAAGTGCACACCATACAGAAACAAGGAGTGACCAAAAGCAAATGCCTGCAATAAGACACGTTTCTGGCTATACTTGCATCTTACCCTTACACCCCAACAAAAATAAAGTGGGCATGAGGGAAGCGACCGAGAAAGCAGATTAAACGCAAGCACTTTGCATGGCCGCTAGAGCCGCCTGTGAAGAGAACTGAAAGTGCACATAATAGCTACATTCCAAATCTTACTCGGGTAGATACGATTTACTCCCGTGGGTTATGTGACGCGATAGCGCAAAGAGAATGATGCTGGACATAAGTAAGCTTTTGAATACAAACATACAAACCCTTCACTCTGGAGTGGGATCGAGAAATTTTAAAACATGGCCCACATGGAAACGAGGAGTGACCAAAGGCAATTGTCTGCAATATGACCAATTGATGGTTATGCTCGCTTCTCATAGGCGTACGTCGGCCCTATTGCGCCTAACCAACCCGACCCCGAGGAAAGAAAAAAAATAAATAAACAGGGTTCCACCTTCGAGCGTCTTTCCGGACAGGAGAAGGTCGGTCTCATCCTGGTAGGCGAGTCTCACGGCCCACTCGTACACATACTCATTTCCGTCCGTAAACTGGGCTGTCCGCTTCGCCGACGTTGCATTGTCGAGCAGATTCACGAGGTCTCCCTCTGGATACTGCTTTTCCACGAGGAGCACATGAACACTGATGCGCTGAACGATCTACAAAAAGAATCAGGTACTAAGCATGTTCACGAAGCACCGATTTGAGCTAAGAAACATGCTTTCATGAAGGCTGGTTCATAGACTTGCAACTGCTTAGGATTGTGTGCCTCGAGACCTCTTAAGAGCTCTTACGACGAGAGAGCGCGCAAGCGCTCTCTCGTTGGACGGCCCTGGGCTCTTCTGTTCCACGCATGTTTCCCAGGTTTTTTTACATGTCGTTCTTTCACCGCGGCCCTCGCACGCATACAATGTTACGCGATTGTCTTTTGTGGCTAGCCCATCGATTTGACTTTGCAAATAGGGCCAAACCTTCGGTCTAGACGCACGCCGATCTGAAGGGTTCTGGGATAGCCGACAAATGGTGCCAGTGTATTCTCTTGTTGTAAGCAGTTACAGGCGCCCACGACGTGCTCAGGAAAGCATGAACGAAAATGTCTGAACTAGCTTGTCGTGTTGGCATTTTCACGATTCCGGTAAACTTGCCGAAACTTTGAATGGCAAATAGATTCTTTTAGCAAAATCACCTTGAAGGTCTACATAATTCGATCGCCAGAGTTTTGCTTTATCGCTGAATAAAAACAGAATGAGGGGAAACCTCGATGAGTTCTGACATTGTGCTTTTTGCGGGCTCTCCTATGTGCCGCTATAGAAAGAGTGCATTGCTCATGTGCGGACGGCGGAGGAAAAACATTATCTGCTGAGAAAAAATGGCACGTCGAAGTATCGTACAACATAACAGTCTGTTGCAACATAAAACCTGCGAGAGAGGCTCTGCCACCAAATTCAGAGAGAGAAATGGCGTTGCTATGCCACTCAGTTTGAACACGACCATTTTTATGACAGCACAAAAAGGGAAAAGCATCCGTCAGCGTCCCTTTTTTCGAGGTTGGGGCTAACAAAAAGAAAGCTCCGCCTAAAATAATACTAATGCAATGCCAAATGCACTTCGGTACATTCGGCATTGAAATAGTTGCTGCTTTTTGTGAACAGAGCCTTTCTTCCGGTTCTTACCTTGCAACAGACTACATACAAGGGCTTTTTTAGAGGAAGCTAATCTTATTAAGCTGGGGTGCTTTCCTGACCCTATTTTATCTGAGGTACTAAGGATGGAATTAGACTTTTGAGACGGGCAAGACTACTTGGGCCTCTTAAGGGGGGATACTACACAGGAAAAAAAAATTTCTGCAAAAAACGATGGTTTTGAAAAATGCCATATTTCGATCTACCAATATCTAGAGAGTATTCCCAGAAGGTTTCATTATTTTACACAGCATAGTTCATTTTTTATAAATTATATTTTCGATCCACCCATGCTAAAACAAAGGTAGGAGCTGTAGCACTTTGAACACATTTTTATCCATTCCACTTTTTGGCATAAATTTCACTTTAGGAAAACTATTGCTTCAGTACGAAACTATCGAGAGATTTAATATTTGCGGCGTATATGCCAAACATTTATGGAGCCGATTACTATGAACTTAAACTTCACATTTTCATGTTCCTTTAATATGAAAAAATGTAATTCACGAAACTTGATAAATGTAAAAATAAAAAGATTTTTCATAAATTTTTCTTTTTACCTGAAAAGTGCATATTTTCTTAAATTTCTTTTCATAGCAACCGGCAACAGGTAATCCAGTATGCATTCCACCAGAAATATGTGTGGTTACCAACACCAGTTCTCAATGATAAATTCACTGAGCAGATTCCATACAAAGCTTTGCTTTACTTCGTTCTGGGGGTATAGTACTTCATAAAATTGGTTCACAGGGCTAATAATTTGCATGCCCTCCTTTTATATGGCTACAAACACCACCTGCAAATATCACACCCATTGAGTGAGCGGTTCAGAAGTTGACACTCTCAGGTAGTGTCCCCTTAATTTATTTTGCAGAAATCTTGGCTGATCTATAATGTAAGCAACACACCCGCTTCAAGCCGAAATAATGTACTATACTCCTGCAGAGGTATTTGAAGCAAAGAGTCAATTACTTTGTCTCTTCTCGCTTTACAACAATTGCATTGAATGTTCTGGCTTGCCAGGTAGACAGAAAAACAGGATCCTGCAAATGCTTTTGTTACGAATTACCGCACGCTCCATAGCAGTATGGTCCCTCAATGGTGCAGTGCTCTGTCAGCTTGACATGACACCTGCATGTTCGATGATGTGAGCGGAAATGGCAAAGCGCATCTTCAGCTGTATCCTGCCTGCTTGTCAGACATCAGAACTTCAAAAGCCACAGGCGTGCATGCTGCAAGGCCAGCATCGCTCGCACCCATTTCGTCCGCTGTGTTGTCGCTGCTTCGACCAACCACGAAGAATGCAACCATCTGATTCCTTCCATAAAAATCCAAGCGACGTCTTTTTTTTTTTTTTTTTTACATTAACATTTTTAACATATGGGAAGCAGAGGGCACGAAACACACCAATGTGAAACATACAACAGTCACTGCAGTGACAAAGTGCCTTCCTTGCATTCTGCTTGTTTGTACATTGCACAACACAGTCAGCAGAAATAAGACATCGCCAATTGTATGCCTTTTACTCGGACAAGTTGACAACAAATACCAAATTCCACTGCTTAGACTTGTGCCCCCAATGAGCACTAGTCGTAATTTTGATGACAATCTCTTAATGTAAAAGCAAAACAGAAAAAAAAAAACAGCAGTATCCTGTTGGTGCTTATTGTGCCACGCCTTGCTGTTGTCCACGTACAGTACTTTTCTCCTCAGGGTTAATATTGATGAAACATTTTGCAACAATGTAATTACTTCGACCAATAAAGGAGCAGGTAAATGAACGTGAAATGAACAAGCGTAATTAAAATATCTCGAATTACAAGATGAGAAACAAGTTCTAAAAAAAGTGTAACGAGGCAGTAGAGGGAACGTACCTTCTTTGAGCTGAGCGCCTCAATCTCGCTGTACGGAAGGCTCACCCTGTATACTGTCGTTGCCTTCCACCAGACAGGGAGCCCGATAAAAATAAAAATCAGAACAAACGACAAGCTCGAGTACAGATGCCCCGGCTCTGAAAGGAACGGTAAAAAGGGGATATTCATTAGAAAACATGTCGGTGAAGTATCTGGCTTGTTTATAACACACCGACAATCTTTCTATGCACTTGTGCAGTGGTTTGCAGTCAATTACGTCCCAGGTACCCTTTGTGGATATCGGCAGCATGATAATGATGACACGATGCAATTGGACTTGCATCATGTCACCCAGGCTGGTTCACACAATTTTGAGAGATCATATATACGAACTAGTGTCAATGAGGAACTGTCACCTATAACACCTTCATAATTATTTTGAGCCCGCGACGAAAGAATTATGCAAAGAAATATATGCAGATCAGAATTGTTCCACAGCTACCCAATAAATGCTGCCAATGTGCTCCCTTGTCATAAGTGGCTACAATTGCTCGAAATGCGGTTGACCACACGCAAATGCAAATCTACGAACCAGCCTTAAATAAGGGATACTGAATGCAAACTTAAAATATACCTCTCATGTTCAGAAACAAGCTAAACATGATCGACTCAATCTGCTAATGACAATTGCACGCTCGTGTTTTGAGCGGATGGCTATATTTTTGTTCCAAGGGACCGATTCCAACGAGCGCTCGAAGATCAGCCATCGGAGAGCACGATGCATCCCGGAAGCCGGACCAATTGACGTCACAGACGTGACATCAATTGGTCAAGCACGGGCAAAGCTGCTTGGGGGCTGGAGTGGCTATGAGTAGGGTTCCATGTTTTCGGTATATGCCACTAAAAACCAAATATCAGCCTCCAGGCGGATTTCTTTGAAACGGGGAAAACCGAAAAACCCCAAATTTAAACTGTCCTTAAAAAAAAAATTTAGTTTTACAAAAAGAAATTTTCAACCCTACTTTTTTTTTTCTCTCGTCGATCCGGAACGCAGTTGCACTGAACTGTCCTTTGTTCCATTCTATCAAGACCACATTCCGTGCCCTGTTCCCTTCTGTTATCTTGCCAGCGTTACGAGAGAAAATATTATAATTTATAACTTATATTATTTTCTCTGTAACTATACAGTCGCTTTACAACAGAAGAGCGATAAACGCCTATTTCTTTCCGGCATTGAAATTCAACATGGAAAAACACCGATTCAAAGAGAAAAAAAATAAACACAGATAAATAACACCCAAATTTGAAGAAAAGTAAATACCGAAAACACGGAGCCCTAGCTATGGGCTAGGGCTCCGTGTCAATGTGTTGTAATGCATGGACAACACCGAGTGTTGCCAACGCGTTATAACCTGGCTGTTTTTAGTTGCCCCTCTCTGCTTCCTGGAGGAGTTGAATAGGCTAGGACAAAAGGGAGAAGGGCTCACAGAAACGCAGCATGCTGCAGTACTGCCATGGAGCACCGCTGCTTTTAAGTTCATGGTCATGTAACGACAATCGGTTAATTCTTTTTAAATAATGTTTTTGTTTCTTTTCAAGCAAAAAATTGGTGTCTCTGTGGTGTGACCAGAACATGGTTGACATTTAGACAATCAAATAAGTGCTAGAATTTCGTTGCAGTACCCCTTTAAGCCCTAGCAGTGCGACATGGGTCATTTTATCGTTATGTACAGAGAAAATATTAACATAAACTCCACACTCGCAGAAAACTGCCTTCATTACGTCTCTGCCAGATCGCGAATTTGGGTTGAAGTCTTTTATCTGCTCCAATGGTTTCAATGCTTGCATTTTTATTTTCAAATTGGAAAGTCGGGAGAAAGCGTGGCACACGTCTGGAAGTTGTCGAAAAGTGTGATGGAAGTTTCACAACCCTTGGAGGAAATGTACAGCTTCCATATGGAATGTCTGCAAGTTCTCAACTAAAAAACAAAAAATGCAGCTTTTCTTTTTTTTTTTATTGAACTGGAAGTTTGAAAACTCCTGTACGAGTGCACTTCAGTGACCTTTCACAAAGATGCAGATGCAACCTCATCTCATAAGACGCTTCATCTCACAAGTCCTGAGTAGGGGAAGGGGGAGGCGGGGGGAGTGTCGTAGAGGTGAGGGAGATGTTGTTCTCGCAAAGGTTGCAAAACAGCTTCTCCCAAATTCCTGATCGTAGCACTTAAAGAAGAACAGGAACGAGACTGCTTTGTTTACATGATCCCACATGCTAGGAAAGGACCTCCTCAAGCCTCATGCCCATGTCTCCATCTCACACAGCATTGCACAGAACTCTCGAGGTGAGCACAGAATGGGAACGAAGTAATATCTTCAAATCCAAATGTCAAGTTCTCGGCACCAAATGAATTACGCCAGTTGTATACATAAGAGCAAAGTTTTTTCTGTTCTTTTTTTTTATTTCACTTTTTTAGCTGTCAGGGAATACTACTTTCAATTCTGAAAAGCTTGGGGTTAAAGCTTGATGATACAAACTTTTAAACTGTTGCAAATCTAATCAGAAAGAAAAAAGAAACAAACGAAATCAGGTTGTCACTAATCTTTCTTTACGTCGCAATGCTCGCTGAATCTCGGTGAATCTGCTGATATGCACCAAATGGCCACCTCATAATATTTGAGCTGTTGTTTTGTTCATTGTTTGTAAACATAGGCCTGTCAGTTGTCCAATAAGAGCAACAAAGTCAAGCTGCTTTCTAATATAAGAATTAATAGTAGCATGATACTAGCATTATAAAACTTGGTAACAGAGTACAAAAGAGTAACACATATATGACACTGACTTGTTAAATGTAAGTGGTACTTAAAAAAAATAATAAAAAAATAACAAATACATAGCTGCTGTGTTGTGCTGCTGCAGGAGTGTTCCCTTGAGAGGATTTCACTCATATGCAAGTAGAAAAGTAACCACATTTTTTTCTGATGAGCGACCGCTTTGTATACATTTAATTGTTCTTCTTTTTATGTAGGTTTCTGTATAGCTTAATTTCACACATAAATTCATCTTGAAAACACAGACTCCTGATTTTAACCAGTTGCCTTTTGATCTTCAGGGTATCTACCGTAAGCTTTTGTGTGCTTTCTTGCCCTTTAAAGTCAACAGGACTGTTCTATGTTGGTAGACACTCCAGGCTCGTGCATCTCACCTGAAATGGCACTCATTTATCAGTATTTTGCCATCTGCAATTGGCATGCCTTGGAATAATTTTAAGTGATATCGTCACTGCCACAGAATATGTGGACTCTTACTTTTTTTAGTATGTCTATGTATATATTAGCTAGAACGCTTGACATACTTCTTTGTCTGTGATCTGATATACTGCCAGAAAGGTAGGCTGCTCTTGGTGGGCATCAGCAATAAATAAACAAATAAACAAATACATACAGTGGTGCAAGACTGATCAGCCCAACTGTTCTCGAGCTTGTCGTCGACGCGTCATGAACAGCCGATTTCTCTTTCACATATGCATGCAAAATATGCCCAAACAAATCAAAACATACGGAAGCCCCGCATGCTAAGAGAAACGTAAGATGAATACTTGAGACAACCTAAGTTGGTCTGGTTGTTGAAAGTCGGGCAAGCTCAGTTTAACAATGAGTGGTTTAAATTTTGCTGAAATGCGTCTGTAATCTGTTGGTTCGCGCAATTCAGAAACAAAATACGTGATTAGTGTATGACGAGAAAATTTGTATACCTTCCAAACAAATGCCAATCTATATCTTTTTTTTTTTGACAATTTATTTGGACTTGACAGCCATTTTTAATAACGGAATTGACAAGCAAAGGCGATCATTGTTATTGGAATATTGTCAACTCTCCCGCTTGCTAAATACAAATTACGAGGAATTAAATTTTTATTGAGACAACACATGACGCTGCGTTTGTTTGCAGGCTATGATCAATTCTTCCATAGAACATGCATCCGAATGTTAATTTACACTAGGGTAAAGCTATACGCACTCCGTAGTGCGACTCGACCGGAAATGGCTATACGTGGCTTGCACATGACGTCATTTCCAATGACCTCCAGAGAAAAGGGGAAGAAGAAGCTCCCCTCTTATCAGGATCCTCCTTTGTGCCTCCCGGATTAGCAGAGGCGTCGCTATTCTCCACCCAGAAGATTATAGAAGATTAACCTGTCACTCAAAATTCTTACAAAAGCAGCTTCCCTCTCCTCCTTTTTCCTGGTGTTCAAAAGTATGCGATGTGACCTCAGTGCAAGGAGCCCATACATACTATGCGAAACTCGTATAAAACAAATGGTTACAACGAGTTTTCTAAACGGTGGCATAGCATAGTGGTAAGGTTTCTTCTTCGTACGCAAGTGGACGTGGGTTCGATCCAGGATGTGCGCCTTCTTTTCTCTTTCTCGAACATTTTGTTTTGCCGAGGCATTCGGCAATATTTACGACATTTCTTTTTCACAATCAACACTGAAAAAAAAAAAAAAAAATGAAAGCCGTTTACAATTTCCTGTAACGCCGGTTAGAGCGCAGCTCTTGAGGAGGAAGATGGAAGCGTACTGAGGGATAGGCGACTCCTTGAGGTCACGTGACCTAAGGGGGCTCGCGTGACGTCAGGGGGGTCACGTGACCTCGGGGGTCGCATGACTTCAGGGGGGTCACATGAACTCGGGGGGGGGGTCACGTGACCTCAGGGGGGTCACATGGCCTCAGTGGGGTCACGTGGCCTCAGCGGGTAACGTGACCTGAGGCGGGTCACGTGGCCTCAGCGGGTAACGTGACCTGAGGCGGGTCACGTGACCTGAGGGGGGACACATGACCTGAGGGGGGGTCACGTGATCTGAGGGGGGTCACGTGACCTGAGGGGGGTCACGTGACCTCAAGGGGGTTACGCCGACGGCGACGGCGACGCCAACGCCAACGCCGACGCCGCTCAAGCCGGAAACGGGCCCCTAAGAGCTGCGCTCTAAAAAAAGAAAAAGAAAAACAATGAATGTTGTTGGCGAACCTTCGCAGAACTAAATGGTATGGGACTCTGGACTTCGCAGAACTAATTGGTATGGGACTCCCTTTCCGGAGGTGGAATCGGGGACAGTGTGGCTTGGGTTGCCGGCTGGACGCCGCGAAGCGGCATGTACGGGTAAAGTTTTGTAGTTAGCAGCCGCACACTGTCGCCGCGAAGTGGCGTAAACGCAGGGCCGGGGGGGGGGGGGGGGGGTTCTAACGAGCTTCTCAGTGATACATGTGCCGTTCGAAAAAGGTGACCCAATTGGAATGAGCTCTCCGCGTAGTGCGTATAGCCATATCCGGCCGAAGTGCATTACGTAGTGCGTATAGCTTTACTCTTTACACTATTCGCATACATCTTGCCGTCATTAATTGTAATTTATTTTCACAAGAAGTATGATGTATATGCGACGACGTGAGAGGTTAGACAGAAAGGTAACAACCCTTACGCTTGTGCGCCTGCTAGCCGGTCGCCGCATACGTCTGCATACTTAATTACTTGGTCAAATTATGCGCTTAATAATCTCACATGTTCCGTTATATTTACATTTATCCTAAACTCGTTCTTTACTCTGGCCCCTACCTCTGCACTAACGTTACTTTCCTATGCACGACCACAGCACAACCAAATCGTGGGAGTTCTTGCCGGCACAGAAGACAGTGGCGGGGCCGCAGTTTTGCGCAATTAATCCCACAAATCAATCAACAGGCTTTACATGGGTGTATAGATCGTACTTAAGCCGTTCAAGTCGCTACTCACCCTTTTTGTGCTTAATTTGAGGTAGATCAGGAGCCGTAGATGCAGACGCCTCGCGTAATACCGCCATTGTTTACACTTAAAGGGGTTATGACACGAAAATTAAACAGATAGATTATTCTTGAAATGGAATGCTCATAGGCTACTTAGTATATACACCAAGTTACGCAATTTTTAGAGCTCTGATAATTGCAATATTCAATTTACAAATTTTTATAATTTTCATCTGGCGACCAGGCAACACTGCTCAAGTTAGTCACACCATGGTGTCCATAAACCACGTGTCCATGAACACTCTCTCATTCTAGGCGCCCCCATGATCGCCCAAGCTCTTCTCGTCGCGGTACGAACAAAACCGCTCAAACAGCTCGCTAAACTGAAAGCTATTCTCGCTCTCGCCCCCCGGCCAGTTGACCTTCCAGCCTGCATGCGCCTGCTAGACATTCCCGGACGACGGTGACCACTCGTCGTCGCTGGAGCTCGTCGCCAGCGGGTCGCAGTCAAAATGAACAGCTTCCAAGTTCCAACATCTCTTGATAGCAATGACTCTCATCGCTGCTCTGATCAATGTCGAACACTTCGACAAGGCGATTGATGCCGTATACGTAATCGTCACAGACCGGATGCTGAAAACGTGGAAGGTAAACGAGGAAGCTGAGGCTCGATACGCCAAGAGAGCCAAGTCTGTGAGTGCGTGCAACGAGACACCGCGCTGGAGGCTGGCTACGTCATCAGCCTCCAGGTCCGCCCGGATCTGCCCCTCCGAGGGGCCCGCATATAAATCGATTTATCCACGAAATTATCGCGCCTTTTTAAACACAAATTTAGCAGGATTATAGGAGCATACAATGGGTCCTAGCAGTATAGTTATGTAATATTTTATTTTTGGCGTGTCATAACCCCTTTAATGGATTGGATTGGACTGACCTCATTGCTATAATACGACTATACTTTCAAGATTACATAAGTATTTATATAACACAACTTTACAAAATGTATTTACCTTTTTTTTACGTTGATTAGTTTCAAAAATTAAATTTGAAGAGAAAAGACTTTAGTATAATAAACAAAAGCAGCAAAACACAGAGTGCGCTTGTTATGTAATACTTGTCTGGCCACCATGAAATTAGAAATTTTTTTTTTTCCATTTGCTGTTTGAGATGGGAGTGTATGCTACAGATTTGTCAGGGTACGAAGCTTGTTACCGAGTGTTTTTAATGGCCTATGATCGCAGCTAACCCGGCACCGTCCTCGATGCGACCCATTCTGAAGAAGAGAGCATGGTCGCTTTGTTATGGAACTTCGGGAGCTGCACTTCGGAACGGGCGCAGCGATCCCCCATCAGCCATGTTCACCTGAAGCAGCTACTCGGTGACAAGCGTTCGCCCCATGATTGACTCGTGAACACCGACTCTGACGGTCACAGCGCCCGGGAAGATGCCCAAATGCAAGTCGAAGACGAGATTTATACCGGCGACGTGTGCCTGGACGCTGCTGCTCACGGCGACGACGTTGTTTTTCGTGTTCCCGTGAGTACTACACGGGTCCCCTTCTACTCTGTGTGTGATCCTTAGGCCTAATTTCGATGTTTATTCAAACGCGAAGCACACGCGGGTCGCCGATTATGTTGGGAAGTCGGTGCGTTTAAACCGAGAAGCTACGTTACCCCGGTGAAGAACCGTTCGTCGTGCTGGGAGGATTACGTCTCGGCAGCTAACCCCGCTCAAAAGTGCGCGGGCCTAGCCTCTCTCGTGCCAGACAAAAATTACCTAACTCCTACGAAAATGAAAAAAAAAAAAAAAAAAGGTATTGGTCACAATAAACGATTACAGAAAGATTGCTCTCTACCATGTAATCGCAGTGCGTACAGTGAACTCTTTTCAAAGTGTACAAAAGCAAAACAAGAAAAGCGAACACCGTTTAGACACAGCTGGAGTCGCAGATCACGCCCGAGAACAGCAGCGACAAAAATGCACATCCAAATCGTTTTTTTTTTCTTCTTTTTTTTTCGATCTACGGTTGGGTAATGATCGGTTTATCCGAATAGGAAGTGAGGCACTCATTAGTTTGACGTGCACGTGCCAGGTTCGAAGGGGTTCGTTGCTCTGATTATACAAGTGTTATCTCATTGTTTCCGCACATAGAAAACCTGATAGAAAAAAGCATAAACCTTGTTTCGTTTTTACTTTTTTTTTGTATACCAATTAGTATGGATTCTGCGCGAGTCATCAGACCACTGCTCTATGTTGGTGATTTCATTGGTCTGAGGAGCAGTCAACTTCCAGAGCGAAGCTGCCATCCTCTTTGTCAGCCCCGGCCTGTGACTTATTGAATGTAGCCTTTCACTCGATTGGTCTCGTGGGGACGACTTCTCAATTTCGCTACTTGCAGCGGGGACTTAATGGCACCACTGATGCCATGTATCGGTTTGTACTGAAAACTATTAGATAAAGACACGAAGTATGTGCAAACGTTTTAAACGATTCTCGACGCATGGCACCGCAGATTTGAGCAAAAGAATATTGCTTGGGTCAGTCAGCCACGATGAAAAACGTGTGGACATGGAACATACAGAAAACCTGAGTCGAACAATCAGAGGCACACACCGCGATGTCGAGAAATAAATTGGGATTGGAAAATGCATAGAAATGGAACTGGGAACTTAGCTTGCAAACGGGACTTCCTTAGTTGCTTACTTCGTGTCAGCTAGGATAGGGACATGCTCACTTTCACAACACTTAATAGCATGTCAGGCACATAGCCGAGATAAAGGGCCTTAGGGTCCAGGCTTACAAAAAATGAAAAAGGACTCAAGCAGCATTTACCTTTTTCCTATGACATGAAAAAGTCTTCATCGGGCTTGAGCACATTCCCTCCTGCTGTGTGTCCCCGTTACTTGAGTCTTTTAATACACTACTGGTCACAAAACTTCGGTTGAAGTTTGGTACAGGACCAAAAACTGCCGTCAGGAGCGCCACGGTCTGGGAGAACATTTTCATGTGGCCACCCCACTGTCGGTGAGCCACCCCAAATTCACGATCATAGTAGTCCTCAAAAAACAACTTCTCGTAGTCTGGCATTTTTTTTTTCCGCCAATAATTGATCGCTCTCTCGTTCTGGATTCTTTATTGATCTCTAATAACAAAACTTGGAAATAAGTTTCTCTCTTTTGATTTCAAACAAATTGGTGTTTTTGCGAGCAAAAAGGAGTCGGGCAGTCGAGCATATAGGTTCGCATTGCCTCTACTCGATGGCGCTACTCGCCGCGCTGAAGTTTGACGGCAGTAGTGGTATTGAGAATTTGTTTTGAGGCAAGAAGACAACTAAAGAGTATTATTTTGGAGTGCGTTGCAGAAAAAGAAGTTTGATCAGTTGACTAATTGTACAGGGCTGAAGACGCTTAAATTGACTAGAAATGCTGTCGGCGCGATGACGCGTCACCGTGATCTATTGGTGGCTCGTTCAGAGTGGGTTCAAAATTCTGATACCATTTTCTGGTTTCCAGTGGTGCTGGCAAGACTGGTGGCTCTTAGCCCCCTTGTCGATGCTAGTGCCACGCATGGTCGCGTACCACCCTCTCCAATAGCGTTACAGAGAAGTTCCGTGACCAGATACCTATTTAAGGACTCTGTTGTTAGCCTTTGCTCAGCATGGCTAACCTTCTATAACCCTTTCCGCTCCCCTTTCAGTCTTTCCCTTTTCCTCTTGTTACAGTCACTGTATCTGCTCCCTCCACCCAACTCGAACAAAGCACTCACTACAGGTCGAGCAGAAAATTTGGAAGAGCTATTGACAGTAGGGATGTCGCGAGCCACCCTAGGTTCGAATTCGAAAGGTTTCGATACTTTCAAACCGAACTGATGTTCGATTTCGAAAAGTTTAGATATTTTCGACCGTAGGGAGGTTCGAATTCGAAAAATTCGCAACTTTCCAAAATCGTGGGGTTTCGAAATCGAAAAGTTAGAACCTTTCACGGTTTCTAAAAGTTCGGGTTTGATTATTTCGAATATTTGTTTACTTGAGGTTCGATAAATTTGAAGATTTCAAACTTCCCTAATTTGAAATTCGTGAGATTCAAATGTTTCGATTTTTTTTTTCATCTAAAATTCGAACGTTTCGAGTTTTTAAGGACATAAAGTTTGGTAAATCGAAGACTTCGAATTTCTTTCTGCATAAAGTTCGAAGGTTTCGATTCTCTTTTAAAGCTAAATTCGAAAAACAATCTTCGAAGGTTTTTGATTTGTTTGAAGTCCAAGTGCGCAAAGTTTGAAGTCCGGTTTTCATGTTCCGCCACAGTCTCAGTTTCAAATAACACATTCACGCCTCACTGGTTTTTACGAAATGAGGTCTAGAAAAGTTTGGGTGTGATATTTAGACTGCGCGAAGTTGGTCAGGCAATTAAATGAGACGACGAGTGCCCCGGATGTGCTGTAATATTTGCCAGTGCAGTGACGTGTAACAATAGATCAGTAATTGTGACCGCCAGCCCGGGGTGGTTATTAACGTGCATTACGAAGTAGTGATCCTACGAATGCACTGTTTAACGATGCTCATCCAGTTCGAAACGGCAGGGGGCAGGCAGGTGGTTGAGGTTCAGAAAAACCTTGAAGTGATCTGGCAAACTGCCCCCCTAACCCCTTGCACGCTGGTAGTAATCCGGTCGAACGCCACCTGAGTGACGCTCGCATATAGTAAGTTTAGTTTGTACATGATGCAAAATCCTGAGACTGAGAATGAAATTTGAAAGAAAAAGTGTAAGAAGACAGAAAAAAGGGACAAGACAACGTTTCAAACTCAACTCAGCTGAAAACTCAGCTCAGGACAACGTCTCAAACTCAACTCAGCTGAGTTTGAGATGTTGTTCTGTCCCCCTTTTTCTTTCTTCTTACACTATTTCTTGCGAATTTCATTCCCAGTCTCGGGATTTTGCATCATGATCAACATACACCACCTCGCCTGCACCTTGACAATTTTTTTTGTTTGTAATTGCTTTGGAGGTTTATTTTCTGGGGCGGAAGAAACACCGAGCAAAAAGCACAGAAGCTGACGCAACTTGAGGTCGAGGAGCGTTCTACCATACCAGTGGCGTCGGAAGAGGAAAAACGGGGGGGGGGGGGGGGGGGGGGGGTGTTTAAGTTTTTCTTCCCCCGCTCCCAGATATTTCGGACTGTTAAGGAAAACAATACGGGGGAAGAGAGTGTGGTCGAGCTTATTTTAATCTTATATTATTTATGCATATGTATAGCTACTGTCACTTTTCACTGCATAAAAGATTGCGTAGATGGTCATCCGGTTCTCACATGCAGCGAAGCGCTGATGTAACGCTGCTCATGTGCCGTCAAGTACTTATCGTATGCCATGAGCAATAGTTTTGATGGTGCGATACAAAGCTGGTGAACGCTCCTGTCGGCACGTGCTTAGCACGAGGTCAGCGCTATGCTTGTAACGCTCCGCTGCATGTGTGAACAGGCCTTTAGAAACTCGTTGTCAGGAGGCACTACTCGTTACATGCTCGGTGGCTCGAAAGTTCAAAGCTATGTCTTTTCGGCCTAAATTACTGTGCCATTGGTAAAAAATATTCAATAAATAAACATAACAATAAATGCAAAAATAAAAAGCTGGAGAGAAAAAAAATAAAAAACTCAAGAACCCGCCGGAAGTGTTGTATTCTTGCATATTCAGAGACCCAGAACTATGAAACAAGTTTCTCCTACCAAAATGTGTACAGGCCAAAAGAAACACGTCCCAAAAACGTAAAATGAGAGAATTTTTTTTTTTTTATGACGTGCAGAATTTGCGCAGTTTTAGAAATCTTCTTTCATGAGTTAATTTATTCCTCAACATGAAAAAAACAATAAATACATTTTTTTGTATTCTGCAGATGGTAATGATATTTACTGTCTCTGGTGTTAATTTAAATACGATACCCTGAACAATGTAGACGAAAAAAAAATGCCAAGTTTAGGGCATAATTGTCCGTAGGTACGTTTGGATATTTATTCGAAACTCGCCTTGAACAACAATAATCATATCTTAAGACAACGCTCACCGAAGCTATACATAGATCTTTCCTAAAAAGTTTAACATCTCTACCATAAATAGCTTTGGCTATAGCGCGCTTCAAATATGGCACAAACGACAATTGTCAAAAATCCGTCGTCCTTCCTCGCTCCTTTGGGAATATTTTTCTAAGACCAAGCATGCCAGATGATTGAAATAAACGGCATTGTCTTTCGCAAGGAATGCGGCACCCCATGTAAAATTGCAAAAAAAAAAAGAAAGAAAATATTTGAATGTACCTCACTGCTTGAATCCAAATGAAACCGCCCACCGGTCTCTCGAAGTTCAGTGAACTTCGAACTTTTACGCTAAAAATTCGAAGTTCGTTGAACTTTTGACTTTTCAGGAATCGAGAGTTTGACAATTTTCGAATTCTTTAGGTTAATAAGTTCGAAAATTATTTAATTTCTTAGCGTAGGAAGTTTGAAAGTTCGAACAGCTTCAAACTTTTGAGTGCAAGAAGTTTGAA